AAGCTGCAGCAGCAACTCCTGTAGTCCGTGCTACGGACGCAGCAGGAAACGGCGCCAAGCAGGCGGATGTAGCAGCTGCATCGTTTACTGCCACCTGCCGCCTTGCTGCTGCAACAGCATCCCATGCTGAAGTGATCCTGGGAGGGCAGCAAGAGCAAGGGGTTTGGCTACGGCATCATCCCCCTCCACTGTCCCAGTCTGGCACGAGAAGAGGAGGCAATGAAAACACCGCCGGTACTGCTGCTGAGACATCTGCTGCTGCTGCTACAGCTGCTGCTGCTACTACTACCGCTACAACATCTCCTCCTGCTACTGCCACTGACAGCAGCACACCAAGCAATGTGAGAGGAATCAGCTTCCCCACATGCAGCAGAGGAGCCCTCCCCAGCCAGCATGCAACCCTCCTCTCCTCGCTCACCACCCTCCAAGCTAACGTATCCGCGTTACAAGCACTCGTTCGCATCCTTTCGCAGGTAGGCTGCTTGGATATTCCCTTGCCATGCCGTGTCCCTGCTCCTCACTATCTGTTCCATGGCATCACAAGATGCAGCGCACACTTTGCTGACGTGGCCCCCACGGGATCCAGCACACTGCTGCTCACCACTGTTGCTATGGCTCTGGCATTTGGCAGGTTTAAGCTAAGCACAAAGCTCCTCCAGTCACCCTGCTTGGCTATCTTGTTTCCCATTCCCTCTGTCCAGTGCCGAGTCTTCATTGCCCTCTTTTCATCACCTGGTGCTGCCACCCTTGGTTTATGGTGCCTACAGCTGCCGGTTTCACCAATCTGCTAGTGCGATCATTGTGTGAGCATTGTGTTTCTTGCCACCATTGTATTACTGCCCTAATTCAGCAACAGCAGGAGGGAACGGAGAAGGAGAAGGAACGGCACGAGGAGGAGCAGGTGGAGGAGGAGGAGGATGAGGAGGAAGACGAGGAGGAGGAAGAAGAGAAGGAAGAAGAGGCGAAGGAAGAAAAGGAAGAGGCAGAAAGGGAGGAGGAAGAGGAAAGTCCACAACAGCAGGAGGGGAAGCGGCAGGAGCATCAAGGAGAGGAGAGGGAGCAGAACGAGGACGACGACGTAAAGCAGGATGTCGAGGAGCGGGAGAAGCAGGCTCGGGAGAAGCAGGCTCGGGAGAAGCAGGCTCGGGAGAAGCAGGCTCGGGAGAAGCAGGCTCAGGAGAAGCAGGCTGAGGAGAAGCAGCGGAAGCGGCAGCGAGACGCGGTGGCAGTGGGAATAGTTGGCATGATCAAGAACCTCGCAGTGGCTGCTGCTAGCCTGCTGCCCCCCCACCAGCAGCACAGCGCTCTCCTACCTCTCATCCCTCTGCTGCCCAACCTGCAGCAGGTAGCATCAAATTTGCCGAGGCAGGGTCTGCCGAACCAAGCTTTGCCAGACCAGGCTCCGATGGACCGAGGGAGTAAGGAAGATTCCGGTCCGATGGCTCGGGGACAGGAAGCAAGTAAGGATGAGGAGCAGAGGGGTGAGGGGAATGAGGGAGATGGACAACAAAATGAAGACAAAGAAGGGGAAGAGGGAGAGGAGGAAGAGGAGGGAGGGAATGATGATGGTGGTGATGATGATGAGAACGATGAGGATATGGAGGAGAACGGGGAAGAGAAAGAGGAAGACGAGGAGGAAGAGGAAGAGAAAGGGGGAAAGGGTGACGAGGAGGCAGAGGATGCAGAGGAGGTGCGGGATAGGCGGCAGGAGACTTTTGAGACGTCTCAAAAGTCGTTAGAGGAGGTGCAGGATAGGCTGCAGGAGAGGGGAAGAACGGAAGTGGGTGCAGGAGGAGGCAAGAAGGTGCCACCGCGGCCGCAGGTTTCAGATACAGTTGATTCGAGAGTCAGGGAATGGCTTAAGGCTTCTCAAACAAGGCCGCACGATATCGAGTCTGCTGGTATGGGTAGCTTGGCCGGGGATACCCGGCAGAAGCGCAAGCAGTGCGACGGGGAGGTGAGCCCTCGCAAGCGGAAGAAGCTGAAGCAGCTGCTTCTGCAAATGCAGGCAGTGCTGCAAGAGAGGTTGGCGCAGGGGGGAGGACAGGGGACAGTAGGAGTGGCAGAAACAGTAGCAGCAGCAGCGGCACCACCAGCAGCACAAAGAACAACACTGGAACCAACAGAAGCAGTAACAGCAGCAGCAGCACCACCACCACCAGCAGCAGCACTTAACAGCTGCAGCAGCACCAGCAACACCAGCAGCAGTAACCTCAGAAACAGCACAAACAGCAGCAACACCACCACCAGTAGTAGCACTAGCAGCAGTAGCAGCTACAGCACAAGGGCCAAAGCAGGAGAGTCTTGACTCTGATCCAAGCCCCTCTGCATTAGACTGGGCTCCCAAGGGGGGAGGCAAAGCAGACGGAAACCAGGAGGCTGCAAGGGGGACAGCCAGGCAGGGGGTAAAGCAGGAGGCTACAGGGGGGGCAGTCAGGGGAGGGGTGAAGCAGGAGGCTGCAGGGGGGGCACTCAGGGGAGGAGTAAAGCAGGAGGTTTCAGACGGGTCTGGGCCCTCGTGTGGCTTCACTGCCCGTCCAGACACTTTCTATGCTTCAAGGTGTCAACTCTACTCCTGCTGTTGCCGTCGCTCTGTCCCTCGTGCTTCTGCCCCTCCTGCCTTTGCTCCTCCCACCTCTGGCCCTCCCTATGTCTGCTCTCTGCTCCTCCACAAGGAGGATAAACTGCCTTCCTCTCCCCCCCATTCCTCCCCCCCTCCCCCCCATTCCTCTCCCCCCCATTCCTCTCCCCCCATTCCTCTCCCCCCAATTCCTCTCCCCCCATTCCTCTCCCCCCCATTCCTCTCCCCCCATTCCTCTCCCCCCCATTCCTCTCCCCCCCATTCCTCTCCCCCCCATTCCTCTCCCCCCCATTCCTCTCCCCCCATTCCTCTCCCCCCCTCTCCCCCCATTCCTCTCCCCCCCATTCCTCTCCCCCCATTCCTCTCCCCCCATTCCTCTCCCCCCCATTCCTCTCCTCTCCAGCAAGTACCAGCCAGCTCATTCTCCCTTCTTCCCTCCACCTTTCTTTTCCTCTCCGCCCCCACCCCTTCACCTCCTCCCCTACAGCCTTCATCTGCCCCGAGCCTGGGTGCCAGCACAACAAGCACCACCCTCGCTTCCTCCCTGGCCTCATCCTCTTCCCTTGTCCGCCTCTCCTCTCCTCTCCCTCTCCTCTTCCTCTCCTCTCCCTCTCATCTTCCTCTCATCTTCCTCTTCTTCCCCCCTGGCCCTCCTCTCCTCTTCATCTCCCCCTACAGTCTTCACCTGCCCTGAGCCGGGCTGCCAGCACAACGAGCACCACGCTCGCTCCTCCCTTGAATCATCCTCTCCACCTTGCCCACCTCTCCTCTTCCTCTTCTCTTCCCTCCGCCCCTATCCCCTCAGCTCCTCCCCCACAGCCTTCTCCTGCCCCGAGCCAGGCTGCCAGCACAACGAGCACCATGCTCGCTTCCGTCCGCTCAAGTCCCTTGCTTCGCTGCACACCCACCACCTCCGCGTGCATGGCAACAGGCCCTTCACGTGCTCCCGCTGCCAGGTGATCCACCACTTTTGCTTTTCTGGCACTCTCCTCTCCCGGTGCCATGCCCTTCATGTGCTCTTATTTCCAGGTAATCCTCTTATTTGTATTTTCTCTCCTCTCCTCTCCTCTCCTCCCCACATTTCCCCCCTCTCCCTTCCCCTCAGGTCAAGTCCTTCGCCCTTCAGTCGGACCTGCGATCGCACGAAAAACAGTGCGGTGTAAAGCGGTGGCACTGCTCCTGTGGAAACTCCTTCAGCAGAAAGGACAAGCTAGCTAACCACCTCAACACGTTCACGGACCACTCTCCTCTCTTCAACCTCCAGCCAGTCGACATTCCCATTCAGCCCAGGCAGAAGCAGCATAAGAGGAAACAGCTAGAAGCACAGCCAACACAGCCAGAAGCGCAGTCGAGGCAGTCAGAAGCGCAGCCGAGGCAGTCAGAGGCGCAGGCGGAACAGCCTAAAGCCCAGACGAAGCGGCTAGAAGCACCTCAGACGAAGCGGCCAGAAGCACCTCAGACGAAGCGGCTAGAAGCACCTCAGACGAAGCGGCTAGCAGCCCAGGAGGTGGAAGCCCCTGAGACGAACGCCAGCCGTAACGACCACGTGACATTCACTGACCAGTCTCCTGCCAGTCGCCTGGGGGCCTCTGCTAGCTGTGCTTCCCAGGGGAACCATTCTTGGGGGCAAAACGCCGCGGAGGGAAGTAATGCGATGGAGGGAAATGGTTCACAAGGGAATGAGACCAGGAGTGGGTATGTGTCGCTGCTGCTGCAGGAGGCCGCTAGGTCGGATCACGTGCGCCCCTTGCAAGCAGAGGGCTTCGAGCGTAGCCAGCCGACTTACCACATCCAGCATCAGCATACCCAGCAACCACAGCAGTCACAGCAGCATCAGCAGAACCAGCAGGGCCATCGAGGCCCACTGATTCACGAGACAAATGCGTCCCCTGCTCTCGCTATGCTGCCCATGAACACGCCTGTGCCACCCCGGCAGGCACCCAAGCCTGTGGAGAAAAGTGCCCCAACCTTGCCTCTCCAGCAGTCGATTTTTGAGTCGACTCAAAAAGTGGAGAAAAGTGCCCCAACCTTGCCTCAGCAGCAGCACCCTTCCCCACCCTTGCTGCATGAACATCCCTCCCTCCCGTTGCTGCAGCAACACCCCTCCCTGCCCCCACAGCCAGCACACATGCCGCTGTCTCTGCCGGCCCAGTTGCCCACACAGGATTTCCAAGCCGCAGCCCCACTGCAGCGAGCGCAGTCAATGCAGTCAACACAGTCAACGCAGTCAGTGCAGTCGATGCAGTTAAGGCAGTCAACGTGGCCTATGCAACCCTCTTCACCTGTGCGGCCCCTGCTGCCAGAATGGCCAGTACAGTCAATGCAGTCAACGCAACCAATGCAGCCAGAACAGTCCGTGCAGTCAACGCAGTCAACACAGTCAGCTCCAGTCCCTCCAGTGATCTATCCAGTCCCTCAGATGATCCAGTCACTTGCCCCTTCGGTTTCCCCTCCCACCGAGCCTTCCCAAACCCAGGCACAGGCTCGGCCCGGGGCTGAATCCCCAAACCTGAAAGCACAGGCTCATCTGTCAAGTGGTGGTGATGCTGACCTGTCAGGATCAAATCGTGGTGCTGACGTGTCAACATCGAATCGCAATGCTGATCTGTCAGCACTAGAGGCGTCGTGTCGGGCGATTATTGGTTCGGGGAAGAATGAGGCCCTTGAGGTTTCATGCCAGCTGATCCTCTTGGCCCTGCAGCAGCAGCAGCAGCAGCAGCAGCAGCAGCAGCAGCAGCAGCAGCAGCAGCAGCAGCAGCAGCAGCAGCAGCAGCAGCAGCAGCAGCAGCAGCAGCAGCACTTACAGCAGCGTCAACAGCAGTGGCAGCAGCAGCCGCAGCAACAGCAACCACGACAGCACCAGCAGGACCAGCAACTTCAGAAGCAGCCGCAGTGGCAACCGCAGCCGCAACAACAGCAGCAACCGCAGCAGCAACATCAGCAGCAACCGCAGCAGCAGCAACATCAGCAGCAACTACAGCATCAGCAACATCAGCAAATGCAGCAGCAGCAACATCAGCAGCAACATCAGCAACTGCAGCAGCAGCAGCAACCTCGGCAGCGGCAGCAGGTAGAGGTGCAAGTGTGGGCGCAGAGGCAGGAGATACGGCAGGTTCAAGCGCTGCACCAGCAGCAAGGGCAGCAGCAGCAATTGGTGCAGCGGCAGCAACAGGGGCAGCAGCCGCAACTGCAGCAACAGGGGCAGCAGCAGCAACTGCAGCAACAGGGGCAGCAGCAGCAACTGCAGCAACAGGGGCAGCAGCAGCAACTGCAGCAACAGGGACAGCAGCAGCAACTGCAGCAACAGGGACAGCAGCAGCAACTGCAGCTGCAATTTACGCAGCAGCAGCATCGACAGCAACAGCAACACCAACAGCAACAGCAACAGCAACAGCAGCAACAGGGGGGACAGCAGGTGCAAAACCAGGTGAAACGGCAAAAACAGCAGCATTTCCAGCAGCAGCCATCCAGCCAGTTAGACCCACCGCCTTTTCACCACCAAAAACCCACCTGGAATAGCCAAGAACCCACCTGGACTAACCAAGAACCCACCTGGACTAACCAAGAACCCACCTGGACTAACCGAGAACCCACCTGGACTAACCGAGAACCCACCTGGACTAACAACCCTGTGCCAGCCCCCTATACAGCACCTACCACTGACCCTCCATCCCAACCCTTAACCCGCGGCCTGCCTCTCCAGTCAACGCCAGCAGCCACTGGACCGCTTGAGCCAACCCTAGAGTCAACCCTAGAGTCAACGGGCCTTCCACTGCCCCACCATAGCTGGAACACCAGGGTGGCCCTTGAGTCAACCCAAGGGTCAACTGACCTTCCACCTCACTATCAAAGCTTGAGCCATCAAGTGGCCCTTGAGAGTAACCTAGAGCCAACTGACCCTCCACCCTCCCACCACACCATCCCAGCACCCCATCACAGCCTCATTCACGGGGAGCCTGAGGATGGCACAGGGACAGTTGGGGGGATATCGCTCGAGGAGCTTTTTCCCGAGCTGCAAGACAGCTTCTGAGACTGCTTTTTGGGCGCCTCAAAACTCTCCTCTGTTGTTTAGGGGCTTCAAAACTCGCCTCTGTTTTTTAGGCGCCTCAAAACTCGTCTCTGTTTTCGAGGCGCCTCAAAAACAGTCAGGGTAATGTCTCTGGAGGAGTGCTTTCCTTTCCCAAGCTTCAAGTCACCTTCAAGTCTCCCAAGCTTCAAGTCACCTTCAAGTCTCCCAAGCTTCAAGTCACCTTCAAGTCTCCCAAGCTTCAAGTCACCTTCAAGTCTCCCAAGCTTCAAGTCACCTTCAAGTCTCCCAAGCTTCAAGTCACCTTCAAGTCTCCCAAGCTTCAAGTCACCTTCAAGTCTCCCAAGCTTCAAGTCACCTTCAAGTCTCCCAAGCTTCAAGTCACCTTCAAGTCTCTGCTTCAGTTACGGTTTCTTTGAGATGTCTGGAAACTCCAGGATAAGATTGTGGGGTCCAGGCTGAGTGGTTGACAACCTCAGGCCTGCATGAGTCCCTATTGCCATCTGTTTCTTCATTAGTCATGTGATCATGTATATTTCCCGCACCAAGGCTTCTACCTTGATATAATGTACTCTTTTTAATGGTTCATTGTGCCAGTAAATAGTCAAGGCCTCTTGCAAATAGGCAAGGCATCTTGCAAATAGGCTAGGCCTTTTGTAATCTGTTACGTTTTTATATTGATTGTTTGTAATGCACATAAACTAGTCAACTGTCCATCAATGACTTGTTTGTCAATCATTAGTTAATTGTTATTAGTCTTGACCCTCAATCAGTGCTGCAAAGTTATTGCCACTAACCGCAAGGTGAGCTGGCCCTACACAAGGAGGGTAATGGCCAGCGCAAGGTGAGTGATGGCCAGCGCAAGGTGAGTGATGGCCAGCGCAAGGTGAGTGATGACCACACCACACCACAGACACCCACCCAACAAAGCATCAGATGCAACACCATAAAGAGATATACGGTAAGCACGATATGCAACATAATATAGCCATCGAAGCAGCACGAACAGCAGTAATCAACTGCCACGAGCATCCAACCCAACCACCATCCAATCATCTACGCAGCAGCAGCAGCAGCAGCAGCAGCAGCAGCAGCAGCAGCAGGCGCTGGTTCTGGCAGCAACTGCAGCAGCACGTTCTGTAGCATCTGAGCCCACACGTCCTGTGGCCCGGGAATGCAGTAGTGCAAGCAGTCCTCATGATTCAACTCTGGAATGAACCCCTGGTGCGAGTCCGGCCGAAGCACCGTCATGGCCGCTACATCCAAGTACACGCCGCCCACCTCCTCCACTGCCGCCCGCGCCAGCTCATTCTGCTCGTGAAACCTCCCCCAGAAGAACGGCAGGTTGTCGGTGGGACCCGGCACGAGCAGCGGCTTGTCGTGTTCCGAGCAGTTGGCATGGCCTTGCACGGTGGTTCGGTAGATCAAGAGCGCGTCGGGGAGCTTATTCCGGAGAAATCTCACCGTCGAACGGACGGCTGAGATGAAATGCCGGTCCGGACGGTAGTGCGCGCCGCGATTGAGTACCACCACGCGGGCGCCGGCGAGTAAAGAGAGGCGGGCAAAGGGGACGCGGTCAAATTTGACCTGCGAGTTGGAGAGCTGGAGGTAGTCGTGGCGAATGAATCTGATGGTGACATTGGCGCACACGTTGCTGTGCAGCTTGTAGTCGCGGCAGAAGGAGTGCCTTGCATGGTCCGGTTCGATCAGCTCGCTGCATTCCTTGGGAATGGTTTCCTCTACCGCCCACGTGGCCGGTTTTTTTACGTGCGTCAGCATGTTGTTCACCAGCACGCGCACAAACTGCTCCTGTAACGAGTCACCTAAAAGGAGTATAAGCGCGCCGCTCCCGTCGCCCTTCTCCCTCACAGCCTCCCCTTTGAACGCCGCCTCTTCCCTCTCCTCCTCCTCCTCTTCAGTCAACGGCATCCCCGTTCCATTCCACCTCCTCCCTCTCACCCAATCACACACCACTCTGCCATCAAAAGGCTCCCAGGCCCCACACTTACCCTCCGTGTCCCACACGTATTTCAGCTGGGGCCTCACATCCCACTCCTCCTGCCGCACCTTCCTCTCTTCCGGAGGAAGCTTCATAATGGAATCTGCGATTTGATCTGCTTTGGAGACTACGACTGCAGTAGGGGATGCAGCCATGTGTCTTTTGTCGCAGTAATTCGAGTAACCCTTGAATTCCCAGGGTAATCGCCTCGGCCTCGGGTCGAATTTCCAGCTGCCCTCCGCCGCCACACACTCCTGCCATTTCAGAAACTTTTCTTTCAAATCTGCCTGGCTGACCTTGCTGCCTGGGATCTTCGTCCGGAACCCCTCCCCGGACCCGTCAAGTAGGTTCGGATCAAAACTCTCCGAAGCAAACCCATCGTGGAGAACACTTTCCAGGACCGTTCTCAACCGCTCAACACCGCAAGCCAGGGACCCTCGAGGCAAATACACTGACGACCCACCACCTCTATCCCCATCCTCCTCCTCCGTATCCTCCCAAAAAGCAACCCCCAAAGCACCACCAGCACCAGCACTGGCATCACCATCGCCACCTCCACCTCCACCGCTCCCAACCTCTCCCCACCGGTCTCCACCGCTCTCTGCCCCTGCATCTGCTGCCTCCACCACTGGCTCTTCTGGGCATTCCGCCAGATAGTGCCTCACACCTGCCGCCAGTGCCAGGTTTCGGTACAGCTGCCTTCCCCCGTCCGGATACACTGAATCTGTACCGCCACCGCTGGAGCTGCTGGTGGTGCGGATTTCGATGACGGAAGAGTGGGAGGGCATGAAGAGGACATTCACGAGGGCGCTGTCAGAGGCAACGAACAGTAGAGCTCGTTGAAAGAGCGCCCTGGCTGGGTGGGAGCAGCAGGAGGGGAGGGGAGGGAGGTGGTGGGTGGGGCGGGGAGGGAGGAGGGCATGGAGAGGGTGTTCACGAGGGCGTTGTCACAGGCGACAAACAGCAGAGCTCCATGGAACAGCGCCCTGGCTGGGTGGGAGCAGGGGAGTGGCAGCGGAGGGGCAGGGCGGGAAGGGATGACATGAAGAGGAGTGTTCACGAGGACATGACATGTAAAGACCGTCTCCTATGCACCGCAGCTCACTGGAATCATCTCCCGGGTGTTTTTCCGAATTCTCAATAAACACCTGCTACAAAGTGTGGCGGGGTGTTCTGAATGGAACAGACTTAGTCCACTCAGGTGAATAGATTAATGGGAGTTCAGAATAGGTGGAACAATAACAGCATCCCCCTCACTCACCTTCTTGGAGCGGCATGTTTCGTCTGTACACGGCAACTCTATCCTCCGTATAGAGCTGCTTCAGTATCCACTTCACTGCACGCAGCGCTGCAGCCAGCGCAGCGGCTTGCACTGTGGGCAGACGCGATGGGGGCGCCGCCACCACCACCACCCAGTCATGCTTCAAACGCCCATCCATAGCCCCAATCAACCCCATAGACCCCACAAGCAACCCCCCTGCTTCCGCTGCTCCTTGCTCTGCCAGACCCCCAGGTGGAGGGGAGCGGTAGGAGCCGTCTTGGGAGAAAAGGGGCAGGCCGAAGGGGGGAAAGAGGTGGCGCGCGCGGAAGGCGTGCAGGAGAGAGGGGCTGGGGTGGCCGCAGGGGGGGAACAGCGGCTGGAGGAGAAACAGGGGGAAGGGGTGTTTGAGTCGACTCAAAAAGGGGTGGGGGGCAAGAATGAGGAGAGGTGGCTTATGGGTCGATTCAAAGTAAGAATCAAGAATCCCTGACGAGTATACCAAACTATGAACTATGAATGCAGACAACAGCATGTGGAACATGCGGGTATGCATACCACGTAAAGCGTGCGAGCAAAGAGCAGAGACGAGCGCGCCATGCCATGGACGGCACTCGCTGCGGGCCTCAACGGTCAACCCCACCACGGCCTGCTGTGTGTGTATGTGCGTGCAGTGCGTGCAGTGTGTGAGCGCACTAACCATGTAAAGAGTGCGAGCAAAGAGCAGTGACGAGTGCGCCATGCCATGGACGGCACTCGCTGCGGGCCTCAACCCCACCACTGCCCGCTGTCTCTGTGTGTGTGCGCGTGCAATGTGCGAGCATACTTACCATGTAGAGCGTGCGAGCGAAGAGCAGAGACGAGGGCGCCATGGCATGGACGGCACTCGCTGAGGGCCTCAACCCCACCACGGCCTGCCAGATGCCCCGCACCAGCTGCCATGGAGGGAACAACAACGATGCAAGCAAAGGGGACGGGGGGAAGAAGCAAGGAGCGCGGACACACATGAACTGGTGTTGTTGAGGCCTCTAAAGAAGAGCAGTGAGGAGGAGTGCGCCATGGAGAGGAGTGCGCCATGGAGAGGAGTGCGCCATGAAGAGGAGTGCGCCATGAAGAGGAGTGCGCCATGGAAAGGATATCCTCTCTCGGATATCCTCGCCCGGATATCCTCTCCCGAATATTCTCTCCTGGATATCATGCCCCGCACCAGCTGGTGATGTATGTAGGGGAGAGGCGAAAGGGAGAGGTGAAGGGAGACGAAGGGACGAGGGAGGGCCTCATAGACGGCAGGGCGAGAGGAAGACGAGAGAAGAATATGTGAGAGAGTGTGAGCCAGCGTCCACTATTCATCCTGCCTTACTGTTCTGCACGACAGTGTTTTTGAGACGTCTCAAAAAGTCTATGTGAGAGAGAGTGAGCCAGCGTCCACTATTCATCCCGCCTTACTGTTCTGCACGACAGTAGGTGTGTACATGAGCAGTTTTGCAGCGTCTAACTCTCACATCTCACCTTCCTGTTCTGCACTGCAACTGGTATGCGCCTCAGCAGCGACACGGCAGGCGCCAGAGACAGGAAGAGAGGAAGCTTCTCTGCCATTTCCGAGAAGACCACATCGGACGGCGAGCGGGCGGAGGAGAGAAGGTTGAGGAGGGCAGGAAAGGCGGCAAAGCGGGTTCCTGAGGGGTAGTCGAACTGAGGGAGAAGGGGAAAGGGAAGGAGGGGCGGGGAATGTGGAGTGGGGAATGTGGAGTGGGGGATGGGGAGTGGGGGATGGGGAGTGGGGGATGGGGAGTGGGGGATGGGGAGTGGGGGATGGGGAGTGGGCGATGGGGAGTGGGGGATGGGGAGTGGGCGATGGGGAGTGGGAAATGGAGGGCAGACGGGTTGGAGCGCCAGAGAGCAAGTTTGGGGAAGGCAGCGAAGTGGGTGCCTGCCTGCGGGGTAGTCAAACTGAGGGGGAAGGGAAGGGGGTCAACAAAGAGGTTTGGGGAATGGGGGATGGAGGGAAGAAGGGTTGGAAGCGGCAGGCCAAACATTGAGGAGAAGGGGGAGGGTGATGAAACGAGTGGTTGCCGGGTAGTCGAAGAGAGGAAAAGGGGAAAAGGTGTTGGTAGTGGGCGTTAGGGGTTGAGTGGGGGGGTAGGGCCACAGTTGGAGAGGAGGCAGCAAAAAAGAAACTGAGGCGGAAGGGAGAGGAAGCAGAGTGGGTGCCTAAGGGTGGGGGGGAGTAGTAAGCGATATGATAGCGCAGGGAGAATGGGCCCGAGTGAGACAAGTGAGCTGAGCGGGAGGGATTACAAAGGATGAGAGGTGGAGTGTGGGGGATCCTGGAGAATGGATGATGGGTGGTAGAAGAAGATAGAAACAAGGAGAGCTACGCACATCGGCCAATCGGTCGCCGCATCTCCCGGCGTCAAACAGATGTGTCTGGTTGAACACCTGACCCCTCCAGTTCACAAATACGTTCCGCAGCCGGAAAAGCTGCCCGGACCATTCCTTTTGGCTGCCCGGATCTGGTATATCCACCTGTAATGACTCCGGCCACTCCCCCTGCTCCTCCCAAAATCTTTTCATTTTCAAGACTGCGTCTGCACACTGCGCTGGGACGACCCTGGTCATCTCAAGCTCATCCGGAATCTCCGGGCAGAATGCAGGAAACTTTTTCTGCTGCCCGGAGGGGGTCTGCTCCAATAGGTCCACGAAATCTCTGTTCCAGCATGCCTCAATCTGCCCCAGGGCACCTGAGCAGGGTGAAAATTCCGGGCAGCTCCCTCCTTTACACCCCCCTCCTCTCCCCCGAGCATCGCCTCCTCCTGCATAGAACCCCAAGGCGACAACGGAGAGATCTGCACCGTTGATTCGCGCTGTCGTGGATTCATCAGCAATAACGGGCCTCTGTGGGCCATTGGATTCCCCAGATGCGCCTTCCCAGAGTACCACCTCCGATCCTGACGCCCCCGAAGCGCGACCAGCCCGACCAATCAGCTTCCTCCTGCTGCCGCTGCTATCCTCGCCTCTCCAATCGCTGCTGGGCCCGATTCTACTACCGGCTCCGGCGCTTTCGGCCAAGGAAGCTGCGAGGAAGGAACCTTCGCAGGATACAGAAGCAGCAGCGGGGACGTTGGTCAGCGCGATAACGCGCCGCGAACGGACTGACAGGTGGAGAAAGACGAGGAAGAGGAGGATGGATCTGTATGGACAGAGTTGCGTGTAGCCGATCCGGAGTGTCATTTCAGAGCCTAGGGAGCATCAGAAGTCGTTCATTGAGGCGCGGAAGAGCGACACGGGCAGCGAGCATCTGAACCTGCTGCACTAGACTCTTCCAATCAGACTCTTCCAAGAAGTGAGAGTAGGTCTAACTTTGGCCAGACCGACCAGACTTCTTTCGGACTGAGGGACGTACGACGCGCAACGTGCTAAAAAAAAATTGAGTCGCATATTCCAGAAATCGGCTTTCTCAATGCATCGCAAAACGGAGTGGTAAGGACTAGTACCGACAGTTCAATCTGTGCGCTTCTGTGCATGAAGGGATGGTAAGCCACAACTCGTGAAGCGGGAGTGGAAAACCGCACTGAGAGATTGGACTGAGCGGAGCAACTGACGGCGGTAGCACAAACCCGCCGAAATGCTGAACCAATGCCAGCTTCAGGCAGAACAATGCAGGCAGGAATGAGAGATAGACACGGAATTGGCAAACGAAAGAGTGAGCGGACGGCAAGCGGCTGGAGTGGTAGGCAGGTGATTTTGACTGATTCAATCATAACGCTTTCAATCCCTAGAATGTGTGCCTCCACCCGGTTTGAATAGAATTCTTGATAGCGAGGATATGTGTTCATGTCCTTGCAATACTTGTGCGCTTGTTTTATTGCACACATAGAACATATAGTGTAGTGGTTGGTTACGAGGACAAACCACTTATTGACACCCAAGCTGGATTTGCCCAATCACAGAGCTCGAGGATTTTCGTTGATGCTGTGGGTGCTGGGCGTGAGCGAGGGTATACCACCAGGCACAAGTATCGCCAACCTTTTCCCCCCTGCATGCTCCCGCCCACGCCTTGAGCGAATACGCCCGCAAGCCAGCGAACCAATCAGCTGCTTCTGAAACTTTCGGTATATTCGTCAGCCCACCTCATCAGTCATGCCTCCGAAAACTTTTGTGTTTTCGCCGTTTCGCCAGCTCAAGCACCATTCGGGCAAATGCGGCGTTCGCTTTGTGCTGACTCCACCCCCAGAACCTGGAACTGATCAACAGGATATTCAGCCACCTGGGGTTCCAATAACGAGACAGGCCTCGCTTTCTGATTTCGAGGCCCAACCGTGTTCTCCCTCGATATAAGCTGCCCAGCGCTGAAACTTCTGCGCCAAACTCCTCCTGCCTCCCGCTAAAGTCTGTTCCCCTGATGCAAAGGTCCACCCTCCCCTTTCCCCTTCTTCCCCCAACCCTGCTTCTGTGATTCTGCGAACCTTGGGATTTGCTGGCTGCTTCAAATGCCCCAGCCTGTTCATTGATCGTACTTCTCAGATCTTTTTTCTGATCCCTTGATCCTAGTTCCTTGTGTCAATCACCATTCCTTTTCTTCATGGTCGCTGGATTTCACACGCGACCTAAGCCGTTGTCAGCTCGGCATCGCGCCGCCTGTCGGTGGTTTGTCGGGAATTTTCGAGTAGATTGATGTCCCAGCAACCGGGTAGGGCCGATAGATCGGATCAGGCGAACCGGAAAGGGAGAGGAGGCGGGACGAGTGGTCCGCGCCAGCAGGGGGTTCCGCAAGGAGGAAAGGGGCCCAGCCCCGTAGTTAGCAGTCAGAGCTCTGCTGCCGGCTCATCTGCCGGCTCGGCTGCCGGACGCGGTCAACCGCAAGGAGTGGGACGAGGGTACGTGATTCGATGTTTCAAAGCGCGGTAGACTGTAGTGAACATTGTGGGTAGTGTCATGCAGTAATTAGTAGATTACGTTAGCTAATCGTTTACTGCGGAGAAGCAGCAGATCCTAGGTATTAGGATATAACATAAGCAGCAGCTCGAAGGTTATAGCATATCGTGAGTAGTAGCAGCTTGGGGTAATAAATATCTTAAGAGAGGACGACTGTAGATACCTTGCTGGAGTTCGTATGTGGAGCAGACATGGAGATTATTTGATTGTCCCCTCCCGTGGGCCTTTCGGTTCAGTTTCCCGCGACAACTAGTTTTGTGATCTGCTCATGCCAGTTGGTCTGTCTGATCCGTTAGGTTACTTAGCCAGCAGGTTTAGACATCGACCACGCGTAATCCGACATTCGGACGTGATCTGGCATTCAGGCGTGAAATATTGGTGTTACCATAGTTTCACGGATTGAACAGACCTGTTGACGCGTGTTTGCGAGGTTTTCCGCAGCCAGCAGATCGACCGTTTTTTCGTTCCAGTCTCGTTCAAGGCCGCTTGCTTCCGATACCTAGGTCGCTCTGCGACTTTCTCCCTTGACTGTTTTCCTCCATACTTGATCCCAGACAACCCTTTTTCACGTATTTCCCTCACCGTTCCGCGGATCTTTCCCGATCCTTTGTCTAATTCCGCTTCCCCCTACTTCAGGTTCCGCCGGACACCGAATGGCCCCGCGGAAGGCGCAACGAGCGCCGGCGGTGCGGGCAGAGGCGGCATCGGTCGGGGAAGCGGGCAGGGGATGCCAGGCGCAGCGGGAATAGGCGGAGCTGGCGGGGGATCCGGCGGAGGTCCGGGCGGGTATCGTGGAGCAACAGGTAGGCATATGGAGAGGAAGAAAAGATACGGTAGTTGCGTGTACTGTAACAAAGTGTAGATGCTTACAGATTGTCGTGCCGGAGCTGGTTGGTCACGACAGAAGAAATCCGCTCCGTGAAACAGAAGTACATACATACAGTGGAGACCAGAACGAAGGAATTAAAATAAGGATTAAGAGATCGGTGTATTCAGCTAGAAGTATGACTGGGTTGGTAAGTGTATTCTACTTGTACTGCGCCTTATCTTGGAGACTCAGACTCGGTATGCCAAGTTGCCGCGATTTTTCATGTGGCGTGATCCATTCGCCAGCCGGGGCGAGGGTATTATTGAGGCGTATTTTGTATGTTTTGCCTGTGCCTGCCTCTATGTTCTTGCCTTGTACCGATTCCCATTCAACAAACTTTCCTGTTCGATTGCTCCCCTTCGCTGATGCAGGTGCTCAGTCCCAGCAAAGATATGGATCAGCGGCAGTCGCGGGAAACGGTCCCACACCAGCAGCAGCGCCTGCGCCTTCCGCTTGGGGCGCAGGCCCTGCGCGCACAGGTGCGCCTACCCCCGCCGCTTCCACCACCCAGCAGCGGCAGCAACAGCAACCAGCGGTGCAGTTGTCGTCTGGCCCGGGGATTCCAGGGTTCGAATCCGCGCCTCCGCCTGCGGATTCCGCCTTCCCCGGTCTCTCCTGTTCCACGTCCGCGGGCGGAGCAGCAGTTCGGCCTGGGGCTCCGGGCGTAGCTGCGTCGGGCGCAGGCGCGCCTGCGCCAGTAGCAGGGTCTGGGGGAGCGCCTGGCGCAGGACCCGCGGGTGTGCCTGCGCCGAGACTATCGTTTGCCGCTGCCGCAGCGGCTGGGGGGATGTCGTACGCGCAAAGAGCAGCGCAGGCGCTGAATCGCGCGGCTGCACCGCCCGCCCAGGCGCAACAGGCGCAGGCGGAGCAAGCGCGGGTGGGCGGAAGCGGGGCGCAGCAAGCGGCAGGTCAAGCAGGGGAAGCCGCCTCACAGGGGAAGGCGGACGCTGCTAAGCCGCCGCAGGGCACGGAAACAGCAGCACAGGCGGGTAGTGCATCTCAAGCAGCTGTGCAGAAGCAGCCGGATCAAACACGCACCCAGCAACTTCAGCAGCAGCCGTGGCAGGGTCAGAAGCCTCAAGTACCAGCCGCAGCAGCGGCCTCAATCCCTACAGCCACAGCAACCGTTACCAAGCCTGTTGCTCCGTCCGCCACAGCTGCTACTGCTACTGCCACTGCTACTGCTGCGGCGGCGGCGGCTGCATCCGCAGCAGCAGCTGCTGTTTCTGCTACTTCAGGCGCTTCTGCCCCAGCCCAGTCCTTCGCAGCAGCAGCTGCTGCTGGTGCCGCGGCTGCTTCTTCTAAAGTGCCTGCCGCAGTGGTTGCCAAGCCAGGCCAATCCGTCGCGCCTGTTCCCCAAACCTCCACCGCAGGCTCGGCAGCAGCGCCGGCGGGGTCCCTCACAGGGTTCTTGTCAGCTGCGCGCGCGGGGCTAGGGGAGGGCGCAGGCACAGGCGCAGGCGCAGCTGGTGGGGTGGGGATGGACGGGGGTCAGGGGGCAGCGGGCGGGGCAAAGGGTGGCGCAAAGGGTGGGGCGAAACCACCTGCGAAGGCTCCTGGTCCTGCTGCGGCTGTAGCAGGGCCTCCTGCTCTCCCCCCCGGCGTATCGCCTGTAGCTCTGCAGTTCGGCACGTTCAACCCTAACTTCATGGGCGCTAGTGGCCCCGTCATTGTACGCCCCGTTTCCCCTTTCTCTCTTCCTCGCTCCCGTCCTCTGTCTCTCACCACTTGAGCTGCTTTCGCTTGGGCCTCCGCTCCCGTTGTTACAACTGTTAATGATATGCTAGGTCAGTTCTCTCTTGCCTCCTCCGTCTATTCACCACCTGTGCTGTTCCATTTTCTCACCTGCTTCCGTGGCTTCTGCTGCAGGTTCCCCCCCGCACCACGTCTGCTCCACCCAATCTGGACGAGCAACAGAAGGAGCAGGTACACACCATCGGCCCCACCGTGCTTCGCTCTCCGCCTTCTCTGCTCGACCTTCCCATTCCCCGCTGCTGTCTTATGTTCACTCTTGCTTTTCTTCTCTCTCACTCCCTTCCCTAATTTTGTTTGCGTTTTGTAACAAGCCTCCCACAAACAAACCCCCCTCGCCCAAGCCCCAACCCGATCGTGCGTGACTCAAGACCTTGCTCCATGCCAGCAGCAAACTGTTACATCCAGAAAGTTCCGCTTTACCTCTTACGCCAATCTACTCTTCCCTGCCTGCCTGCCTGCTTGTCGTCTACCTGCCTACCTGTCCCTTGTCTTTCTCCTGCCCATCAGGCGCGGCACGAGGCCATGCTTCGCCAGCAGCAAGCAGCCAAGTCCGGAGAAGCAGGGGCAGCACCGGCAGTCCCTAAAGCCCCTATCGGCGGAAGCATTCCAGAAGAATCCCAACAGGTGCTCCCGGCTCCTTCCGCTGCTGTTTCCACTAGTGGCAGCGCAATTACTGCTCCAGTTGCTGCAGGGGCGGGAGGAGCCTCAGGAATTGTAGCAGGGGCACCAGCAGGAGCAGCAGCAGGAGCAGCAGGGGGGCAGAATGTTGGGGGAGTAGCAGCGGGAGGAGGTGGGGCGGGGAGGGGGATGGGACGAGGGGGGCAGCAGGCACATGGAGGGGGCAGAGGGGGCGCGGGGATCTTGTCGTCTGCTGGGGTCAGTGCATGGGGCGCAGGCGCTGCAGGGGCAGGCGCGCCTGGCGCAGGTGGTGCGGGTGCATCTGGGATAGGTGCATCTGGTGCAGGTGCAGGTGCGGCATTGGGGAGTGAGGTCGGAGTAGCAGCGGCACGACAGAACCAACAGCAACAGCAGCAACAGCAACAGCAGCAGCAGCAGCAGCAGAAGCAACAGCAACAGCAACAGCAACAACAACAGCAACAGCAGCAGCAGCAACAGCAACAGCAACAGCAGCAGCAGCACCTGCAGCAGCAGAGACTGCATCAACACCAGCTTCAGCAGCAGCAACAGCAACAGCAGCCTCGCGGTCAGGGCTTCCAACAACCTCCGTTTCAGCACCAACACATTCCGCTACACCAACAGCACCATCACGCTCCAGGGCAAGTCCCCATCCCTCTGCAGCAGCAACAACAACAGCAGCAACAGCAACAGCAACAACAACAACAACAACAACAACAACAACAGCAACAGCAGCAGCAACAGCAGCAGCAGCAGCACAGACCCCAACACCCCGGGCAGCCATCCCAGCAACCCCCACAGCCCTCCCCTCCTCCGCCGCTCGTTCAACCGCCCTTGCAGCCTCTTCCCGCCCCTCACATACGCCCTCCCCTGATGATGCCTGGCGGCCAGCCTCAGCTACAACCGGGTCAGCTACAACCGGGCCAGCTACAGCCTCAGCTACAGGGTCCGCTACAGCAGGGCCCACTACAGCAGGGCCCTCTGCAGCCAGGCTCGATACAGGCTCAGTTACAGAACCAGCTACAGCAGCTGCCGCCTCACCTGCAGCATGCTGCCATAGCGCTACAGCAACAGGGCCACGGCCTTCCCCCGCATTTGCAGCATCCTGGATTACACCAGCCGGGTTTGTCCCCTCAACCAGGGATGGGGATGGGACAGCAGCAGCAGACGCAACCAGGGCAACAGCAGCAACAGCAGCACCAACAACAGATGCAGATGCAGCAGCAGCTGCAGTCACAACAGCAGCAGCAACAGCAACAGCAGCAACAACAGCAACAGCAGCAGCAGCAAGGTCAGGGACCCCACCCTTCCCCTCCCCCACCCCAGCAACAACTACAGCAGCAGCAGCAGCAGCAGCAGATGCAGCAGCAGCAGGCACCGCATATGCTGCAGCACCAGCCGCAGCAACACATCATGGTGGCTTACCAACAGCACGGCCCGTCAGGCATGACCATTCAGTACGGCACTGTCCCAGCAGGGTCACAATATCCAGGCATGCAAAACCCTAAGCCCTCTGCGCTGCTACAACCCCGGGCAAGCCGGGCACTTAAAATTATGGATCCAACCACTCAGAAAGAGGTGAAGGTAGAAAAAGTGCCCGCGACTAAAGCCAAGCCCGGCTCAGGAGCAGCAGGAGCAGGAGCAGGAGCAGCGGGAACAGGAACAGGAGCAGCAGGAGGAGCAGGAGGAGGGGCGAAGGGAGGGACGGGCGCAAGGGCAGGGGCAGCAGGAGGGGCAGGGGAGGGCGCAGGTGCGGGGGCAGGGGGAGCAGCAGGAGGGGCAGCAGGAGGGGCAGCAGGGGCAGCAGGGAGAGGTACATCAAGCGCTACCACCTCCCCTGCTCCTCATGGGCTTACCTCAACCCCTCCTGGTCTGACCTTCGAAATCCCAGCCCAACCACCCACCCCAGGTTCCGCCCCCACTACTCCCCACGGCGGACTAGTCTCCCCCGCTGCTGCTGGGGTGGCAGCAGCAGGGGTGGCGGGCCGAGGGATGCCTATTGGGGTGGCGGCAGCAGCAGCAGGCGCGCGCCCCCCCATGGGGTTCCCGCAGCCTCAGCACATGCTTCCATCCATGTACTATCCGGGCATGCCTGGTGTGGGGGGAGTGGCAGGTATGCCTGGGGTACCCGGGGTGGCTGGTGTTCCCCCCGGTGCCTTCCCCCAGCCGCGCTTCTTCCCCCCACAGCAGCCTGGGCCTATCCCAGCAGGAGGGGGGATGGTCGGGGGGCCAGGAGGGGGAATGGGCGGGCCAGGGGCAGGCGGGCAGGGGAGATTTACCCCCTCGTATCCACAGCAGGCAGGGCATGGCGGGGGGTTGAGGCCGCATATGGGACATGTTTTGCCACACCAGCAGTTGCCTGGGGGTGGGCCGGCTGGTATGGTGCACTATGCTACTGGTGCCGTACCTGGCGCCGTGCCTGGTGCTTCAGGTTCGGGAGCGGGTGGTCCGGGCGCTGGCGGGACTGGTTCGGGGGCAGGAGAGGAAATGTCCATGCCTGGGATGGATGGTATGGGGAGCATGCCTGTGTCGTCGCCGGTCGGTCCGGGGCCAGGTATGGCGATCCCGAACCTGCCTATGATGTCTCCTGTAGGCTCGGGAGGGCCGGGTGTTGGGGGGTATTTGATGGGCGCGGGTACAGGGTTTGTGATTCCAGGGCATGGGCGGGGAGTTGGCAGAGGAGGGGGAATGGGAGGAATGGGGGGAGGGGGAATGGCAGGGGGAATGCACGGGAGGGGGTCAGGGGGGGGAGCAGGGGGTGCAGGGGGGGCAGGGGGGACAGGACATGGGGCAGGTAGGGGAAGCGGGGTAAGTGCACAGGTCATGTCTTCGAATCGTATCGTCGTGTCTACAGCTGGACTTGTTCCCAGCGTGCCATCGCCAGGTTCGGGAACGCGAGACAGGCCCGGGGCAGGTCCGGATGGGCTGAAGAGGTCCGAGAGTGGCAAGGCGGCAGGGCCAGTCGTTCGGAGCCCATCTGGTGGTGCTGGTACAGGGCAGCAGGGGAAGGAGGAGAAGGGAGGGAAGGAAGGGGAGGAGAGCGTGGGAGAGACAGTGGTGGAAAAGAAAGAGGAGGGTGAGAAGGGCGAGGAGAAGCGGGAGAAGGGGAGCGAAGAGGCTGCGAAGGAGAGTGCAGGAGAGGAGGAGAAGCGGAAGGGAGAGGAAGCAACTGCAAATGGGGAAGGGGGCGTAGCAGGAAAGAGTTTAGAGGTTGAGGAGAAGAGGAAAGAGGAAGTGGCAGCCAAGGCCGCAGGGGAGCCGGTTGCAGCAGAGGGGGGTGCAGGGAAGGAAGCTGCAGGGAAGGAGGTTGAAGTGAAGGTGGTAGAAGCGAGGGATGGGAAGGACGGTGGTGGTTCAGAAGTGAAGGAGGAAGGAAAGAAGGCAGGCGGGGAGGGCACTGGTGTTTCTGCACCTGCTGCTGCTCCAACTGCTGCTCCTAATTCTGCTGCTCCTGCTGATGCGGCTGTTGGTCCTGCTGCTGCCGCTATTCCTGGTGCAACGGTCGCTCCTGTGGTGGTGAAACCAGTGGAGGAGAGGAAGGAGGCAGAGGGGCTGAGTGGGGAGGCGGGCGCAGCAAAGGATAAAGGAGAGGAGAAGAAGGGAGGGAAAAAGAAAGACAAGAAGGAGAAGAAGAAGAAAGGGGAGGAGAAGAAGGAGAAGGAGGAGAAGAAGGAAGGGAAGGAGAAGGCAGAGGAGAAAGATGCAGGCAAGAAAGAGGGGGAAGCAGTGCAGGAGCCTGAGGGGGAGAAGGCTAAAGGAGAGGAGGAGGTTCAATTGGAGGTTCAAGTGCCCCCCAAATCTCAGGTTACGGCAGTTACTGCTGTTGCTGCGACAGCTGCTGCAGCTGTTGCCACTACAGCCGTGGCTGCTGCAGTCGGTGCAGCTGCTGCTACAGCTGCGGGCAATAACGAGGCTGGCGAAACTGAAGGGAGTGCTGCTGCTAAGACCGAAACTGGTGAGGGTGCTGAGGTGAAAGAGGGGGCTGAGACGGAGGCGGGGGGTGAGGTGGTTAAGGAGGGGGATAAGCAGGAGAGGGAAGGCGAGGCGGTTAAGAAGGGGAAGGAGGAGGAGGGGGAGGAAGTGGAGGGGAAGGTGAAAGAGAAGAAGGGGGAGGAAAGTGCTGAGATTGCTCCTGCCAAGGCAGAAGAGAGCAATCAGGTGGACGAGACGAAGGAGGTAAAGACGGAGGAGGTGGAGGAGAGGGAGGAAAAGAAGGAAGAGAAGGAGGAGGGCCAAGTGGAAGAGCGACATGAGAAGGGTGCGAGTGAGAAGGGAGGGGAGAAGTCTAAGTCAGCAGCAGCTGCTGCTGCTGCAGCAGCAGCGGCTGCCACTACTGCTGCAGCTACAGCTGTTGCTGCTGCTACAGCCGCTGCTACAGCTGCTGTTGCTCCTGCCAAGAAGAAGAAGCTGAAGAATATCCTGGCAGAGAAGGATGCTGTTGTATCTCAACCCGCTGACCTCTATAACGCGTTCACTACTCCTGCTGCCAAGGACAAGGAGGGAGAAGGGAAGAAGGAAGCGGGGAAAGCACAAGAGCAACCAGGACTGCCTGAGGGTGAGATGACTGTGGACGGAAAGAAGGACGAGGCTGCAAAGGCAGCGAAGCAGGAGGAGGAGAAGAAAGAAGAGGAGGTGGATGATTGGGAGGAAGCAGTGGACACAGATGCTGCTGGGAAGGGTCGTGCTGGGAAGGGAGGGGCAACAGAGGCAGGAGCTGCGGGGGCCACCCCTGCTGCTGCTGCTGCCGCTGCAGCAGCCGCTGCTGCTGTGGCTGCAGCCACTGCAGCAATCGGAGCAGCAGGTAAAGGCCCTGCACCAGCAGCAGCAGCAGCAGCAGGCACAGCAGCAGCAGCAGCAGCAGCAGGAGCAGCAGCAGCGGCGGCGGCAGCACAGAAAGGAGCAAAGGGTGCAGAGGCTGCTGCAAGCAACGCGGATGGCACTTACAAGTACTCTCGAGACTTCCTCCTCACGCTTAGAGACTCCCACAGGGACCTCCCAGGCGACATGGATTTCCGTTCCTTCCTGCGCGAGTGTAATGCTGTGCTAAAACCGCCTGCCGCACAAAGAATTCAGCAGATGGCGGCTCAGGGGTTCAATCGCCCTATGGACGCCCTGGCAGGTGGACCTGGGGGAGGCTTTACCCGGCCAGGTATGGACGAGGACCGGTGGGCCAGAGGCCCGGGTATGGTTCCGAGAGGTCCGGGCGGAGGTATGGACGGAGGGGTGCTGGGCGCGCCTGGAGGTCCGGGGTTCAGAGGTCCGGGAGGCGGGCCGCCTATGGGTATGGGAGGCCCGGGGATGCGGGGAGGAATGGGGGGACCTGGGGGGCCGTTGCTGGGGAGGGGGGATAGGGGGGTGCTGCCCCATGGTGGCCCTGGGATGGGGGGACCTGGGGGATGCCTATGGGTGGTCCGAGGGGAGGAGTGGATGCGGATAGATGGCAGAGAAACCCGATGCAGAACCGTCCTGCTGCCCCTGCGGGACCCCCGCTGCCTGCGATTCACAAGACGGAGAATCGGTACAAGGCAGGGATGGTCTCAGATGAGGAGGAGAAGAAGCAGAGGTTGGTCAAGGGGATTCTGAACAAGCTGACTCCCCAGAATTTCGACAAGTTGTTCAATCAGGTGAAGGAGGTGCAGATTGACTCGCCTGAGACGCTCACGGGGGTCATTGGGCAGATTTTCGATAAGGCATTGCTAGAGCCGACGTTTTGTGAGCTGTATGCTAAGTTCTGCCAGGCGCTGGCTGTGGAACTGCCTCAGTTCGGGGAGGGGGATGACCGGGTGACGTTTAAGCGCACGCTTTTAAATAAGTGCCAGGAGGAGTTTGAGCGCGGGGACCAGGAGCAGCTAGATGCAGAGAAGGAGGAGGAGGAGGTGGAGGTGGAGGAGGAGGAGGAAGGGGAGGGAAAGAAAGGGGAAGGGGAGGGGAAAGATGGGGCGGACGGGAAGGGGGAAACGGAGGGGAAGAAGGAAGGGGAGGAAGGAAAGAAGGAAGGAGAGGAAGGGAAGGAAGGGAAGAAGGAAGGGGTGAAGGGAGGCAAGGTGATGGTGAAGAAGATGGTAAAGTTGACGGAGGCGGAGAGGCAGAGCAGGAGGCAGAAGGCTCGGAGGCGCATGCTGGGGAATATCCGCTTTATAGGAGAGCTCTATAAGATGAGCATGCTCACAGAGCGCATCATGCACGGGTGCATTCAGAAGCTTCTTGGAAACACTGAGGTGGGTGGACTGCTTTGAATCCGGTGTGGGACTGCCTTTGACTGTGGTTCGTTTCTGCTTTCTTCCTCCTTTTTGTTCGCTGGAGGGAGGGGCGTTTTGTTTGTTGGGCGCTGTATACTCGCCTTGGCTTTCCCCTCATGTTGCCCCGTGTTTCCCCTGTCGCCCCTGCTCCCCTCCCCCCTGTTCCCCACGCCCCTCCCACCTGTTCCCCACACGCTTCCCCCCTGTTCCCCACGCCCCTCCCCCCTGTTCCCCACACACTTCCCCCCCTGTTCCCCACACACTTCCCCCCCTGTTCCCCACACCCTCCCCCCTGTTCCCCACACCCTTCCCCCCTGTTCCCCACACCCTTCCCCCCTGTTCCCCGCGCCCCTCCCCTTCCCCCCCTTCAGGATCCAGACGAGGAGGACATAGAAGCTCTCTGCAAGCTGCTGGCGACCATCGGCCATATCATCGACCACGAGAAGGCCCAAAGCCACATCGACGCATACATGGCCCGTATCGCCCACCTCTCCACCTCCCCGAAGCTCTCCTCGCGCATTCGCTTCGCCCTGCAAGACATTCTGGAGCTCCGGGAGAACAAGTGGCAGGCCCGGAGGAAGGTCGAGGGGCCAAAGAAGATCGACCAGGTGCATAGGGATGCGCGGGACGAACGGTCCAATGCCGTCGCGACAGCTGGCAGGCAGATATTGGAGCGCGGGGGTGGGGGGAGTAGGGGCCCGGGCGGCGGCATGGGGAGTGGGCGGCGGCCGGATTTTGGCATGGAGCCGCCCGGGCGGCCGGGTTTGGCTGGGTCTGGGTCGATGAGGGGCGGGTCGGGGCTGATTGGGGGGCAAGGGGGGCCGGGGGGAGGGATGTATGGGCGGGGGCCAGGGTATGGACACCCAGGGGGGATGGGGGGAAGAGGGGGAGGCCCTGGCGGGTATGAGGGGAGGGGGGGGATGGAGGATATGGGTCGGCCCATGCCTCTCCCCCAGAGGAACATGGAGGAGGGGGAGTTGAAGCTGGGGCCGCATGGGGGCCTGGGGAGACCTGTGGGCGGAGGGCCAGGGGGAGGCATGGGCGGGGGGATGAGGGGGGGACCTGGGGGTCCCGGGGGACCTATGGGGGGACCCATGGGGGGCTTATGGGGGGCCCAGGGCGCGGGGGACCTGAAGTTCCCCCAGGCGCCATGCCTCCTGAGATGCGCAGGTTCGGGCCGAGCCAGAGCGAGAGGTTTGGGCCAAGGTTGGGTGATAGAGACGCGCCCATGAGGCAAGGCCCTGGCGGTTATGGGGAGAGAGGAGGGGAGAGAGAAGGGGGGCGGGGATTAGTAGGCCCTGGGTCAAGGAGTATGATGATGGGGAGAGGAGGGCCTGAGGGGAGAGGGTATGGCGGGCGGGGGATGGGGATGGAGAGGGAGAGGGAGAGGGAGAGGGAGAGGGAGGTGGATGCATGGAGAAGAGGCACGAGAATTGATGAGGAGCCGCAAGCAGGTGGTGGTAGGGAGGGAGGTAGAGACGGATGGAGGGACGTGGGGAGAGGAGAAGGAGGGAGAGGGGAGGTGGGGAGAGGGGGAGGACCGGGAGTGGGGCCAGGGGCAAGAGAGGGAGCAGGAGGAGCAGGAGGAGGGGGGGCGGGAGCAGGAGCGGGAGCAGCAGGGGGGGCGGGAGGGGGAGCAGGAGGGGCGAAGGCGGGGGCAGGGATGGATGAGGAGGGTGCTGTGGCTAAGGCCAACAGTGCAGTGGAAGAATTCCTCAGGTGACGAGTCAGTTTTCCATCAGTCAGTTTTCCTCAAGTAATTTGCCATGTAATGGCTGACTTAAAAGTCACCTTGGATGGGGAGAAGGCCGCTGGTGCATCGAGCAGCTGCAAGCGCTGCAGCAACAACAGCAGCTCCCTCACACCTTCTAATCACTGCCTTTTCTCCCTCTTCTCCTTTCCTCTCCCCTCCTTTTTATCTGCTTTCCCACAGTGCACGTGACTTCAAGGAGGTGTGCCTGTGTATCGAGGAGCTGCAGTCAGCGCAGCATCACGGGGCGATAGTGGCGGGGTGGGTGGCAGCAGGGCTGGATAAGAAGGAGGCGCAGAGGCAGCAGGTGGAAGACCTGGTGGTGCGCCTTTGCTGCGAGCCCAAGCCCGCACTCTTCACGAGCGAACAGATTCAACAAGGGTAAGGGCATAGAAGTGTAGGTGTATGAAAGGGGAGGTGGGGCAAGCGTAGGTGGGGTGGGGTGGGTGGTGGCAGGGCTGGACAAGAAGGAGGCGCAGAGGCAGCAGGTGGAGGACCTGGTGGTGCGGCTGTGCTGCGAGCCCAAGCCCGCACTTTTCACGAGCGAACAGATCCAGCAAGGATAGGTGCATGGAAGGGTAGGTGCATGGAAGGGTAGGCGAGGGTTCTGGGTTCGGTGTTAAGCGAAGGAGGCGCAGAGGCAGCAGGTGAAGGACCTTGTGGTGCGCCAGCCCAAGCCCGCACTCTTCACAAGTGAACAGATTCAATTCAACAAGGGTAGGTGGGGAAGTGTAGGTAAGGCGGGGGGGGCAAGGGTAGGTGGGCAGAGGGAGCACGGGTAGTTGGGATTACAGACATGCTGATCGACAAGGGCAAAAAGCTCCTCCCCGAACCCCCCCTTACCCCTACTCACGTCATCCTTCCTTCCCCTTCCTTACCCTGGTTCTTTGTCCCCCTTCTTCCCCCTTCTCCTCTCCTCCCTCTCCGCCCTCTTCCCTACCCCACCTCAGTCTGGTGAGAGTCTTCCAGGAGCTCGAAGATTGGTCAGTTGATGCCCCCAAGGCCCCACAGCACGTGGGCCGCCTGATTGGCCGGCTCGTGGCAGCTGGCGCCGTCCCATTGGGCGACGTGGCCCGGCTGGTGAAATCAGGCGGTGCAGAGGAGGGGAGTCTGGTGGAGATGGGTGAGGGGATGAAGGTGATGGCAGCGGTGGTGGGCGCAGTGAGGGGGGAGAAGGGGGAGAAGGAGGTGGGGGAGATGGTGCGGGCGGCGGGGATTGAAGGGCCTGAGGAGTTTATGGAGGAGAGGGCGAGAGGGAGGAAGGAGAAGGTTGAGGAGGCGCAGAAGGCGCTGGGGCTGGCAGGTGCTACTGATCCGGTGGGTGGTGTGTGGGTGTGATGAGTGGTGTGTGGATTTGGGAATTGATGTGTGGATGAGTGAGTGGTGTGTGCTGCGAGTGTTATGCTAGTGATAAGGTCTTACTTAGCCTAGTCTGTTACAACATCTCCCTTCTCCCTCTTCCTCCCTCTCTTTTTTTTTGTCTTTTTTTCTTATTTTTGGGGGAAGAAGGGGGGGGGGGGGGGGGGGGGGGGGGGGGGGGGGGGGGGGGGGGGGGGGGGGGGATGGAACACAGTAAACCTTCCGCGTTCTTGTCATTCCTTGTTGCGGTGCACCTAGATGGCCCTTTTTTTTAAGAGATCCACATTCCTGACCCCTCTCCCCTCTCCCCTCTCCCCTCTCCCTCTGCATTTGTATGATTCCGTGCCAGCTGCAAGCAGTGGCAGAGCACCTGAAAGACGCTTTTGCCAAGGGAGAATCAGCAGAGGCTGTGCTTAAATGGCTTCAGGTGAGATCTCAGTTGCTTGGAGTCCAGGTGAGATGTCAGGTGACTTAAGGTGGAGGTCCAGGTGGGGTTCCAGGCGGGACTGGTTTCAGCTGGATGATGTGCGTGTAGCCATGGTTAGTACTGTGAGCACAATCCATCCGTCGCAAGAGCATGCAGTGTACCTCCATGCACTGACATCCCTCTCGTGTATTCTTGCGTGGTTTCTAGTTTCTACAGCATCAGCCTGTCCCTTTGCGCCCTTCCCTGCGACCCGATGGCATCCTTCCACATGCGCCCTTCCCTGTGCCTGCTACAGGCCAACACTCCGCCTGACACCCCAGCGCAGCCTGCTTTCCTGCGCCTGCTCATGCACTCGCTGCTGCAGCAGTGCATTGGCGCGAGCAGACAAGACTTCAAGGTGTGGACCTAACTGGCTGGCTGCCTCGTTGACTGCTGACTGGTCTAATACTTTGACTGATTGACTAATTGACCGAGCAGCTGTCTGCCTTCCCACTGACTGTCTGCATGTGTGGTCCGAATGATCGACCCTTACACTGCTTGATTCCTTCTTGTTTAACCTCTTCCCTCCGTCTCGCTATTCATTTCCCTTTGTCCCTACCTGCCAGTCTCTTTTTTCCCGCAACTCTTCCTTATTTGTTTCTAGTGGGCAATTTTATCATTTTCCCCCCCCCCCCTTTCATGCTGGCACTGCTGGCAATTGGCATGTGACTGCAAGCAGAAGCTACTGGCAGGGCCAGTGAAGAAGTATGCCAAGGTCTTTCAGGAGTACGCAGCAAAGAAGCAAAAACCCAACCAGGTTCAATGTGAGTGCTTGCTTCCCAGTCGCCTCTCTGTTCCACCACTTCCTTTCCCGATCCCGCTAGGACCTCCTTTCCAGTTTCTTATTTATCCTTTTTCAAAAGTGACTTCAATATTCTGGAAGCTGTTTTTTATCCTGGCGACTCTCCCAGAAGCTGCTTCTTTTTTTTTTTCAGCTTATTATTGCACCGTTTTTTTTTTGCACCCTCGACTTCAGATCTTTTCGGAGCTCAAGAATTTGCAGAGTCGTGTGGGCACCCACAGGGTCTGCTAGACGCGGTCTTTAGAACACTCTACGACCTCGATGTGAGTCTCGCTCTTTGCACACTGTTCCATGTGTTCATGGAATTGAGTGTGTGGAGCAGCTTATGTTGTGCAGGGCTTAGGGAAGACAATTTTCTAGCCATCAATACTCTGCCCCTCCCTCCATCCCCCTCCCTCTTACCGACTCTGCCGTCTTTCCTAGTCTGTCTGGGCGCAGTTGGTAGAGGAGCTCGTGCCGTTTAGAGCTTCGGGGAGACTACAAGCACCCTAAGGACGCGGCACCTCTAGAAATTTTGCAGGATCGATCGCAGGATCGCTGATTGCACCGCACTGAATTCCTCTAAAAGCATTGAAATTTCCCAACACTTTTTTTAACTCCGCGAAAATTCGATCCTGCGCAGGATCGATCGCAGGATCGGTGCTACAGGTGCCGCGTCCTAACTTTTACCATTCCAAATATTCCTTCTCTGCGTTTCCTTCCCTCTGATCAATCCCCTCATCTTGTCCCTTTTCGGAGCAGGTGGTGGAGGAGCTGATGTTGTTTAGGTGGCAAGACGACAACAAGGACCCAACACCTGGCAAGCAAAAGGTCCGTGCCATAGCTTCTGCAGAAGCAAGGATTGCCGTTTGGTTTGTGTCAAGAGGGCTTTGTACTTTATCTCTGGCGTCACATCTTGCCGCTCTCTTTTACGTTTGTCGATTTGTTTATTTGACACTGCAGGCATATTTGGACGTGCGCCATTTTCTTAATTGGCTAAGCACGGCACAGGAGGAGGGCACAGAGGAAAACGGTGGGGATGAAAATGCTTGACAACAGTATTCTACACCTGATGGAAGAGAAACTCGAAAAAACGTGCAGATCCATGGCTTTAGAAGGCCATAGATGAGAACATTGAGAAGGCAAATGCCTGTACAACCATTCTAGTCACACTGTTGTTTGTACCTTTTACTTCCTCAAATCCTCCGTTGTGTACAAAACAGTACTCTGCGATTTCAAAATTTGCCTGCGATTTCAAGCGTGTTCAGCACTGGTGCACTTTCTCTTCATGCGATGCTGACGACCATGAACAGGTCGCATGCATCGGCACGCGCACGCTGCGACATGCTCGCAATATTGCGAAGTTGTCGATGTCACGCGAAACGCCCGTCACGGTGGATCATATCTTTCGCAGCGTCGCCTCTCAGTCGTGCGAGGTACTTCTCAACCACCCAAGCGTACGTGTCTCCCAACTTCCGCCTCGTCTCCGACTCGGAGAATTGTGCGCAAGGTTTTTCCGCCTGCCACCAGCCTCTTTGGCAGCTTGCGCCACAGTTGCGCGCGCAACGCCTGCGCCCAAAACAATCTGTCTGCGCCCCCGCCCTTGGTCCTTCTCCAGGTTGAGTCAGTTTCGTTCTGAGGCTTTCCACGTGGCCTTGGTTTCCCAGCTTCTGCCGCGGGGCCCTTGAAACTGCCGATTTGCGGAGAGGCGGGCGGAAAGGCAGGCGCGACATTATCCAGGTTTCTGTAGGCACAAGACAGGCACTGTTGTACACTAACCAGGAAGGGCTTTTTGGTGTGTTGAAACTTGAAATTACCAAGCCGAACCGAACCGAAGAGCAGTCAGTGTAGTGCCGTGATCAGTCAGTCAGTGAGCAGAAAGCAAGTACAGTGCAGGAGGCCAGTTACTCAATGGTGCTCATTTTGAGACAGCAGCAGCAACCTGCAAAACAATACGCAACTAGCACACGCCTTGGCTAACCCTAAAGTTCACTCCCGCCGTTGTGAAGCTAATTTCCCCAGCCTTTTTCGCTCAAGAGCTTTAGTCATAGCTATTCGCGCGACAGTAGCGGCGGAGTAGAGGCTGTTGTTCAATGCGCGAAAAGAACTTTCCAGGTTATCTTGATGTTCCCGTAGCTGGCGTAAAGTCGTGCCGTTCGTATCAATCAAGAATCGAGTGCTTTCTAACAATGGAGCGGCTATTATGTAGACCCTGTCAACGTTCGCGGGGTGAATGTAGATGACGTGACGTACATCGAGACTCCTTAAATTCATTTCTTTGTAAGCGAAGCACTTTTGAAGTAGACACGTTTGGAGCCGCGCAGAGTCAGATAGACACAGGCGTTCCTGACAGGAAATTGCATCTCGTTCTTTCTGGCATCCTCGCCGTTCTCTCGACATAGTTAGGCAGCACTCGCGATGCTTTCGTCAGCTCTCTCCGCGTGTGACCATTGGCTAGAGACATAACATCGGGGATCGCCAAGCGAAAGTAGGGAGGGTTACCAGCTTTCGCCATGAACAGGTGCGTTTGTCGTCGTGAACCGTCGCAACCGGTACCAGTCGTCAGGAGCATCACAGCGTTGTGTCCAGTGGTTCCGCCAGTGACAGCTTCGTACTGGATCAGCTCGCTCGTTCTGCAAGCATTTCATGTGTGGTCCATTCTCAGCGGTTTTCACTATCAAGTCGTTGCGACTTGTCCATCGAAACAACTTAGGAACGTATCGAACCTGTTCGTTGGTCAACAGTCCCTGTCTGATCTCATTTCGGGGCATTCAGTAGGGCATGCTTCCATCACCCCTTCCATTTTGTAGGCGATGGCCCTCTAAGTTGGCTTGAAGTTAGACTAAATCTGTCCAGACGTTCAAAATAGCGCCTAAACACTTTCTCCTGCACCCCTTTCAGTCGAGTCCATGTTACTGCAGGTGTGTGCTGGTACCAGCTCGTCACTCAATAAAGCATGCCTTTTGAGGCACCTAAAAAATCGTCTAATGTCTTGCGGGTACGCGCTGCAAGAAGGTAATGACGACGATTGTAGAGTCGACTCAATAGTATCCTTTGACTCCGTCCGTGTGGGTGGTGTGCGTGCAGGTACAAGGTGATCAAGCAGATGGGCGATGGCACGTACGGCACCGTCTGGAAGGCCATGAACCTCCACACCAATGAAATCGTGAGCGCAACCTTTTGACGGTTCTCCTGTGACGCCACTAGATTGCGTCGCCCGTACTACACCGTGTTCGCTGCTGCCCTCTGCGGTGCATCTCGCCGTGCGTGCAGCCGCGTACTACGCCGTGTGTAACAGTCTTGGTGTCCCCTCTTCCTCTCACCTCCGTTCCTCTCCGTGCGCTCCCCCTTTCCTCCCTTCCTCTCCCCCCCCCCCTCCCCCCCCTTCCCCTTCCTCGCCCCCTTACCCCCGCCGCCCCCCCCCCCCCCCCCCCCCCCACGCTCTTTTCCGTAGGTTGCGGTGAAAAAGATGAAGCGGAAATTCTACTCCTGGGAAGAGTGTATGAGTTTGAGAGAAGTCAAGGTAAGCGCCTTAAAAAGCTGCAAGACGTCACGAGGCTTTAGGTTAGCGCCCGTAAGAACCCGATGCGATAGCTGCACCGGTCTGCGAGTTCAGAGCTCTGGAGCGAGCTGAAGTGGCTGTCGCCTGTGATGTTCCATGCTTCCTTTTTTGTACGTTTTGCTCCGCTTTCTTTTCCGCCTGTCGCTGTTGGCCGCATTCAACCCTCTCGTCGCTTCCTACTCTTTCCCTCACTCTTTCACTCGCCAGTTGTTGTGCAAGCTGAACCACAAATCTCTCCTCCCCTCCCCTCCCCTCCCTTCCCCTCCCCTCCCATCCCCTCCCCTCCCCTCCCCTCCCCTCCCCTCCCCTCCCCTCCCCTCTCCTCCGATCCCATCTCCCCTCACGTCACTAGGCACCAGTCGCTGCGCATGCTGAACCACAGCAACATCGTGCGGCTGAAGGAGGTGATTGGGAGGACAACGAGGCCCCCGCTTCACTCACGTTCCTCTCCCCCTCTTCTAACCTCCCCTCCCCCTCATGCGCCAGTCGCTGCGCAAGCTGAACCACAGCAACATCGTGCGGCTGAAGGAGGTGATCCGCGAGAACAACGAGCTATTCTTCATCTTCGAATACATGGTGAGTGATGGGTTACCAACCTGATGGTGAGTGATGGGTTACTGGGGTTGCTACTCTGAAACGCGTTAGCCTGCCCTTTTCCCACCTTGGCCCCAATCCCTCTCTTCCACATCATTGCGTTGCGATCTGTAATAATCAAGGTTGCCTCCTGTACCGATTTTCCCTCCTCCCAAACGCCCCGTTGTGGTGCCCGAAATGCCTCCCTTGCAGGACTGTAATTTGTATCAAGTCATGAAGGACAGGGAGACGCTTTTCCCCGAGTCAAAAATACGCAGCTGGATGTACCAGGTGTGTGCCCACCTAGCGTCATGCACTTCGGATTCCTCGTGCATCCCTGTTATGCTGTCATCTGCTGATCTTTAAAGTCCTAGAACCTGTTCTTGAGACCCCTCCCTCTCTTCCCTTCCGCCCCTCCCCTTCCCTCCCTTCTCCCTTCTCCCCACTCCTCTCCCCCATGCGCAGGTGCTGCAAGGGCTAGCCTACATGCACAAGCACGGGTACTTCCATCGCTACTTAAAGCCCGAGAACCTGCTGGTGACCCTCCCCCCCCCTCCCCTCCCCCCCATCCCCCCCAACCCCAGGTGCTGCAAGGGCTAGCGTACATGCACAAGCACGGGTACTTCCATCGCTACTTAAAGCCCGAGAACCTGCTGGTGACTCTCCCCCTCCTCCCCTCCCCCCATCCCCCCCAACCCCAGGTGCTGCAAGGGCTAGCGTACATGCACAAGCATGGGTACTTCCACCGCGACTTAAAGCCCGAGAACCTTCTGGTGACAAAGGACGTGATCAAGGTGGCGGACTTTGGGCTCGCGCGGGAGGTGCGGTCGCGGCCGCCCTTCACAGACTACGTTTCCACAAGATGGTACGATTGGTTTGGAGGGTGGACCGTTTTGATCAAATTACAAATAGGAGGTGTGGTCCCGCTGACTGCCTTCTCAGTCTAGGTCTCCACCCATTGGATGGACTTTCAGAATCATGCGCTGCTGTGCCTCATCCGTGTCTGCTCTCCCCTCCTCTCCCCTCCTCTCCCCTCATCTCGTCTCCTCTCCCCTCCTCTCCCTCCTCTCCCCTCATCTCCCCTCCGCCCCCTCCTCTCCCCTCCTCTCCCCTCATCTCCCGTCCTCCCCCTTCTCTCCCTTTCTCTCGTCTCCTCTCCCCTCCTCTCCCCTCCTCTCCCCTCCTCTCCCCTCCTCTCCCCTCCTCTCGTCTCCTCCCCTTCCTCTCCACCTCCTCTCCCCTCCTCTCCCCTCCTCTCCCCTCCTCCCCTTCCTCTCCACCTCCTCTCCCCTCCTCTCCCCTCCTCTCGTCTCCTCTCTCCTCCTCTCTTTTCTGAGTAGGTACCGTGCTCCAGAGGTGCTGCTGCAGTCCACAGTGTACAACGCCCCCATTGGTACGTGCTGTGCCATGCCGTGCCGTGCTACTGCTGTAGTCTGCAGCTCTCCAAGTGCCCACTTCAGTTCACCTTCTTTCCTCCCCCTCTGCAGTCCACCGTGAACAACGCCCCCATTGGTACGTGCCATGCTGTGCTTCTTCTTGCTGTGTTTATAGTCTGTCTTTCCAAACCCCCAAGGTACTCAATTCAGTTTACCTCCTCTCCTCCCCGTCTGCAGTCCACCCCATGGAACGTGCCGTGCTCCTTGCTGAATTTCAAAGCTCTCCCTTGTCATCCGTGTTTCCTCCGCGCCCATCTCCCCCTTTCTGTCCCGTTCTCCCCGATCCGACCTCCCCGGACACAAACCTTCCAACACATGCAGATATGTGGGCGATTGGGGGCATAATGGCGGAGCTATTTTCTCTCCGCCCGCTCTTCCCTGGCGCCAGGTGCGGATGGGTTGGTTGGGATTGGTGCATGGGGATGAATCGCAGGGGCATGTGGAGCACAGGTGCATGTGGTGGGGTGGGCATGGTATGGGTCACAAGGGTATGTGTTGGGTCACATGAAGCACGGCATCAAAGGCTCGTTTCTTCACAAAGCGCAGCAACCTTCCCCTTCCACCGCTCCCAATCGTTCTATACCCCACGGCGCATTTCCCATACCGTGCACATCTTATTGCTCACCCCATCCTGGGCAGCGAGATACACAAGATATTGAAGATCTGCTCGGTCATCGGCACGCCCACTGTGCACACGCGTTCCCTTCCCTTCCCACCCCTCTCAACCGTCCCATACACCTTCTGTTTCTCCCTTTAAACGCTTGCAGCGAGATTGACGAGATAGTGAAGATCTGCTCGGTCATCGGCACGCCCACGGTGCACACGTGGCCGCAGGGGCTCAAGCTCGCCGCTGCCATGAACTTCCGCTTCCCAGAGGTGGGTGACTGGGTGGGTTACTGGCTGGGTGAGTGGCTGGTTGGCTGGCTGGGTAGGTTGTTGTTGGGGATGGGTTGTTGGGTGGGTGGGACCCGGCCAGGCGTGCCACTGCTTCTCTTCCAATAGACCTGCCATGCTCTGTTTCCTACCTGCTCTCCCTTTCTCCCTTCACCCCCACTCCCCCTCCCCACCCCTGCTAACACCAGTACTCGCCCGTCCGGCTGTCAAATCTCATCCCATTTGCCTCTCCGGAAGCCATTGATCTCATGACGCTGCTCTGCTTCTCAACCCCTCAACATGACCCGTTTCTCCTTTCTCCCTTCACCCCCACTCCCCCTCCCCACCTCCCCCCCCCACTTCCAACGCCAGTACTCGCCCATCCCGCTGTCAAAGCTCATCCCATCGGCATCCCCAGAAGCCATCGACCTCATGACGCTGCTGTGCTCCTGGGACCCCGCCAGACGACCCACGGCTGCACAGTCACTGCAACACCCCTTTTTCCTGGTGGGTAGCAAGAGGAAAAAGTGGGTAACAAGAGAGGCGGGGAGTGGTGGGTGGGATTACATGACGCTGCTTTGCTTCTGGGGCCCAGCCACACGACCTTGCCTTTCATCCCATGTTGTGCTCTACTCTCATTGTCCTTGCCTTACCGTCTCCCCTGCGGCCCTGCCCTCCCCTCTTCCGCCACCCGCGCCCCTTGCTTTCCCTCCTCTCTTCCACCACCCGCACCAATCTCTTTCCCTCCCCTTCCTACAGAGCGGAATCCAGGTCCCCCCAGTCATGCCGTCACCCAAGCCGAACCCAACCAATTCCAGCCGCACCCACCCAGTAACATCGCCACACCTCCCGGCCCTTCCGCAAGCCGCCAGCAAGCCATACAGCCACCTGGATGAGCACCTAGACGAGTGGGAAGGGGCGCCGGGGCAGTCCGGGGGAAGCGGCGCAATGGGGCCAGTAGGGGTGGGAATGGGCGCGGGAGGGGGAGGGGGAGGGGGAGGGGGGTATTTGCCGCAGCAGGGGCAGGTGGTTCAGCAGCAGCAGCAGAAGCAGCCGCTGCAGCCGCACCTGCTGCAGCAGCAGGGGGGGTATTCGGGTCAGGATAGTGTGGGCGCGAGGGCGGGTGCTCTAGCTCAGAAGCAGCTGCAGCTGCAGCAGCAGCAGCAGCAGTTGCAGCAGCAGCAGCAGCAGCAGCAGCAGCAGTTGCAGCAGCAGCAGCAGCAGCAGCAACAGCAGTAGCAGCAGCAGCAGCAGCAGCTTCAGAGGCAGCTGTCAGGGGTTAGTGGGGTGGAGCAGCAGGGAGCGAGGAGAACCTCAGGGCAGTATGGGCAGCAGCAGATGGGGCAGCAGCAGATGGGGAAGCAAGTGGGGGGAGTGGGCATGGAGCAGCAGGGCTCGAGAGGGCGAGCGCAGGGGCAGCAGTACGCACAGCAGTTGCAGCAGCAGCTGCAGCAGCAGTACCAACAGCCTCTGGATGTTGCAAGTGACCTGGCGGGACCTGGTATTGAAGCAATGACTCCTAGATCTAGAGCCCAGATGCAGCAGCAGCAGCAGCAGCAACAGCCATACATGCAGATGCAGAAGCAGCCGCTGACGCTGCAGACCCAGCTGTCTGGGGTGAACGCAGCTGCATTGGAAGCTCTAACCCCTCGCGCCCGAGCGCAGTACTACCAGCAGCAGCAGCAGCAGCAGCAGAAGCCGCTGCAGTCGCAGCTTTCAGGCGTAGGGCTTGACCCGCTAACCCCCCGATCCCGCCAGCAGCAGCAGCAGCAGCCCCAGCAGCAGCAGCAGCAGCAGCAGCTGCAATCCCAACTGTCGGGGGCAGGCTTGGAGGCCATGACTCCCCGGTCAAGGTCCCAAGCACAGCAGCTATTCCAGCAGCAGCAGATGATGCAGCAGATGATGCAGCAGCAGCAGCTGCTAGAGTCGCAAGCAGGAGGGCAGGAGCAGGCGCAGGCTCGCATGCGTGCCCGCGCCCCTCCCCCTTTGCAGCAGCCGCAGCAGGGGATGGGGCAAGGACAAGGGCAGGGGCAGGGGATGGGGCAGGGGCAAGGGCAGGATTATAGCATAGTGTCACCCCGTGCCATGCAGTCGTTTCAAGACGGGGGCTATGCCGGGCCTGCGGGCCTGCCGGAAAACTTTTCGGGCAGACCGGATCCTATGCATATGGACGGAGGGGGTGGGGGGGCGGGGGGGGGCGGGGGCGGGGGGGAGGGCATGGGAAGTCGTCTCAGGGGATGGGGTTTTTGGGGAGGAAGATTGCTTCAAAGAGCATGAGTGGGAGGAATCAGCAGCCTGTTGGGGACGGTGGGGGAGGGGGTGGGGGAGGGGGAGGAGGCGGAGGAGGGCGGTTGGCTTCGTTGCAAAGATATGGCAGCCAATTACTGGGTGAGTGATAAGGGTGTTATGAATGGAGGGGAACGACGGGAACGACGGGAATGACGGGAATGACGGGAAGGACTCACCCATGACGGGAATGACGGGAATGACTCACCCATGACGGGAATGACTCACCCATGACGGGAATGACGGGAATGACTCACCCATGACGGGAATGACGGGAATGACTCACCCATGACGGGAATGACGGGAATGACTCACCCATGACGGGAATGACGGGAATGACTCACCCATGACGGGAATGACGGGAATGACTCACCCATGACGGGAATGACTCACCCATGACGGGAATGACGGGAATGACTCACCCATGACGGGAATGACGGGAATGACTCACCCATGACGGGAATGACGGGAATGACTCACCCATGACGGGAATGACGGGAATGACTCACCCATCAATCTCTTCTCCCCCGTGGCAAGCATATCACAGCAGCACTCCTATGGCTTTTTTTTTTGGCGCCTCAAAAAGTCATTTTTGCGGGTACCTGATCAATGTTCCTCCCTTATGAAGTTGCTCTCTTCCTTGGCAGGCATAATGCGGCACTCCAATGCATCATCTTCTTCTAAGTCTGCTCTTAATCCATCTGCCTCACTGTCTCTGTCTCTTTGACACTACTCCATCACTCTCCTCCCCTCCCCTCCCTGCAGGCATATCACGGCACTCAGATGCTTCCTCTTCTCGGTCCTATTCTACAGGAGCTGCCCCAATGATGTAACCTCCTTCCTCCCCCTTTCTGGTGCTTCCCCATCGATCTCCTCTCCTTCCTTCCCTGCAGGCATATCACGGCACTCAAATGCTTCCTCTTCTCGATCCAATGCTACAGGAGCTGCCCCAATGGTACACCCTTCACACCTCCCCCACCCACCCTCTCCTCATTCCACGTTCTCCCCTCCCTCTCTTCCTTTGTCCTTCTCCCCATGCTACACTGCATTACCCCCCTCCCGCCAACTTCCCTACCCCTTCCACCTCCCCACCCCCACTGTTCCACCTCAACTTCTGTCCGAACTTCTCTTTTCTGACTGTATAATTTTGTTTGTCTTTTTGGCTCTTCCCGCATTTCTCTGTCCTATGTTGTTACATCATCCCGCCCCTTTCTGCCTTCTCTTCTTGCAATAATGATGACGCAAGGATCATCAATTGGGCTCATCATCAACACTATCGCAACATAACATCACATTACAACAAACTCCCTCATCACACACGCCACCCTCATCACACACACACACACCACCCTCATCACACACACACACACACACACCACGTATCATCTTGCCCCATCAGGACATGCAGATGGACACATCACCGCACATGGCAGCACCTTCATCCCGCAAGTCTGCAGCAGGTAAGACCTGCAAACTGGCAGCAGAAGACTTGCAGCTTTTGAATCAGCTACTTCCCTCTCGCTTTTTCCCTGTCCGCTCTCCCCTCTCCCGTCTTGTCCCCTTTTCCGCTAGCCTCCTTGTCTTCTTTTCTTGTGGTATTGTGCCCCCTCCCATTGTGCCCCTCCCATTGTGCCCCCTCCCATTGTGCCCCCTCCCATTGTGCCCCCTCCCATTGTGCCCCCTCCGGTTGCGACCATTCCGCCCACCCCTGCCAGCGCTAGCACGGGCAGGGTCAGCAGCAGCAACAATGGCAGCAGCAGGACCAGCCTCGCCTCACGACCCCAGTGTGGCCTATTCCAGGTATGCTGCTGCCTCGTTGCGACACCAGGTACGCGCTTTGTGTCGACCCAGTAGTGACCCCCAGTGCGGGCTACTCCAGGTATGGTGCCTCGTTTCGACACAGGTACGCGCTTTGTGTTGACCCAGTAGTGACCCCAAGTGCAGGCAACTCCAGGTATGGTGCCTCGTTGCGACACCTGGTATGCTCTCTGAATTTCATGTTACAATGCATGTGGTACATTCTGCATGTTGGACTTTGTATGTAGAGGGATCGTGAGCACGTGTGTTTGGAACAGTTTTCGAATACCGCTTGCTTGTAAGGATGTCAAACGCATGGAGATAATACATGCTGCATGTTGCACTGTGCATGCATGCTTATGGGATGAGAGCACATGTGCTCCGCATGTGCCAAATCCATGGACCTTCACATGCACAAATCCTGCACACCTCATTCCACTCCCCACCACCACCACCATCATCAGAATGGGGACCTACCCGGCCACACACGCCCAGGATGCATATGCGTATGGCAATGGGCCGGCAGACATGGGTCCCTCTGGGGATTACTATGGAGGGGGAGGCGGGCAGATGGATATGATGGGGGGAGGTGGGATGGATATGATGGGAGGAGGCATGGGGGGAGGGGTTGGTGGAGGTGGTGTGGGGGGACCAGGAGGGGGTATGGCTCGAAACGGAAGATACCCGATGGATTCGGGAGGTTATTCGGTGCACTGAGAGGCCGGTTTGTTGATTTGATTTCGCTACTATCTTCTCGGCTCCAACTGTTGTTGCTGGTAACACGGAGTTTGGACCCTGCTGATGCTGCTGCCGGTGTTTCTGAGGGATCAAGTATCAGTAGCAGTCTTAACAGAAATCAAGAAGCCCTTCATCACTAACGACCGCCACATAATCTCAAGGCTTACAAGTTACCGTACAACCCCTAACTTCCTGCTTGTCCATTTCTCTTTGCCTCCAAGATGGCAGTGCTTTTTGCAGCTGCAAGTACCTTTGTGCATTTGAACTAAGTGGGTTGAGGCAAACATAATGTGGAAAGTTGTCTCTTGTTTTCTCATTCTAATGTCTGATTGAAATCCAGTGCTGCTTGTACACTGAGCCATCTTGCCACTATGTGTATTTGTTACCGTATATCGTATCTGTAAGCCTGCTGGTAAGAGCGTCCTCAATAGCGAAGATCCTTTTACCGAGCGGCATGTCAGGCAGTGGGCAGGACATGCGCGGCGGCCACTTTCCCTCCATACCCCTTGCAGAATCGAATTCACGAAGCAAACTTTGGCGAAGCAGATCGCACGCTGTCAGAAGGGCACTGTGCACTACAGTTGACTCGAGACGACACGCTGTACCTAGATTCCATTTCCATGGTCTAAATTTTGACCTGAAACGCCATCCCACAAAATGTTTTCCGCCGTACTACAAAGTCTTTTTTCTTTACTGCACCATACCATATCTGGTCCTTCATTGACTTCCCCTCTCCCATCCAACACCCCGTCGAACATTCCCCCCATGAAGCATCCCCATCGAGCATGATACGTGAACATATTCTCACTTTTTTGGGAGAGGAGGAAACATGTGAAACACAGAGTTATTGATGTGCCAACAAATGTATGCACCATGGCGGAGGTGCTTTTTGTTTGGTAGTGAGGCTTTGCCGTGTTTCGAACGCCGTTTGCGCTAATGCTCTCTGGAGCTCGCACGTTAGCACGTGTGACTGAATTTGCTGTTCTGATATCTTCGCGTCAGCCATTTTCCGTTTGAAGCATTTCGAGATTCTCACCTTTGAATGCTGACTTGGCCTCTTGCCAATGCCGACTTGATCAGTCTGATCATGCCATTGCGAGAACGATACCCCTTGGGTATAACTCCACTCCCTCACGGTCCCAAAAAAGTCCTTAACCCTGTTTACTCGATCCTCTCCGGTTAGATCCAGGACAATAACATTTAACGGAGTTGCGAGTCCAGATTCGCGCCTCTTGGTCTTACAAGCAATAGACGATTTATTCTCTAGAATGTTCTTGATAGCTTCACCCAGCTTTCTCGTTTCGATCCTGAGCGTCTTGGGGTGCGGCGATTCTCGCAGCTGCGACCATGGGAGGCTGTCTGGGAACCAGCAAGAACCACCACCCGTCGCAACCGATCGCTTCGGATCAGGTTCGTCGAATCTCGCTCCGCTTCACGAGTCGCTCTCACGATGATCTGATGGAGATTCTAGTAGGATCTAGATGGTAAAGATGATGCCAAAGGTAGTGCTTGGATCTGCGTTTGGATCTTATTCAACAGGACATTCCGGATTAGGCTTGATTCTTCTTGTGAACGTCAGGAGCGTTAGATTTCAACATGAGTGCAGAAGAGACGAGGTAGAGGTGAATCTGAAGTTGACCCAATGGTGGTGGTTTGGCGAATCGAACTACACGAGATACGCGATACTAGGATGCGTCGTCGATGCAGTAGCCGCGAAACCCTCTTTCCCATATTCAGGTGAATCGTGAATGCGCAGGTTCGTGCCTTTTTTTTTCACAGATTAGGTGTCCGATTTGATCTCCTGTGCACGCATTCACACCATCTCCATCCTCTCTTCCATGCGATCTTCTCTCTCACGCAATCTTCGCAGAGAGGGCAATATGAAGCTCCGGTCCGGCATCGGCCCACTCGCCCCACGCTTTTTGAGAGAACTCAAAATCTTCCGCACCATCATACATATCCCCTCCCTTCCACGCGATCTATGCAGAAAGGAGGAGATGAAGCACCGGTTCGTCCTCGCCCCACTCGCCCCGCGCGCAGTCGGTCGGAAGCCGCGGCTACCGCGTGCCTTCCCCCCCGCTCACCCAAACACTACTACCGCCGAACGGATGACGTCACGACGAGAGCCGATGACGTCACGACGCCAGCCGTTGGAGTCGATCCTGGCAGAGGAGGGGATGACGTCATGCAGAAGGGACAGGATGACGTCACGCCTAACGGCGTTCATAGCTCAGCGTCGAAGGGGGTCCCTTTGGATCGAGATGGCAATGCCACGGTGAGGGCGGTGATTCCTCCATAGGTCCAGCAAGGGAACCATATCCATTGCCATTCTGCTATTCCTTCGTTCCCTTCCTTCCGTCGCCTTTACAGAATGTCCATTCATTCATTCATTCATTCATTCATTCATTCATTCATTCATTCATTCATTCATTCATGTATTTATTTGGAAGGGAAGTCATTTCATTGCGCCGCCTTGTCCCTGAACGTGACTCCATCATAGCTTCGATACACCCTGATCAGCCGTCGTCTGCACCGTTTGTTCATGCTCCCTCTTTTCCTACCCCCTCCCCCATCCCCTTTCCCCCCTCCCCTTTCCCCCCTGCTCCTTCCCCCTTCTTCCCGCTTCCCCCCCTCTTCCCCCCACCCTTTTCCTACGTTGCCTCTGCAAAGGGAGCGGCGCTAGCATCAGAGCCGAACCCAACGTCTCCCACACCACAGCACCACCACCAGCACCACCAGCACCACCAGCAGTCCAAGTCACCCCAGCACTACCAACAGCAGCAGCAAACGTCGCCGCGTCCCCCCCAAGCACGCTCGCCTGAACCCACCAGATGGCCGCCCGAGCCCCCGTTAGAGTCACACCATGGAAAAGGCTCCAGTCGTGGGGTAATTCGAGAGGTGGGTACCAGAGACTCAGAGGGCCCTGGTGAGGTGGGTCCTCAGGCGAAAGAGGGCTCTTCTCGAGGGAAGAACGCAGATGTGGTGAATGCAGGGGCGGGTTGGGCGGGTGAAGAGCGTCGGGAAAGCGAGTCTGGGAACAGCCGTGCTGCACGCGAAGCAGCAGCAGGAGGAGCAGAAGCAGTAGGGACAGAAGCAACAGGAGCCAAGACACGGGACTCAGAAACGGGAGGGGCCGTAGGAGCGGCAGCAGCAGCTCTTGTTGCACCAGCCGCACCAGCAGCAGCAGCAGCACCGCCGGCAGCACCAGCATCTGTACCACGAGCACCAGCAGCAGGCGGGATAGCAAGGGTACCAGGTCCCGCAGAAGTCACTGAACTGCCCGTTCCAGAGGTTTTCCCAGACACTACTGCAGACCCAGCAGACGCGTGGGTGCACCGCCCCCCTGTGGACGAGGGGAAACCCATTCGGTGGCGCAAGGGCGAGCTGATAGGCGCGGGCGCGTACGGGTGCGTGTACATGGGGCTGAATCTCGAGTCGGGCGAGCTGCTGGCCGTGAAGCAGGTGCTCATCCCGTCCGCCTCCACCACCAAGGACAAGGCGCAGGTGAAGAGAGAGGGGGGTTGGAGGTGTGGGGGAGGGGAGTGCGCGGATGGGGGGGTTGACTGCGAGGGTGTCTGGGTGTCTGTCTGTGCTCTGGCCTGTGTGAAAATGCCTGCGTGAAACGGTGAGCTGATAGGAGCGGGCGCGTACGGGTGCGTGTACATTGGGCTGAATCTGGTGGAGTCGGGCGAGCTGCTGGCCGTGAAGCAGGTGCTCATACCGTCCGCCTCCACCACCAAAGACAAGGCGCAAGTGAGGGGGGCGGCTTTCTGTCCCTGGCTGTCTGGCTGTCTGGCTGTCTGGGTGTCTAGCTGTCTGGTTGTCTGAGTGTTCGGGTGTCTGGGTGTCTGGGCGTGGCCATCTGTGTAATAGGATGGGAATTTGTGATACCTTTCTTGGCTTGAAGTGTTTGCTTCACCTCTGCCCTAAAATGTGCTGTTTGGCTATATGTGTGTGCGTTCCGAATCACAGGAGTACATCAAGGGACTGGAGGCGGAGGTGGCAGTGCTGAGGAACCTCTCCCACCCCAACATAGTGGTGAGTGAGTGAGACACACAGCAACCAGGTCCTTTCACTATCCCTACAGCCAGCATTGTCGCCAGCATTGTCGCCAGCAGTATCCTGCGTCCAAGGGTCAGAAGAATGTGTCCGTTTGAGTCTTCTTGTGCTGCTGTCGTAGAATCACATGACACCTGCTGTGATACCTGCTTCTCTTCTGCACCCCTCACGACATGTGGCAGCGATATCTGGGCACATTTTGAGACGTCTTTTGAGACGTCTCAAAGCACATTTTGAGACGTCTTTTGAGACGTCTCAAAGCACATTTTGAGACGTCTTTTGAGACGTCTCAAAGCACATTTTGAGACGTCTTTTGAGACGTCTCAAAACTTGCTTCTCTTCTGCACCCCTCACGACGTGTGGCAGCGATATCTGGGCACGGCAAGGGAGGAGGAGGCACTTAACATCTTTCTTGAGTTCGTGCCTGGGGGTTCTATTGCCTCTCTGCTCAACAAGTTTGGGTGTTTCACAGAGAAGGTGAGGCACTCTGACGTTCCTCGATGGATGGATGGATGGATGGATGGATGGATGGATGGATGGATGGATGGATGGATGGATGGATGGATGGATGGATGGATGGATGGATGGATGGATGGATGGATGGATGGATGGATGGATGGATGGATGGATGGATGGATGGATGGATGGATGGATGCGTTGCGTCTGAAAGGGTGTGCTGTGCTGCTTCTTGATTGTTTTTCTTCATGGTATTTTCCAACACGGTTGCACATGCAGATGGTAAAGAGCAGTTGTTATTTTCCTGCACACCAGGATTCTGAACCCTTGTCTTTGGATCTCCACACTTGGTTTTCGCTTCCATTTTCTCTCTTTCTTTTTCCGCACGACGTTTTTTCCTGCCCTGGCAGGTCATCCGGATGTACACGCGGCAGCTGATGACTGGCCTGAGCTACCTTCACTATAATCACATCATGCACCGCGATATCAAGGTGAGGCTTGCGGCAGCGAGTTTTGAGACGTCCCACAAGTATATTTTGAGGCGCCTCAAAAGTCAGCAGCGAGTTTTGAGACGTCTCCGAAGTATCTGCCTTTCAATCAAGCTGGCGAGCAGTGAAGCCGGTGCACAATGCACCCTGCTGTTCGTCCCCTTTCCGTCTTTCCCTCCCCTTGTTCTCCCCTCCATCATAGGGCGCCAACATTCTGGTGGACAACAGGGGGTGCATCAAGCTGGCTGACTTTGGGGCATCACGCAAGCTGGCGGATCTGGCGACGATGAGTGGGCACAAGTCCATGAAGGGCACGCCCTACTGGATGGCGCCAGAGGTTATCAAGCAGACGGGCCACGGCAGGTGGGTGGGTGCGTGTGTGCGCATGTTCCTCTGTTTGCGTACCTGCGTGAGTGTGCCTGTGCATGTGGGCTGCACACGTCCACGAAGGGCACGCCCTACTGGATGGCGCCAGAGGTTATCAAGCAGACGGGCCACGGCAGGTGTGCGCCTCTCTTTGTGTTCCTGTGTGTGTGCGTTCCTGCGTGTGTGCCTCTGTGTGTGAGCCTGTGGGGTTGGGAGAAGAGGGGTGTGGCAACAATGAGTGGGCGCAAGTCCATGAAGGGCACGCCCTACTGGATGGCGCCAGAGGTTATCAAGCAGACGGGCCACGGCAGGTGGATGGATGTATGTGCCATGTATAGGCCTCTGAAGGGAATCCCCGCCTCTGTCTCACAAACAGGTCACAGAGTTACAGGCAACAGGGAAGCCTTTTTGGAGCGAGCTCACACCTTTTTGCATCCCTTCTCATCCCTCTCAACCGCTCTCTCTCCTGCTCCCTCTGCACTGCAGGCCGGCGGACATCTGGAGTGTGGCGTGCACAGTCATTGAGATGGCAACGGGCAAGCCGCCCTGGATCAAGCTCACACATCTTCCATCCCTTTTCACCCCTCTCAACCGCTCCCTCTCCTGCTCTCCTTTACTGCAGACCGGCGGACATCTGGAGTGTGGCGTGCACAGTCATCGAGATGGCAACAGGCAAGCCGCCTTGGAGCGAGTTCCTCTCTCAGGTACCATCCTCTCCCAGGTACCATCCTCTCCCAGGTACCATCCTCTCCCAGGTACCATCCTCTCCCAGGTACCATCCTCCTATTGTCCTCCTTGATAAGTCGATTTTTTAGTTGACTCAAAAATCGACTGGTCATCCCCCAGGTGCCATGCCGTCCTCTTCTTGTCCTCCTTGTCTTCATATCCGTCTCTTCTCGTTCTTCTTTTTCACATCCTCCTCTTCTCGCAACTCTCTCCATATGCTTCTCTCCATATGCTTCTCTCCATATGCTTCTCTCCATATGCTTCTCTCCATATGCTTCTCTCCTTGCCCTGCAGGTCTCAGCTCTCTTCCACATAGCGCAGTCCAAGGGCCCGCCGCTCATCCCCGACCATCTGTCTGCGGACGCCAAGGACTTTCTGCTGCGCTGCTTTCACCGGTGAGAGCATGACAGCACGCTGGCCTGCATGTTCTGCACCACGTTAACACATGCCCTCCCTCAGCACATAGCGCAGTCCAAGGGGCCGCCGCTCATCCCCGACCATCTGTCTGCGGACGCCAAGGACTTTCTGCTGCGCTGCTTCCACCCTCTCTGCCACAGTTTCCAAAGGGCATGCGTGTGACTGCTTTTGAGAGGTCTTGAAACTTGTGTTCTGTGAGGGGTTTCATTTCATGGTCCGACTTTTGAGGCGCCTCAAAAGTTGAAACTTTTGTTCTGTGAGGGTTTCCATGCTCCCTCTCTTAAGCCTCCGCCACAGTTGCTTTCAGTTTTCCCCCCCTCCCCACCCTCATTTCTTCTCGCATCTGTCTTTGCATGCATGCTGCCATGCCCCCTCTGCGTGCCACTCTCCAGTGATCCAAACAAGCGCCCCAGTGCCGCTGAGCTTCTCAAGGTAAGCCTTTTGACCTAAAAGTTTGGAGTCGCATGCTGCTCTTCCGAGTTTGTTTGTTTGTTTGTTTGTTTGTTTTTGTTTTTTTCTTTTCTTTTTTTTCTTTCTTTCTTTTTTTCCTTGCTCCGCTGTAACCACTACTCATCGCTCTCTCCCTACCCCCCCCTTCCCGTTCCTCCCCATGCTGCACCTCGTGTTTACCGCAGCACCCCTTTCTGACAGACATGCCTTCACCATTGGCTGACACTCTCACCACCGCCCCTGGCTCCACTGCTACCGCAGCAACATCAACAACAGCAGCAACAGCGGTTAAGGCAGAAGCAGCTGCAGCAGGAGGAGCAACAGCAGCAGCAGTTGCGCCTGCAAAAGCAGGCATGCCCGCATCTGTAGCAGCAGGCGCTCCACTCTCTCCCACTGCTCGTGGGGGGATGCAGGGGCCAGCTACAGGTACTACAGCTGCTACAGCTGCTGATTCAACCCTCAATGGTTTAAGCAAAGCACCTCTCTCCCCCACTAGCCATCCAAACTGCTGGCCTGACACGCTCTCAACGAATCCCTCCCTTGCATCCCCACACCATCACCATCACCATCACCATCACCAGCACGCTCCCACAAGCCCCCGCGCTGCTGATGGTGCTGACACCCCCACTTCTCGACTAACGCACGTGACCACCCCCACGTCAAGGCCAACTCCCCAGAGCTCACACCACTCACGCCTAACTCCGCATGACACCTTAGGAAAGCCTCTAGACAGTGAGTCGCCGGATGCTGCTGCTTCTGCTTCGTTCTCCCATAACGGAACTGATTTTACCCGCACAAGGGAGGCTGGGGAACAAGGGCAGGGACTAAATTGGCAGGGGCAGAGGCAGGAGCAGCAGGGGAAGGGAGAGGAGGGGAAAGGGAATGAGGGCCAGGGGGATGAGGGGAAGGGAGAGGAGGGGGTGCGTTTTGAGTCGACTCAAAAGGACGAGGGGAAGGAAGGCGAGGGGGCGAATCTCACGGGCGAATGTCACGGGGTGCGCATGTCACGGGCGAATCTCATGTCTGTTACCAGCACGGCATGGCAGCCTGGAACCTTCTCGGAGCTTTCTGACCTCTCATTTCGGGTGAGCTGCTGCAGGCAAATCAGACGTCCCCTACTCCCCCCCCCCCACCGGCGCGCGCGCGCGCGCGCGTGTGTGTGTGTGTGTGTGTGTGTGTTATCTCTCTCTCTCCATTTTCCGTCTTGCTTCCACCAATGACCCTTCTGCCTCCATCCATTTCCATTTCCCCTCGCCAGCGATTTCAATCCAATGGAGGAGCCATCTCACAACGAGGTGGTTCAGTGGGTGGGTCCAGCGCCTTCCTTCCTCTTCCTTCCTCCATCCATCCACACTCCGCCCTTCCCCCTTGCCTCCCTCAGAGTGATTTCAACCCAATGGAGGAGCCATCTCACAACGACCCGCTGGGGTCATACGTCACAGCAGCCCGTGGGCATGGGGGCGAGTCCTCTGCTTTCACTGAGGACGAGGTTACGGGCCCTCTCAGAGAACACGTGGGGGCTGATAGCGCCTCTAGGGATGAGAATGATTCTGTGGGTGGGACGAGCAGTGGAGTGGTGGGAGAGAGAGGAGAACAGGGAGAGGGAGAGGGAGAGGGAAGGGGGAAGGAGAGAGGGGACGAGGGGGAGAGTGGGGAGGTGGAGGGGAGAGAGAAGGAGAAGGGGTGGGAGGGGGGCAGGGCCAGTGGAGGGAGGGAGGGGGTGGAGAGGGGAGGGGAGGATCGTGTGGCTGTGATGGTCAGCCGTGGGAGTGCAGGCGGGGAGCAGATGAGGCAAGGGCAGGAGAGGAAGGACGGGCAGCAGAAGCTGCCAGCTGAAGGGCTGAGTGGTGGTGAGAGGTTGAGACCGGTAGAGGGTGTTAGGGCAGCAGAGGGGCTGAGACCGTTGCTGAGACCGTCTCTGCCTCAGCTGGACTTGTCTCTTGCAATTTCACACGCGCAAGGAGGGCTTGGAGGAGGGCAGGAGGGACCGGGAGGGCTGGAGAGGGACGGGAGTGGAGTGTACGTAGAAGGCACACCGCCTGCAGCTGCCAGTGCTGCTGTCATGTGCGGCCCAGGGAGCGAGGCAGGAATGGCAGGCATGGCAGGAATGGCGTTGAGAGAGGCGGATGGAGTGCAGGCAGTGCTGCAGGCGGAACAACAAGGAGAGCAGCAGGCAGCAGTTTCCAGTGACAGCGTCGGTCGGCCGCCGTCTCCTTCCCTGCTGAAGCAGGGTGGTGTGGTTGGTGCAGGAGGGGTGGGTGGGTTGGGCCACAACACGCCAGGGCAGGCCACCGTACCCAGCCGGCCTGCTGGGCTCTCCCCCTCTCCCCGCCGCCACCGCGAGTCCTCTCCTGCCAGAAAGAAGCGGATTCTGAAGGAGAGCTTTGTGCTCCCACGAGATTTGTCCCCCTCGGCGCGCATGCAAGCAGGACTAGCATCGCCGGCAACGGCAGCGGCGGCGGCAGCAGCACCAGCAGGGGCACTAGCAGCAGCAGCAGCACCAGGACCAGCAACATCAGCAGCTGCAGCAGCAGCAGGATCTGCAGTGGCGCTCTCTTCCCCCTCCACTGCCACTCAAAGCCCATCCCCCTCTCTCCCCTCCCCCTCCCGCCGCTCCGCCTCCCCCTCTTCCTCCTCCTCTGCCCGCCGCTCCCACCACCTGCCCTCCCGCATAATCCACTCCATCAGCCAATCAGCTATCTCCGTGCCTGGACCCGTCTCTTCCCCCTCCTACCACAGCTTCGAGGGTTCCCTCTCAGGGAAAGCAGGGGAAGGTCATAGGGTTACCCGCACCCCCTCTCATGGGAGCGAACAGAGATCAGTGGGAAGCGAGAGGAGTGAGAGTGTGAGTAGAGGAGGGGAAGGCGGGTCGGTTCGGTTGGCTCCTACTCTTTCGCCGCGGCCGCCCGGGATTGTCAGCAGCAAGTCGGGCAGCTGGGTGAACAGTAGCGAGGGCGACTTTTCCGGGCGGCAGCATCCGGGCAGCTTTGAAAGTTTTGGGCAGGAGGGAAGGCTGGGTAGGCAGGGGAGTGGGGTGCTGCACAGAGGGGGGAGAGGGAGCGCGAGCAGCAGCAGAGCATCCGTTGGGGGAGGAGGGGTTGGAGGGTCGGTAGTGGGGTTAGGAGGAGTGGGGAGGGTTTTGAGTGGTGGGGGAGGGGTGCCGGTGGGGAGGAGTGGGTCGGGCGGGAGCCTGTTTGCGAGTGGAGTGGGAGGAGGGCTGTACCCTTCTGGAGGGAACGTCTTGGCCTTGCTACACGACAGCACTGACAGGTGGGTGCTGGGGGTTCCATATGTCACTGACACGACAGCACTGCTTTTTGGTAAAAAGAAATTGAGGGAGGCAACACTTTGGCCTTGCTCAGTCGTGGCAGCCCACCATTCTCCTGTTTGCAAACTGCTTGTTTGCAAACTGCTTGTTTGCAAACTGCTTGTTGCAATTTTGCTGACTCATTCCTGTGGCCTGTCCCTTGCTGACGTCATCTGCAGCTTTGTTGGCCAATCAGGGGACCTCAAGCGACAGCAGTGGGAGGCAGAGCTACAGCAGGAGCTGGCGCTGCAGCGAGGTGCGTGTATGTTACAGGATAACAAACAAACTTAACACACCCAAAGGATTAGTATGAGGATTTTCACTTACTATTGCGAGGCAGAGCTACAGCAGGAGCTGGCACTGCAGCGAGGTGCGTGACTGTAATGGGATAGCTTTCAAATGAAACAAATTTCGCACATGGTCCAGCAGCAACTGTATGTTGACTCTCTTACACCATTTAAGGCTTGCCCCCACACTCCCGTCTATTGCAGAGGATAAGCACTAGCAAATGTCTCGATCAAGCAGCAACAGCAGCGCCGCAGGGGGGATTGGAGCCAGCCACGCCAACAGCATTGTGTGTGCGCATGCCTTCCCCCACTTCCCCATCCCTTTTATTGCAGAGGAGAAGCGCAAGCAGATGTCTCGGTCCAGCAGCAACAGCAGCGCCGCAGGGGGGGTTGGCGCCAGCAACGCCAACAGCATTGGCAGCGTCAGCAACGTCAGTGCCAGTGGTGCGAGTGCGGTTGGCAGTGCGGTTGGCAGTGCAAGCACAAGCATCAGTGCGAGTGCGAGTGGGTCACGAGAGTTCTTTGGACCGCCGGGCTCCGCCTCCTCTCCACGCCGAAACCCGCCGGTATAACTGCCAGGAGCGATTTCTGAGAAGCTTCCAGTCGACTGCTATTCCTGAGATCCCTGCTGAGTTAACCCACAACACACTTCCACCCACCTATCCAACAACCCCTCACCCATCCACCCAGGCTAACCGCCTCCTCACTAACCATCCAGCAGCCCCGCAATATGCAGCAGAACTTGATTATAAGTCATTCATTCTTTTCCATCCACCCTTCCATCCTCCCCACTTCCATCGGCCCACCCACCAAGGCTAACACACCTTTCTAACCTTCCTTCCTTACGCTCCAAAATTCTGATTGGCCTGAAGCCTCTGCTAGATGGCCTTGCATGCACCCAGCCCAACCTGACCCAACCCAGGCCAACTCATTCCAGCAAACTCAGTAAAGTTAGTGGCCCTGGTGCTTAGTTATCGAGTGCCTCAACTGCCCCGATCCCTGGTTTCGGGTGGCCCTTGTGTTGTTATTTGCAATGCCGATTGTGCTTGCACTGGAATGGTAGAGTGACAGTTATTACCGTACTAGTATTATTATTTTCTCCCTATTATTGTGTTGTTTTGTGGTGTGTTCAAATTAATGGTGATGTTTGTTTGCAGAGTATGGCTACAACACCGCCGAATCACTAGCTCCGCAAGGTGTAGAAGGGTGTAGTGTATATGTTATACAAATGGATGCTATCTATGCCTGTACTGGTAGCTTTAATACTTGCTCCTCTTCGTCTGACAGCGAGTCATCTGCCAGCTCAGACAGCCAATCAAAAACCTCCAGCTGTGCAGCTCTCCTGATTCCACCTGCTAGTGTCACACTTGCCTGCTTCACTGAAGGCTGCTCTGCTACTGGCACTGTTCCCCTTTGCACAAGCACCTGTGGTGGGGAGTTTCGAGTTGGTGAAGCTGTTGGGGCTGTTGGTGGAGCCATTGACTGCCAGGCAGCACCAGCAGGAGAAGCAGCAGAAGCACCAGCAGCACCAGTAAAACCAGCAGCAGCGGCACCAACAGCAGCAGTAGCACGGCGGTGAGAAGCAGGGGAACCAGCAGCAGGAAGAGCAGCAGCAAGAGAAGGAATGGCAGCAGGTGTAGCAGCAGGTGCAGCAGCAGGTGCAGCAGCAGGTGCAGCAGCAGGGGCGGGGTGAGCAGGGGCGGTAGAACTAGACCATTTGGCTCGTAGGGCATGGAGGATGGCCCGTGCCTCCTGCACGGCTGCTCTCCGCTCCTCCGCTATGCCCGGACTTACTCTCTCTAATCTCTCTGATGCTTCCGGACCAGATTTCTGGCGTGCTAATCCCTCATATGGTTCTAGACCGGCGGATCTCTGACGCGCTAATATCCCAGATCCTTCCTGGCCAGATCTCTGATGCTCGAACTGCTCAGATGAACTTTGACTCTCTAGTCTCGTATGTGCTCGTGCCAAGGCTCCTGCTCCTGCCCCCCCCGCTGCTCCTGCTCCCCCTGCTGCTCCTGCTCCCCCTGCTGCTCCTGCCCCTGTCCCCCCTGCTGCTCCTGTCCCATACCCCCTTCCCTCCTGCGCCCTCTCTACCCACGCTCCCTCGCGCCTCCCTTTGGCTCTTGCTGGAAGCCCAGCTGACCGGAGGCGGCGGAGGGGAGGGGGGTGCGCCAGGGGACGGTGAGCCAGAGGGGCATTAAAGGCAGAAGCTGGAAGAGAGGGGTTTGTCAGAGGGGGGTTAGAGGCTGATGCAGAGACGGCTAAGGGATCAGAGAAGGTGGCATGGACAGGAGGAGGTGGAAGGGAAGGAAAGGGAGCGGGACGGATGGGTCCGAAAGCAAAGAGCTGCGAGAGGAAGGCGGAAGGGGTGGTGGGAGCGGGGAAGAGAGGAGGAGGAGCGGGTGGGAGGAGGGTGGAGGAGCTGTGGAAGAGAGGAGGGGAGCCGTTGGAGGCTTGAGAGGGTGGAGTGTTGGGGGAGAGGGAGGTGGGGGAGAGAGGGGGAGTAGAGGTGGGAGAGAGAGGAGGGGTGGGAGAAGGAGGAAGAGTGGGACCGGGAGGAGGGGTGGGAAAGGGAGCAGGGGTGGGAGAGAGAGGAGCGGGAGAGGAAGGAGCAGGAGCGAGAGGACTGCAGGATGTGTGGGGAGAGAGGGAGGCTGTGAGGGAGTGTGGTGCATTGCTTGGCAAGACATTAGGAGGATGTGGAACGCCAGATGTACCTGCGACTGACAAGGTATGTGTTGCATAAGGAAGGGGCTTAGGGTTGACTGACGATGTACGTGTTGCATAAGGAGGGCGGCTAGGGTTGACTGTCGGTGCATCTGTGGCAAAAGGAGCAGCAGAGGTGGTTTCCGTTTCCCTGGCATCACGGGATGGCTTTCTGGCGTTGGCAACTGCACCACCTGAAGCAACCTCAGCTGCATTACCTGAAGCAACCTCAGCTGCACCACCTGAAGCAACCTCAGCTGCACCACCTGAAGCAACCTCAGCTGCACCACCTGAAGCAACCTCAGCTGCACCACCTGAAGCAACCTCAGCTGAACCACCTGAAGCAACCTCAGCTGCACCACCTGAAGCAACCTCAGCTGCACCACCTGAAGCAACCTCAGCTGCACCACCTGAAGCAACCTCAGCTGCACCACCTGAAGCAACCTCAGCTGCACCACCTGAAGCAACCTCAGCTGCACCACCTGAAGCAACCTCAGCTGCACTACCTGAGACAGCATCTGAAGAAGCACCTGAACCAGCACCTGAAGCACCAACTCGCTGTGCTTCACTATCTATGCTTCCTGGCGGCAACTCTGAGCCGTCCATCAAGCCCCATCTCCTCTGAGAATGCATCAGAGCCGTTGATCCTCTGAGGGCCATCTCCCTAAGCTCACACGCCTCCCTGCCATGATGCCACGCTGTCAGTCTATGCACGCTCACACCACCCACCAACAGACGCGCATCTCCTCCAGGTGATTCTTCAGGTGATTTTTCAGGTGGTTCCTCTTGAGACAACGTTGAGAAAGCCCTTTCCTGGTCAGGTGATTGTCCAGCTGCTGTCCGGCTGTCTTCCACCAGTCCAGGTGAATCCCCTTGCCATGCTGGTGTGTGCTCCTTCAACTGCTCGTGTTGTAGCTTCTGCGGTGCTTCCCACTCCTGCTGCCATTGCTGCTGTAGCGGCTGATGCTTGTGCTGCTGATGCTCATGCTGCTGACGATGATGCTGCTGCTCCTGCCTATGCTTTTCAACTCCCTCCTCCCCCACATCACCCTCCGTCCCTTTTGCTGGCAGCATATCAAATCCCGCCGCCGCCACCTGCTTGCCTCCCCACTCTCTGACCTCCCCCAGCGATTTCGTCGGCCTATTTAAGCACGCCAGCTGGACCGCCAGCTGGCAGGACAGCCCTGCCACGGCTGCTTCTGCTGCACCGCCCTCCCTCGCTGCATGGTCCCTCTCTGCTGCCAGCGCTGCCAAATGCGCTCTCAGAGAGGCAGCACTGTTCCGAGAAGAATCAAGAGTAGCACTTTTGGGTTGAGGTACCGCAGGTGACTCACGGCCCTCCCTCGCTGCATGCGCCCTCTCTGCTGCTAGTGCTGCCAAATGCGCTCTCAGTCTGGCAGCAGTGCTCTGAGAAGAATCAAGAATAGCACTCTTGAACTGAGACGTATTGGACCCCTCCCTCGCTGCATGGTCCGTCTCTGCTGCCAGTGCTGTCAAATGCGCTCTCAGGATGGCAGCACTATTCAGCGGAGAATCAAGAGTAGCACTCGTGAAATGAGGTCCCGCAGGTGACTCACGGCCCTCCCTCGCTGCATGGTCCCTCTCTGCTGCCAGCGCAGTCAAATGCGCTCTCAGAGAGGCAGCACTGTTCCGAGAAGAATCAAGAGTAGCACTTTTGGGTTGAGGTGCTTCAGGTGCCCCAGATGCCAATGGCGGCGCAGGTTCCCCAGGTGCCAACAGTGCTTCAGGTGCCTCCTCAGGTACCTCAGGCGCCCCAGGTGGATCATGTTCTATTCCGCTCCCATGCGAATCAAGCTCTGCACTGCTCCCATGCGAAACCCGCTCTACCCTGCTCCCATGCAGATTACGATCTAATCTGGACTCATCCGAGCCCTGATGGTCGTGGAGCTTCTCTGTATTGCTTTGCGTCGAATCAAGACACGCACTCAGATGCTCCTCCTGCTCCACACCGCTGCTACTCCCTCTGCCTGTAGTGCAAGAGCTGCTCTCAGTGCTCTGCTGATTGTGATAATCGATTATCCGCGCCTGATCCACCCCAATGCTGCTGCTGCTGGTCCTGATGCTGCTGCTGCCGCCGCCTCTGCCTGCATTGCAAGAGCTGCTCTCAGCAGCGTGCTGCCACAGCTGTTCCCTCAGATGCTCGCGCTCCATCCCACTGCTGCTGCTGCCGCCTCTGCTTTCACTGCGGGAGCTGCTCTGGGCATTCTGTTGTTGACAGTAGACACTCGGTTGCTCGCGCTCCATCCCACTGCTGCTGCTGCCGCCTCTGCTTTCACTGCGGGAGCTGCTTTGGGCACTCCGTTGCAAAAAAGAGTCACTCGGTTGCTCCTGCTCCACCCCACCGCTGCTGCCGCCTCTACTACCCTCCTCCACTGAATGCTTCACAGCCTTGAAACGTCCCAAAACCGAAGAGCAGGTGTCGACACTCTGGTGCTGATGATAACCCCTCAGATGCTCCTGCTCCACCCCACCGCTGCTGCCGCCTCTACTACCCTCCTCCGCTGAATGCTCCACAGCCTTGAAACGTCCCAAAATTGAACAGCAGCTGTCGACACTCAGCTGCTGATAACAGCTCTTTAGTTCCTGCTGCATCCCACTGCTGCTGTCACCTCTACTACTCTCCTCCAATGAATGCGCCACAGCTGCGGAACTTTCCAAAACCGAAGAGCAGCTGTCAACACCCTGCGGCCTGACCTCCTCATTCCCCGCCCTCCTATGCCTATCCTCCTCATTCTCACTCTCTCTACTCGTAACCGCCTCGATCTCCCCCCACTCATGCCTCCCCTCCTCACTCCCCGCCCTCCTATGCCTGTCCTCCTTATCTCCCAACCTCTGCCTCTCCTCCTCATTTCCCGCCTCCCTATGCCTATTCTCCTCCTCCTCCTCCTCCTCCTCCTCCTCCTCCTCCTCCTCCTCCTCCTCCTCCTCCTCCTCCTCCTCCTCCTCCTCCTCCTCCTCCTCCTCCTCCTCCTCCTCCTCCTCCCACGCTTCCTCTCCTCATTTTGCGCCCTCTTATTCTCCCCAACTACTCCCACCCTCTGACCAAACCTGTCCAATGCTGCAAACCGTCTTCCCCTATCCCTCTCACCCTCCGAACCGTCCACACTCTCTCTTCCCACCCCCTCAGCCTCGACCCTCTCCTGCTCCCGGTTCACCACCCCTCTATCTTCCTCCACCATCACTCTCACCTTCCGCAGTTGCGCCTTCACCAGTTCTACCTCCCCCATGAGAATCCGCCTTTCTCTCTCTCCACTCTCCACCCGCTCTTCAAGTCTCCGCACCTCCCTCCCCATCCGCTCCGCTTCCGTCTCTGCCGCCCGCCTTTCCGTCCGCATCTGCTCCATCTGCCGCCCGGTTTCTGCCACTTGCGCCTCAAGGCGCGCCACTTCCGCCGCCCAGAATCTCTGCTGCGCGTTAAGGGATTCACGCACTTCCTGCAGGAGTTTTTCCAGGTGTTCTTTGAAAGAATTCCGTTCCGCTATAAGCTTTTTCTGTAGAAGCAAAATGACCTGCTCTGGAGGTTGATCTTCAAGCCAAGAAGGGATAAATTCCTGCGCTGCTGCAAGGGGGGCTGACGCGATTGGTGCTGTGGTTGCTGCTGCTGCTGCACCTGGTGGTCTTATTGTCGCGGTTCCTCTATATGCTGCTGCTGCTGGTGCTGCGGTTGCGGGCTGTGCTGCTGCTTCTGGTGTTGCTGGTCTTGTGGTAGCTTCTGCAGCTGAATCTGCTGCCGCTGCTGCTGGCGACCCTGAAATAAGCATGGAGTCGCTTACTGCTTCTGCTTCCACAGGAAACAGTCTACGTGGGAGTTCCTGTAAGGCGCGTTCCTGTAACCGTTGTTCCTGTGGCGGACGTTCTTGGAGCCATCGTTCTTGTAATCGTCGTTCCTGTAACGGCCGTTCGGGTTCCTGCAGCTGCTGACCGTGTAACGGCGACTCCCGAGGCTGAGATTCATGCACGTGGTGTTCCTCTATGGATTGTTCCACTAACGAAGCTCCTCCGTGCCCTTCGTCTAAGGGCTGCGGGCGGCATGGCGAGGTGAGGCATGGTTACTCGTAACGCTGTAACCAGCGGCATGGCAGCGGTTGAATCAGCGGTTAAAACTCGATGAGCTGACACAGATTCACAACGAGGGCCTATTTTTCAAGGGTAAAACACACTGATTACACTGGCCAGCGGCTGTTTTTCGGAGGTTACCCTGATTTCACAAGCCTACTGCGCTGGTTACCCTTTCTGCAAAAGTGTACACATTTGGAATAGGCTGATTTTGCCAGTGCGTTGTGAATTTTAGCCTTACCAGACAGGGTGTGGAAAAAAACGCACTGAACCAGAAAGCCTGTCGACCTGTGTCGACCTGTCGACCTGCTGCCCCGGGCAGCAAAAAAACTAAACCCCCATCGGATGGCATGCCATCCGAGGGAGCCTCAACCCTAAACACCATGCCTCCCCGCGTTTAGGGTTGAGGCTCCCTGACCGGATGCATGCCCGTCTGGGGTTTATTTTTTTTGCCCGCGGGCAGCGAGCTCCCCCGGGCGGACTCGCTTGTCCGCTGAGCTATTTTCGGCGAAATCTGCTTTCTGTCGCATCTCTAATCTTGAACCTACCCCTCATTTCGTGCCTTTCCTAACCCAACCCTGCTCAGTGCCCACCAAGTGTCAGTTGCCTCTGCCAGCCCGATTCGCCCCATTCCCTTCGCCTCCCCGAGCCTCATTCATCCCCTTTCCTTCGGCCCTCCCCTCCAGCCCCACTCCCCACGTCACCTCTCCCAGCCCCATTTCCCCCATTTCCTTTGCCCCAACCCTCCCATTTCCCTGTATTTCACAGCACCCCCTGTGCTCCCCCCCATCCCCGACATCTCCGAGCCCCACTTCTGCGTCTCCCAATCCCAACCCCTCGCGATGTTTTCGCTGGTGTTGTAGGGCGCAGGGTTTCGCATCAAGGTAACAAAGCGAATGTAACATTATAGTAAATATGGGAATATTTTACCCTACACAGCCAGGGTGTTCTTTTACCTAATTATATTTACCCTGATATTGACAGGGTGCAGAAATAAATAGCCTGGCTGACAGGGTGACGTCAGCAACGGACCCTGATTCCCAAGAATGCCCTAAAACCAATTTTGGGCCCTGTTCACAACTGGCACAGCAGCAGCTCCTCCACCTAACGACTAGCATGATATCGACTAGTATGTGGCACATTCCGTGCTCTCGTTGAAAACACATCTGTTGACATCCAACTACGATGCGAAGTGCACTACGGAGAACCTAGGTACAGTACGGTGCTTATGATTCGGAAACGGTGCGGAGTGCTTATGGCTGAAAGGCCACGGTACGGTGCTTAGGGCTCGGTGGCGGTGCGGTGCGGTGCGATGCTTATCCTGTATTTTCTGCAGATTTGGTAAGCACATTATGTATCTGAACTGAAGAGTGTACCGTCAATATCCGTCAAAATGTATCTTGTATATATCGGCGTAAAAATTCAGGAATTCTTGTGGAGTCGCATCCTTCGCTGACAACAAGTGTGATACGGATCATACCGCTCAGTTGCCATTCGTCGAATTTTTGGCGAAGAAGTACATCCCTGCCTCGTGCACTCCACGTCATCCAGACATCCATGCCAGCGCTTCTGCTTCCCAGCTTGCGATTGGCGCTGGTTTATCCACCCGAATTTCGCCTCGCGCTTCTGGGAATCTGATCAGCTCGACAATTTCGAGGTACGCATGCCGAAAAAATTCTCCCCCCTCAGCACTTCTGCTGCTGCGGCTGGTCGCCGCCGTGGGTGCACTGCAGAGTACCTCCGTCACTCTCAAGGAATCCTCTGGTCTGGTTCATTTGCCACAACGTCGCCGTCATTCAAGGAGAGTGGCTCCTAGCCTGGCCACTGACCGGAAGCCCTTAGGGATCGAACCAAAAGGCTCTTGGGTCTGTGTGTTCTAAGAGTTGTTTAGCTTCCGTTTGGTCCGAGTCGGACGGATTTGCCTGTTCCTTCGCATTGTCCATTCCCCAGTTTCCCTCGACAGACAGTAGCAAGTCACGATGTCAAAGTCGAACGACAAGAAGAAGGAAAAGACTGGTGAGAAGCGTTAAGTAGCCGTCGGATTACTCGTACAATAAGCTTTTAGAAGTAACAGTATGCGCCATCTGGTTGCTCGGCCTGCAAACTCTCGCCTGCATAGCACTATTCATCACCCTGTTGACGGCCCGTTAACAGGCGCGCTGATTCACGCATGACTTTCCTTGTCTCTTTCTGCGTATTTCGACGGGGAATGAGCAGCGCTTCTGGATGGCCTGGTCACGGACCTGTTCAACCGCGTGGAGAAGCCCATCGAGTATCACAAGCTCTCGCCGTCCGAACACATGGACAGCATCACCGCGATCCATAGGATCCTGTCGCAGGTGAGCTCGCACGGCTGCGCGAGTATGCGATTACTATTGCGTATAGGCGCAGATACCTCCGGGGTGAGATCAGCTATGATAAGGCAACAAAATCGCATGGAATGCCGTTGTTTGGAGAATCGCATGCTCATGTCTATCTTTCCGAACATCTCTACTATCGACAGAATGCTGGGTGCAGCCGCATTTGATAGCGCAAGCTACGGTGACACGTGAAAACGCTCGCTTAACGGGAAATGCAGGGTCAGGTTTCGACATTCCTTACCATTCAGAATCGAAATTCGTCGTTCTTCCCCCCAAAAATATTGTTTCGACGTCTCTTTACCCTTGAATCGTTTCTCTCACCCATAAAACGTTCTGCTCCTTTCTCCCCTGCTTGTTCAACCTTCAGATTCAAAAGCACGAGAAGGGACGCCTTTCCACGGAGCCACCAGCCGATGCAGCTACTCGCATGAAGTTCTTGCAGGAGTGGCTTGAACAGAACAACGTGATGGTGGGTCCTGAATGAACCGAATGCAGTTGCTGACTATGACCTGCTAAGGCTAGTGCTGTTGACGATGGATTCTATCAACTATGCGGTGGACATCGACTTGGAACGGTTATTCCTGTTGACATCACCAGTAGCGGAACCATGTAGCCAGTTTGAGGTCTTTTTGCTTAGGATAAACTGAGGACGGATGTCACTAATCCGGCCAACCAACCCTACACAATTTCTGGGACTCCTCCACAAAGGCACATGATTGGCCGCTCTTTAATAACGACGACATTGTGTCCACTGACGTGCCAGGTTGACGGGGTCAAGCTCGACGGGAGTCTGCCCGAGGGTCCCGGAGTGGTGGCAACGCGTGACTTTAACGAGGGCGAGCTCGTTGCCTCGTTCCCGTCCGAACTCATGATGACTCAAATTACTGCCGTCCAATCAGTTGTGAGTGCCAATCACTCTTAGGCTCAGCTAAAATGTGGGTCCCGTGGGTAAATTCAGACAGTTTCGCAACCGCAAGTGTGCATGGGTTCCAGTTTTTTTTTTCTTTTTCTAATCCTAATTCTCCCGCTGCCTTCCTCACTTACCTCCATGACTTCCTTTGGTTTCTTACCGCACGAGCAGAAGGACGTGGGGCTGATTCACTCCACAGACGTCTGGTTCAGGGCCGTGCCCTCCCTCATCCTCGCCATGCACTTGCTATTTGAAAAGGTTAGTCCAGCACGCGCTCTCATATTGCAACCTGTTTTGCGGCGTCTCCAGAATCTAGACGAATCAAATACTCTCATGCACCTGCTCTTCGAAACAGAAACCTCTACAACTCTTCCTCGGACTGCAACCAGCATGCCTGTGACGAGAACAATAACCTTTTACTGTCACGTGTCTCACATGAAAGCTCCTGTAACGACACCTGTCTTTCCGGTTCGCCATACTGCAGCATCGTCCGGCAGGCTCCCCGTCCAAGTGGTTGGGGTACATCAAGTCCCTGCCAGGCCAGCACTGCCTGTCTGAGTTCAACCAGGACGCCTCCCCTGACGACATCATCCTGCCCCTCGCCTTCAGGTCAGCAGCTGAGATGGTTTTGAACTTCTTTGGTGGGCTAGAAAGTATCCTTGCACCTTCTAAATGGCGGGCTATAATGATTGTTGCTGCTTCAAATTGACGGGCTATGATGATTCGTGCAGCTCTCTCAATTATCTCAATGGTCTATTGGGAATGCATGGTTTTGGATATTTTAGCCAGAGGTAGTTTCGTTGGTTTTCACTTCTGAAGTGCTACTTTCCACGATCCCTTTACCTGTAACCCTCGTTCTCTCCCTCTCTCCCGCTCTCCCGCTCTCCCGTGCCCCACCCCTTCCCCGTCTCTCCCTGGACTTCCTGTCACTGTGTGCCCATCCACCCCACCGATGGTGTCACAGTCTCGAGACCGTCTCGCTCCTGCAAGGAACCACGGTATGCCACACAGCCTCTTGCCCCTTGAGCACGTCATGCTGTATGCTGTGCTGCGCACCATAACCCAAACAGCACCAATGGAACTCTCTCACTCATGTATGCATGCGGCACGCCACACCTGAGTATCACACAGTCGCCAAGAGGGCTTAGGGTCTACCTGAGTACCAGCGAATGCTGCGCACAGAGAACAGTCAGCATTATCACATGCGCACAGTCCTGGCCCTTTTGGTTGTGTTTATCATCAGTTCTTCGTCCCCTTAATTCTCGATGAACCCTGAACCCTCGCAGGCTCTGCCAGAGTACCACCGAATGCTGCGCACAGTGGCCAAGCAGTACTGCCACATGCGCACGGTGCTGCGGCAGCTGGGAGTCATTGCTGCCCCGCTCAAGACCGCGTCCAGGGAGTGGTTCTGCTATGCTGAGTTCCGATGGGCTGTCTCTGTGAGTATATATTTTCCTGGCTTGAGAGCGGTTTTCGGTATGTTGAGAGTGTTCCAATCCATGGCTGGGGGCTCAAGGGGGTACAGGCCACGTGGCGTTTGCTTTCACTCTTCAATCAGTGCCTAATCACCTGCAGTTTCCCCTCGTTAAACATTTTTTCCCTTTGTTTTTCCCTTTGTTTTTCCCTCCCTGCTGCTCCTTGCCCAGGTGGTGATGATGAGGCAGACGCAGGTGCCAGTGTCAGCAGAGGCACTAGAGGCAGCAGTGAAAAAGAACCCCAGCGCTGCTGCTGCTGGCGTTGCAGGCACCCCTGCTGAAGCTGCGGCCACTGTTGCTGCGACAGCTGCTGCTGAAGCTGCTGCTGCTGCTGCTGCTAGTTCTGCTGGCGATGCAACTGCTGGCGATGCTGCTGGCGGTGATGCTGCTGGTGGTAATGCTGACGCTAGTGCTGCTCCTGCTGCTGACGTGTCGGCTGCAGCAGCTGCTGCTGCGCCTGTTCGCCAAGTTATGGCTCTCATCCCCTTTATAGACATGTTCAACCATGAGGTACGTGTAGAGTAGGAAGGTAGCCTTGTAGGTGGCCGGTTTGCCGAATGATGGCTCTCATCTCATCCCCTTCGTATACATGTTTTAACCGTTCGGCACGTGTCTGTTTTCTTGTACAGGAGGGTCCTATAACCAGTACGTTTGGTGGTGGAAGCAACGTGATGGAGGTCACTGCCAAGCGCAACTTCAAGGCCGGCGAGCAGGTGGGTGTGACTGTAAAGGAAATCAGATGCGGCTGTAGGAATCTAATCTGCTGGCGAACTGGTGAATGCGTGTGACTGTAATGGACTGTAGGGCTACTATGAGGTGTGTGTGCATGAGTGTACAGAGCTGTCAGGTGAGTCATTCCTATGATAAAACGAGGACCCCACCATCATCCCAGATTGCTCTTACATCACCCCATCAATGCCTTCAACGTCGCCGCAAACCTGACTCATCCATCAGGTGTACCTGCTGTACACTGTGAGATTAAAGTCTCAGAACTCACATCGAGGATTCTCAGACGTGGCCTCACCATTGCCCTGAACATTACCCCACCGTCGCCCTGAACATCACCCACTACCCGCCCATCCATCAGGTGTTCCTGTCGTACGGTTACCGCCCCAACACCATCATGCTGCTCTACTCGGGCTTCATCCCCAGCTCCAACGACAGAGACCGCTTCCGGTGAGAATGCTGCCCCCTGCTACCCCCCCCCCCTCCCTGTTGCCCCCCACTCCCTGTCTCCCCCATCTCCCTGCTGCCCTCGCTCCGCTGCGTCCCCCATTCACTGCCCATGAATGCCTCTCCTTACCCTGCGTGCCCCTTCTTACCTGCCTGCCCCTCCTTACCTGCCTGCCACTCCTCCTGTGCCTGCCCGTGCATGTCTGTCTTTGCCCCTCCCTTTTCTGCCCCTCTGTCTTTCTCTTCCCCTCCCCTCATCTGCCTGCCAACAGCATACCGCTGGAGCTGTCACCCTCCGACCCACTCTACAATAAGAAGGTATGGCAGGTAGCAGGATGACAGTATGTAAGAATGTTTAGCTCAGACAGAGGTACAACATTCGGAGGAAGGTGGGTACAATCTGACAGGTTGGTTGGAATGAAACTGTTGAAATGGCACCTTTGAAACGGGATGTTGTACCTGAGCTGTCTGTGTGGCTCGTTCATTTCGCCTCATCCTCACTCCACTGTCCCCGTCTCTCCCCCTTTTACTCATTCTCCCAACCCAGCTGGCACTCCTCAAGTGGCTGGAGCTACCGCCCTCCACCCATCTGGACCTCTTCTGGACTGGCAAACCATCCCCTGAGCTGGCCACGTGGCTTAGAGTGGCGACCACCACTGATGAGGCACAGATTACAGAGGACCTGCGAGCGGCCATTGCTGCACGCGCCAAGGAGACGGCGGAATTGCTCGAGGCACATGGAAAGGATAAAGGTGAGCACATGGGAGAGGTGAGCACATGGGAGGGGTGAGGGCGAGGACAGAGCATCTGCGAGGACAGAGCATCTGCGAGGGGCCATTGCTGCATGCGCCAAGGAGACAGCGGAATTGCTGGAGGCGCATGGGAAGGATAATGGTGAGATGAATGTGAGAGCAGGACTGGGGAAGCAGGGTAACAAAGGGTAAATGGATCACAACGGACCAAGAGAAGGATTACCACTGTGTGGGCTCCATACAGCCAATGCTATTTCTATTTCAGATGTTAGAAGTTGTCCTATCTCTCTCATCTCCTATCCTCTCCTATCCTCTCCTCCTCTCTCCTCTCCCCTCCACTTCTCCCCTCTTCTCTTGTCCCGCCAGCAGCAGCAAACGGGCATGCGGAACCTAACAGCAAACCAGCCGGCAGTGTAGATGTAACACTGACCAAGGCGCAAGCCGACCTGCTCAGCAGTATCTGCCAACGCAAGCTGCAGGAGCTTCAAGCAGGAGCCACAGCAGCATCACCCGCGCCTGCTGGTTTAGGCTTGGGAGGAGGCTTGGATGCACGTTCGGCGGCAGCCAAGGCGTGTGAGAAGGAACTGCAGCTGGCTCGGCAGCTGAGGGAAGCGGAGGAAGGGGCTTTGAGCAAGGCAGTGGAGTTGTGTGGTCTTGTGAGCGCTTAACCTTGCCGAGAAAAATTAGACCCAAGTTGTGAAACACGCTGATGTGGAAAAGGACGTACATGTTTTGGTTAGGTTATATGCATCATGCACCACCCAGGGATGAAGTGCTCCCATTCACTTTGTTGTCACAGCTTAGTGTCAGCAAATCTTGACACTAGCCAAGAACCGTGAGGTACCGTAAAAAGGTTTGCTGCAGTGGGAGAGAGTTCAGGTTTCCTTAGCCTGACATTTGAATTGGATAAGCAAACCCAAGGAAGACCTACTGAATTTACAGTACACCTCATCGCCCCGATCGAGCCGCCCACCCCGCCACATCTCATTCCCCCCAATTTCCAAACGAGCGGCTGCCGCCGCCTAGACCAATCACTCACTCACTCACGCTCTTCCTCTTGCTCTTCTCTCTGCACCACCAGACAAACCTTTCGCTTATCGCCAAAACTTCGTCCGCTATTCGTCTGCTGGAATGTGAGTGGGGTGGACTGGACTGCGACTTGACCGTCTAGCTCCCCCAATCCCAGCCAGCCCAACCAAACCATTCTCATATCCTCCAGCTATTTTATGTCGTCACTGAAGCTCACATAGTTTCTGGGCCATTAGTACGAGGGAGTGTACGATAGTTTCGTTTCACACTCCGTTTATGAATGTTCAAGCTCGTGCGCACGGCGCAGCATTTCATTTCAGTCAGAGAGCTCCAGCCCCTTCTTTTACTTCTCAGCGGACTTTGTCGTAATGGCGAAAGAAAACGTCGCCGCTTGGTTCCTTAAAATAGTACTGATAAGTCTACTCGTAGCAATTAACCCTGCTCAAAATTATCCTCTATGTCCGTTCACCGGCTTGCCTCCGTCGAAACCGAACGTAACGGTCTCGCGATGCCTCGACGCTTCCGAAATGACATGCTGTGACGACTGCTCCGATAGACGATACGCGCTTGCGGAAGTCAGCGCAAACGTTACAACGCTCATCTCTACAGTAGATCCTCGTCTCCTAAAACTCATTACAGGAGACGTCAGGTAAGCTGAAAACTTACCCTTGGAATATTTGTGCAATCCAGGCTTGATGGTCCCAATGTTGCTTCAAGCACTACGAAACTTGCGCCGTTCCCTCTTTTTTGTTTTTTTGTCCGCAATATGTTGCTCAATTTTTCATGCAGATATGCTCGTCGTTCGTGAGCCACAGAGAGTGTCTTGACGTTCTCGAGCAGATGGTCTGCGCTACAGGCTGCAATCCAGGTGAGCCAGAGACTTCAGAGAAGTTCTCTGAAGTGATCTAGATATCATAAGTGAGCTTCAGGGAGTCTCAGGACATTGTCAATCATATTATTTGTGTTACGGCCTGCAATTTAGGTGAGCTGGAGAGGCTGGCGCTTGGGCCAGAGAGACTAGCTTTTGGGCCGACTCAGGGGTCACCACATTATTTTCACATTCAGGGAGAGTCAGGACATTTTTTAGCAGATGATTTGCGCTACAGGCTGCAATTACAGTGAGTTGGAGGGACCTTGTTCCTCTAAGTTCTCCGTTCTTTGGATTTCCCTGTTCCTCATAGTACCCCGTTCCTAAAGTTCTCTGATCCTCAGTCCTCTGCGTCTGGTTGACTGAAACTGGCTTGCAGATTCCAGAAAGTATTTGGAGCTGCCACCAGGGGAATTGGGCTTGATGCGCATCTGCGAGCCTTATGCACAGGAGCTGTACGACAAATGCAAGGATGTGGCGCGTAAGTGACGTAACCTGGTAACCACCAGGCAGGGATGTGATACGTGAGGTAGGAATTTGAGGCGCCTTGGGAATTGTTTGCGAGCCTTATGCACAGGAGTTGTACGACAAATGCAAGGATGTGCTGCGTAAGTGATGGGGCGCTGCAGCGCAGGCGCCGCAAAATATGATGTGTGCGTGCGTGTGCACCTTATGTATCGACGCACCTTATGTACTGTACGCACCCGAAGCACCTTACACGCTGGAGCTCCATGACAAATGGAAGGATGTGGCCTTGTATATGCTGGTGCAGTACGTGTTGCATATGTCATGTAACCAGGTAACCACTACGCAAGGATGTGGAGTTGCCACTGTGCATGTTATGTAACCAGATATCCACTAGGCAGGGATGAGCCATGCATGTGACGTAACCCAGTAGTCACCGGTTTGTTCCCTCGCCGGTTTGTTCCCTCGCCGGTTTGTTCCCTCCCCTCATTAGCTCCATATACCCTCGTCCCTCGCCTCATTGACTCCATATACCCTCGTCCCTCGCCTCACTAGCTCCATATACCCTCGTCCCTCGCCTCATTGGCTCCATATACCCTCGTCCCTCGCCTCATTGGCTCCATATACCCTCGTCCCTCGCCTCATTAGCTCCATATACCCTCGTCCCTCGCCTCATTGGCTCCATATACCCTCGTCCCTCGCCTCATTAGCTCCATATACCCTCGTCCCTCGCCTCATTGGCTCCATATACCCTCGTCACTCGCCTCATTGGCTCCATATACCCTCGTCCCTCGCCTCATTAGCTCCATATACCCTCGTCCCTCGCCTCATTGGCTCCATATACCCTCGTCCCTCGCCTCATTAGCTCCATATACCCTCGTCCCTCGCCTCATTGGCTCCATATACCCTCGTCCCTCGCCTCATTAGCTCCATATACCCTCGTCCCTCGCCTCATTGGCTCCATATACCCTCGTCACTCGCACCACGCATTTGAATCCCCACTCACTCGAATCTCCCCCCCGCTATTCCCGACTGCTGCTTCCCACTCTCACAGTGCCCGGGTTTCAGGGCTCCATTGGGCATTACTTTGACTCAGCTGAGAAGCTCATCACAATCATGTTTGGGAGGGTGGGCCGGGCCTTCAATGCTCTCAACTACACAGTGCAGGTCTCCCCGGTAAGCTCTTTGCACCGCTCTACACTGAGCTGGTCACTCCTGCGGGCACCTTGCTAGTCTTTCTCTACTACTCTGCACCTTGCTGGTCAGTGGTCACCTTTGTAGGCTTTTCGTACCGACGTACCGGACTGTACCATGTTGGTCGCTCCAATAACCTTATTTGCTGACAGGAATACTGCTGATAGCATGCAAGCTTACCTGTGACTCTTCTCCACAACCACTCTGTCAGACAAACGAGGGTTTTAGAGGCGCCTCAAAAATCGTCTAAAAAAGCTTACCTGTAACTTCTCTCCGCAACCACTCTCTCAGGCAAGCGAGCGCACTGATAGGTGCAGCAACAGCTCGACGAGATCAGTTCGTGCTGCGATCCGCTCCCCTTTTCCCATGACTCTTTTCCCCACTCACTCACTCCCTCTCTCCCTCTCTCTCTCCCAGACAAGTGAGGGCACTGATAAGTGCTACAACGGCCCGAAGTAACTCCCCAAAAGCAACTTTCCCTGTGACCCACTCCCTTCTTCTCTGATTCCTCTTCCCACACCCAGTCTCCCAGGCGAGTGAGGGCACAGACAAGAGCTACAACGGCCCAAAGAGACTCCCCGAACGTGTGCTGAGACCCACTGCCCCTTTTTTCCTGATTTTTCCCGCCACTCCCTCTCCCTCCCCAATCCGTCTCTCCCAGGCGAGTGAGGGCACTGACAAGTGCTACAACGGCCCAAAGAGACTCCCCGAAATCGACGCATGCTGTGACCCGCTCCCCACCACTCCCGAATGCCCCCTTGAAAGGCTCAATGTCACCTCGTTCCCGCAGTTTGTACCTTTCATCGGCCGGACCATTGCCGATCCCTCCTGTCCGACCTCCCAAAGCAGAGCCAGTGCTGCTGATTCCTCCTCTCTAAGCTCTCCTCCACCCCCCCCGCCCAAGTCAGCCCAACGTACCGGCCTAGTTTCCGGGATGGTGGGGAAACGCCTGCTTGTGCTGGCAGCTGCTGCTTATTCCACGCTTCTTATGTAGAAAGTCTGGAATTTTGCCGGTTTTTCAGGCGATTCTTTTGAGGCGCCTCAAAAGATGTGATTTTTGAGGCGCCTAAAAAACCACCTCACTGCTGGCAGCTGCTGCTACTTCCACGCTTCTCATGTAAAAAGTCTGGAATTTTGACGGTTGTTCATCACCTGAATCAATGTAAAGGTTGTGGGTGGAGAGACGAGACGAGACGACTTTTGAGGCGCCGCAAGAGAATGCAGACGGTTCTTCATCAGCCGAATCCTGCTGCAGATCCCACGTGTCCAACCGTCCAGAGCAGACTTTTGAGTCGGCTCGACTCAAATTCAGCTCAGAATACAGGCCTTTCTTCATCAACCGAATCCCTGCTGCAGACCCCACCTTTCCGGCCGGCTGCACAAAGCCAGTCATGTGCTACTGGTTTCTGTCTGGCAGGCTGGCCGGTCTTCCTGTTCTGCTAAAAGTTGGAAATCAGATGCTTCTTCGTCAGCGGAATCCCTGCTGCAGACCCCACCCGTCCGGCCGGCCGCACAAAGCAGGTCCTCTGCTGCTGATTCCCCCTACCACGCGTTTTCGTCGCCTCCCGTGCCTAAGCCGGCCGTGTCTGCTCGAGCTTCAGGGGTGGGTTTCAGCCTGTTAGCTTGCGCTGGCAGCTGATGCTTCTTACATTTAGTGTGGTACGGTAAGTGGGTTTTAAGGCGGCGCAAGAATTCTACTTGGCTTGATCGGCCTGAGTGCATAGTTCTGCCGAATAGGAGCTCCACTTGGTGCCATGGCATGGCATGGTACCACGACTCGAATTGTGTGTTTCTAGTGTTTTTTTTTTCATTGTGTAGTATTTTATTATTATTACACTTATTGTTGTAATCATTATTGCTACTATCATTATTATTGATGTGGTGCATGCTTAGGTTGATCACTGCATGCTTTAGTTACGTATCAAAGAAAGGCTACACTTAGCAGGGTAGCACCAAGTACCCTGCTAGAGGTTCAGTACATTGGCACCATACACGACGAGTCATAAGCTACTCTGAGCAGGCATCACATGGTTCGGTAATATTACGTCTAGCAACAATGGTGTTGCTGGCTGAATCAACCTGACCTACAGTTGCTAACTAGCAGTTATCATTACCGTACCATGCACTCCCATGAACCGAAGCCGTGTCCCAACAGAAACAAGCTCATCTATCCCTCACAACCCTCCCCACACCAACCATACTCCAAACCAGCTCAGTGCAAGCCCCAACCAACACCCCAACAACACTCCGCCCCTCCCAATCCCACCACCACCAGCGCTTTTCTTCCCTGCAGCCCCCGCATCAGGCGCCGATCCGAGCATGGCAAGAGAAGGGTTCTCAGTGCAGCCCTTGTTGTCGATGTGGCGGCCCACAAACGGGCGGAACTCGGGGTTCTCCCTGAAGCTGATGGTGCCGCGCGGGCACGTCCGGGGGACTTTGAGCGGGTCGCAGCAAAGGGTGGTCGCTGGGAGGGCCTTGGGCCCGTTATAGCATGCTTCAGTGCCCTGTTTGAGAGGTGAGGAGTGGAACGGTTGCATGAGGTGAGGTGTTGTGAAGTGTTGTACGGGGGATAAGTGTGGGAATCAGGCTGTTGATGGGAGAGTGGTTGAGGAGAGAATCTGCAGCTAGTTAAGCAGCAAAAGCACGCGGAACCAAGGTGTGTGAAGCTTTGGAGTTTAGAAGCTCACCGGTTTGATTTTGACAGTGTAGTTGAGTTTGCCGATCAGCCCGATTACAGCTCCAAAGAGCTTGGTCATGAAGAGCTCTTTAGTGGGGAAGAAATCCGCCATGGTTCCAAAGCCGGGCACTGGTGATTGCACAGTGGCGTGTGTGAGCCGGGGAGGGAAGGATGATAGATTGGGATTAATGACAACAAGAGGGGAGCCCCAAAGGGCTTGGTCATGAAGAGCTCTTTAGTGGGGAAAAAATCCGCCATGGTTCCGAAGCCGGGCACTGATGATTGCAGGATGGGGTTTGTTACGGGGGTGAGGACGGAGATGAGGGAAGGGACATTCGATTCAATGACTCGTGTGCATATATGAATGCAAGAAATATTGGAGGATTTGTGGGGGTGCAAAGACGTTGAGAGCGGTGCAACTTACGTGGAAGATCCTTGCAGCTCTTACATACGACAGAGTAGTCAGAGCACCCGGACAGGATGACTGGTGTTGAAGGAGTTGTTAGTAGTGCAAAGCGGTTGAGAGCGGGGCAAAGAGGTTGACAGCGGTTCAAAGAGGTTGAGAGCGGTGCAACTCACGTGGAAGGTCCTTGCAGCTCTCATAGACGACAGAGGAGTAGTCAGAGCACACGGACAGGATGCCCTTGGTGTTGCGCTCCACAATTTCCAGGTAGTTTCCCGACTCTGTAAACACAGGCAAGTGAGGATGGGATACATTGAGATTTTCGCGAGACAGTCTGCCAAGAAGACAAGAAGAAAGGTAGTCTTGCGAGGCGAAAAGCAAGAAGCGCCCCCAAATTGCCAGCTCAGTGTGCCGTAAAATCGCACAAGGTGTCGTTTGGATCACACAACATGGCGCTTGGGTCGCACGCAGTCGCACCTGCGTCGCACACAGTCGCACCTGGGTCGCAGCCGTTGGCGCAGACGACTTGTTCGAGGTGCAGCTGGCACGCGGAGTTACTGGCAAAGATTGAGCAGAGCTGGGGAGAAAGGGGAACAAGGGGAGGAAAGTGGAAGGCGGAAGGGGGGAGGGAGGGAAGGGAAGGGGGAAGGGGGAAAAAGGGGAGGGGGGAAAGGGAGAAGGGGGAGACCTTGAGTTGACTCAGAAGTAAACGCCTTGTTCGAGGTGCAGCTGGCACGCGGAGTTATTAGCGAATATGGAGCAGAGCTGGACAAAGGAAGAGGGGGAAAGCGGGAAGGAGGATGGGGGAAGAGGGAAGGGGGAAGAGAGAAGAGGGAACGGGGGAGGGGGAAAGAGAGGGGAGGACGATTGGTTGTTGATGGAAGGGCAGGGGGGCAAACGTCTGACATGGGAAGAGGATAGTGAAGAGGGGACGAGTGACGGCCGACTGGCAAGTGTGGGAGCAAATACGGAGGAGGGTGGGAAAGTTGGGGAGTGGGGGAGTGAGAATGTCCTTCCCAACGACCAAGCGACGAGCAAGCGACGAGCAAGCGATGACCGAGCGACAAGCAAGCAACGAGCACAAGTACTGACAATGAGCCTCCCCAAAGCTCACCGCTCCGTGCCATGGAACCGCTCACCTGCAACAGGCGCTTATTTAGGAGGCTAAAATGCCTCCCCGAAACTCCAACCCGTGCCTTCGAGGCGCTCACCTGAATGTCTTTCCCGACGAGCACGCGGCCGAGGCCAGACGAGACCTGATTGAGGATGCCGCAGCCCTCCATTGATAAATCTCAATACGCCTCCCCCAAGACTCACCTGACTGTCTTTCCCGACGAGCACGCGGCCGAGGCCAGACGAGACCTGATTGAGGATGCCGCAGCCCTCCATTGATAAATCTCAATACGCCTCCCCCAAGACTCACCTGAATGTCTTTCCCGACGAGCACGCGGCCGAGGCCGGACGAGATTTGATTGAGGACGCCGGAACCCTTTGCGCTGACGGCCAGCTGTTAGCCATTTTTTTACCTTCTTCTGACCCGCGAATCGCTCACCTGAATGTCTTTTCCGACGAGCACGCGGCCAAGGCCGGACGAGATCTGGTTGAGAATGCCGGAGCCCTTGGCGCTGACGGCGAGCAGCGCGAGTTTCAAGTCGTAGCAGTCCGGGCAGCACGTGTACTTAGTGGCGCCCACGCACCGGGTGAATGTTAAGTTGGACCTGGCAGGCGGCTGCTTGGTGTACGGACATAGCGGATAGTTCGGCGTGTCTTCTGCTGAGACTGGTGCTATGAGGGCGGCGAGAGAGAGGACTAGGAAGATGACCAGGGGAAGTGACGCTAGCGAGATTTGGGTGGATTGCCGGGTCCGTGTGTCGGGCAGTGGTGACTTCCCCATCTTAAGCGTTTGTTAGTAAAAGAGTTACTTGAATCGCGGGAAGCAATTAGAGGTTGAGGAATACGTTGCCGACTATGAAGGTATTAACCAACGGTCACGTGGATCTGTAGATGTGACGTCCCGATGGGGTCTGCCTGACTATGGAAGCTCTCGAACATTTGATCAGAGATTGGACCTCAAACCTGCTGGATCATGTGCACGTAAGCTCTCGAGCTGACAGTAATAGCTTCTGAACGAGGCGTAGTTCTGCAAATTACTATCGTTTTTTACTGACAACTAGCAATGGTGAATGAAACAGCTTCCCGATTTCAACAAGAATGAGAAAGGGAGAGCACGAGAGAGAGAGGGGTGTTGGAAGAGGGGGGAGAGACGGAGGGGGCGGGGAATAGAATTGAATAGGGGGAAGGGACGAATCACGAAGTTTTTCCGTCCAATTTTACTGTATGCAATTCGCGGCCCGCCTTGCATTTCGGGGTCAGGTTCTGGTGGGGGCGACGGTCGCGGTGGATTTTGCTTCGGAACTCGAACCGCTCAAAGCCAGGCGCGTCTCGGCTGGCGAATACTTAGGCGACGGCTTCAGTGTTTCTGACACCTTGCAATGGGGAATGCAATGTGGAAATAACCTCAATAGCAGATTCATAATCTGTATAATATGATTCACACATGTTTTAACTGTACCTCATATACCTTCTATCACGTATTAAATGCCGAAGCGTGACGGTGGGCTTCCCTTTCCCCGCCGATTGCCGTGCTGCGACACACAGGCGTTGTTCTGCAGGCGTCATCGGTTCCGCATGATTTGTGCGGGCAGGGCTTTCATCGTGGTTTCACGGCGCATCCAATCTGGTGTGGTTGCATGGATCTTGCGTCGAAGTCCAGCATCATCCCAGCCGCACCTTCGCATCCTGGCGAATGAGTGCATTTCGGAGGCTGGTACTGCCCCGCGTATGTTGTGCGGTGGCTGATGCTAGCTCTCGAGGTAGAATCAGCACCGCACAAATGGTGCGACCTTTTGCCCGTCGAAGCAACATCCTCGAACCACCTGACGGTTACTTTTGCGCACCAAAAGTGGTGTTCTGCAGGTAGAAGCGTCAAAATTGGCGCAAACAGGTTTGGCAAGAACGCCCTTATCACCAAACCTGGATAAGCAGAAAGGGCCTTATCAGCGAATTTTCTGCGGACCCGGTTTCTCGCCAATAAACGCCTGCAGAACAGCGCCGCACACACACACACACCGTTCGTTCTGCTTCCGAGAAATTCAGAAGTCACACATCGTTCTGCCGCCGGGAAGTGTTAAAAGAACATGATGAAACCAACAAAGTTGGGCCAATGTTTTTGGCCTGTCAACAAAAGTGATGGGGAAAACAAGCCCCCTTGATCACTGCTGTATGTTTCGGGGCAGGAGCAGAAAAAGACCGTTATGGCGGAACTTCCGCGTTCATCCTGAGGTTTCCCGAGGCCTGACGACCACCTCGACGGTGTAGCGACTCCCGTCCCGTCTCGCTTGGGAATGCCGCCGAATCGTCTCGTCATCACCAAGGCTTGTGCGGCTTCTGCCCCCATACTCGCACAAATGTGGCCCTCCACTGCTCTTGCTCGTCAGTCGCCAACCAACTCACCTCTAATCTTTCCTCACTTTCAACCCATTAGTGCATCAACCGTAGATCTCGAGGCTCAGGTTATCTTGCCTGGACAATTGCATACCCTGGCCATTACGAGTGGTGAATCCTAGTTTTCAGTAAGAGAAGATTGACTGCTCCTAGCTGATTTATCAGTCGTCGTGTCGCAATGGCGAAAGCTAAGCTCGCCACTTGGTTCCTCGCCATATCTCTTCTCGCAATGGTCACCGTTGCTGAAAAGTACCCTCTATGTCCGTTCACTGGCCTCCCTCCGACCAAACCAAAAGTAAAGGCCTCGCGGTGCCTCGACGCAGCTGAAATGTCATGCTGTAAGGACTGCTCCGATAGACGATACGCGCTCGCCGAAGTCAGCGCGAACGTTACAACGCTCATCTCCACAGTAGATCCTCGCCTTTCCAATCTCCTTGGCGGCAAAGATATCCAGGTAAGCGGAGGTTCAAATGAGTCTGTTCAACCGAAGTCGTGACGTGTTGTGTTTAGAGTCGACTAATAACACGCTCATTTCAACAGTAGATAATCGCTTTCTGAATGTTTTAATGACGGAGATATGAAGGTAAGCCGAGACTGAAATATGTGTGCAATCGGGGCCGTCACGAGTTTACTACACATACGGTATCGTTACGATCCTATGAAAATCAAAGTCACACTGAAGCGCGTGCTGTTCCTGCAAAAATGCTGACTCCGAGTCGACCAAAAACTGCAATCCGCTCGTTGATTGTGCGTGTGCGCGTGCAGCTATGCTCGTCGTTCGAGAACTTCAGAGAGTGCCAGGACAAACATTCCCCATATCAAATCCGCGTAAACTGAGACCATTTTTGAGGCGCCTCTAAAAACTCCGCTCGTTAATTGTGCGTGTGTGCGTGCAGCTATGCTCGTCGTTTGTGAACTTCCGGGAGTGTCAGGACCTTCTCGAGCAAATGATCTGCGCCACGGGCTGCAACCCAGGTGCGCTGCTGGAGGCTTCTGGAAAGTACCCAAAAGTGATTTCAGTATCATCGTTCGTCTTGAGAATAATTGTAGCTCCTTTGATAGATCTTAAACACGTTTGATTCAAACCTTCGGAACTTTCATTCGCCAACGCTCTGTTTCTCAGAGATCTTCATTCTTCCAAGCCACTCTATTCCTAATTCTCAACGTTACTGCGTCTGATTTTTCAAACTGTCACTCAGATTCGGGGAAATATTTGGAACTACCGCGCGGGGTAGTTGGCGAGATGCGCGTTTGCGCTCCTTTCGCCGACAAGGTGTACGAAAAGTGCAAGGACCTGCCGCGTAAGTGATGTAACCCGTTAAACACTGTCTGCTGCGAAAGAGATGTAGCCTGATAACCTGTTCGCAGTACTTCTGTTGGGGTACCAAAAATTCATCCCCCAATCCCCCCATTCCCACAGTACCCGGGTTTCAAGGCGCCATTTCTCAGTACTTCAACTCGGGAGAGAAGCTCATGACTACGCTATTTGGGAGGGTCGGCCAGGCCTTCGATGCTATCAACTACACTGTGGTGGTCACGCCGGTAAGCCCTTTGCACCGCTCTGCACCGAGCTGGTCACTCCTATAGACACCTAGTTGAAGCTTATGACGACCCTATTTGGGAGGGTGGCCAGGCTTTCGATGCTATCAACTACAAAGTGTGGTGGTCACTCCTGTAAGCTCTTTGCATCGCTCTTCACCTTGCAGATCATCCCGATAAGCTCTTTACAACGCACTGCACCATGTTTGCCACAGGCACTGGCAAGTGGTACAACAGCCCGGAAAAACTCCCTGATACCAACATGTGCGGCAACCCACTCCCCTTTTCCCTGACTCCTCTTTCCACTCCGTCTCCCCCCACTCCTATCTCGCCACTCTTCCCCTCCTTCTCCCTCCCAGGTTCTAGAAGGCACCGACAAGTGCTACAACGGCCCAACAAAGCTCCCAGACACCAACGTGTGCTGCGATTCGCTCCCTGCCACCAAAGAATGCCCCATCTCAACTCTCAACGTTACCATGCACCCCGAATATAAGCCTTTCATCGGCCGAACCATAGCAGACCCCTCCTGCCCTGCAGCCCCGGGAGCACCAAGTGGGGCTGGTGGCTCTGCTAATGGCTCTACTAATGGCTCTGGCAGTGGTTCTGCTAATTCCTCTGCTACAGGCTCGTCCTCGCCTCCTCCCCCCAAGGAATCTGGACGGCTGGTGACGGCTTCTAGGGGGGTGTTTAGTGTGTTTGTGCTGGCAGCAGCTGCTGGCCTCGCGCTTTTCTAACCTGCTAATGAATGAACTTTTTTGTGCATTGTGTAGTCAGCCGAATTTACCGTAGGCGTTTTTAGTGTGTAGAAGCAGAGTACATGACCAGTTTTAGTGCCAGTCTGACTTGAGGCGTTTGATACACTGTTTTGACTGGGCAATGCATGCTAGTGATTTAGCAGGGCACGGCCAGAGTGCAAACTGGAAAAGGGTACGGTTCGACAACCCAGATGTTACTTCAATTAAACAGAAACACAACCCAAAACTCCAGGTGGCATACGGTATGTATGTGAAAAAGCCCTACACACTTGGCAATATGTGGTACAGTACTGCAAGTGCTAAAAATTCTCTCTAATATGAAAAAACGATTAGCCCCTGAATAACCCACAGAGACCACGCAACCATTACCACCAACACACAGCGACTGCCAAATCACACTCACTGCCAACTGCTAGAGTCCAGCTATTGCAGAATTCAGCTGTTAGTTTGAATCCAGAAGCACCTTTGAAAGGTCAAAGGATTCTAGCGTGACTGCAATTTGAGCAATCCGAGCATATGGAGAAGTCACGAGGGCAAGATGCATGCATCGAGTGAAGGCGCGCTTAAGGGAGCGTTCGCATCATGAGTCTCCAAACTGGAACGTCAGTAGCGATCGGAACGCCGGGAGTAGCGGTCGCGAGAGCGGGATCGCGAGCGAGAGCGAGACCTGTCCAGGGTTTGGAGGGGGACGTGGTTGGGGATGAAAATAGGGGTGGGTATGGGAATGGGGATGGGGATGGGGATGGGGATGGGGATGGGGATGGGGATGGGGATGGGGATGGGGATGGGGATGGGGATGGGGATGGGGATGGGGATGGGGATGGGGATGGGGATGGGGATGGGGATGGGGATGGGGATGGGGATGGGTATGGGTACGCATAAAAGAATAGGGATCCGGATGAGGATAGAGATGGGTAAGGTAGTGCGTATGGGCATGGGTATGGGGATAGGAATATTGATGGAAAAGTAGCTCACCTGTGCCGACGGTCACGATCATAGTCCCTGCCGCGCCGGTCCCGGTCCCGGCCCCGCGCCCAGTCATCATCTCGGTCCCTCTCCCTCCCCCTATCCCTGTCCCTGTCCCTGTCCCTGTCCCTGTCGCGATCCCTGTCCCGATCCCTGTCCCTCTCACGGTCTCTATCCCTCTCCCTCTCCCTGTACCTATCCCTGTCCCTGTCTCTGTCCCTGTCTCTGTCTCTGTCTCTGTCTCTGTCCCTGTCCCTATCCCTGTCCCTGTCCCTGTCCCTGTCCCTGTCCCCATCCCTATCCCTCTCCTTGGCCTTGTCTCGGTCGTCTGTCCGATCCTTGCGCTCCTCAGAACGGGGCCTGGGGGAAGCATGAGGGCGAGCAGGAGGAGCACGAAGAGCAAGAGGAGAAGCAGGAAGCGCACGAGGAGGAGCATGAGGGGTATGGAGAGAACACGGAGCAGGAAGAGCAAGAAGAGGAAGTGGAAATGACGGGAAGCATGAGGAGGAGCATAAAACAAACCCCATGTTCACTTGCAGAATTTTAGAGATAGAATAGCCTGTGTTCCCATTACGTGGACTCACCGCAGCTCATCCTTCTTTCTCCTCTTCTCCTGCACCCAGAACCAGCAAAGACGGAATGTTGTAATATAACGTAAATAATTACTGCGATAACTTTTTTTTTTTTTTTTCCCGGTCTGAAAAATACACCACCACCAGTACAAGTGTAGGTGGTTAGAAGTGAACAACGCAAGTAAAGAAAGAAATGGCAAGAAGTGATGTGCGCTATACAAATCCTCTCACCCGAATGTCGTTGATTTTGTCGCGGATAAAGAGATACCCCAGATGCAGCTTCCCCCCAAAGTGGTCAGCCAATCGCCTGTCGCTGTTTGTGCGTGGAGTGGAACGGTGTGTGTGCATGGAGAGAGAGAGTGAGGGGAAAGGCAATCAAGGAAGAATAATGAGGAGACGGAACTGGCCTTTCAAGAAGAAAAGAATATTGAGCAGTTTTGTGTAGAATCCACTCGACGCACTGGCCTCTAGACGCACACAGCGAGTCTACATGCCTTGCATGTGAAGCACATTGAGCAAAGTAGATCCCAAACGCACCTGTCAAAGATACTGAGGAATGCCCCACAGATGTCGCACACCCGGAGCTTCTGATCCGCCTGGCAGACACATAAAGCAAGCAGGCGAGAGAAAGAAGAGCAAACAGAGACGATTCTTAAGGCGCCTTCAGAAGGGGCATATTCGAATATGCTAGGGAGTGCCCCACAGATGTGCAAGGGAAGGGCTGGACGGGAATGGGTCAACCACTGAAACGAGTGGAAGCGCAAACGGGGTGCGAGCAAAGGGAAGGGCATGATGATGGGCGAAGGATGGAATGATGGGAGAAGGATGGAATGATGGGAGAAGGATGGAATGATGGGAGAAGGATGTAATGATGGGAGAAGGATGGAATGATGGGAGAAGGATGGAATGATGGGAGAAGGATGGAATGATGGGAGAAGGATGGAATGATGGGAGAAGGATGGAATGATGGGAGAAGGATGGAATGATGGGAGACTCACGATTTGAAAGCCGAGGCTTGCAATGGGGTCTGGTTTCGGAGCCATGGCGAGCTGCAAGAGAGAAGAGAAAGGCAGGTAAGTAACAAAGAGGATTGGAGGCTGGATGCACGAATGACTGTGCGATGGAATGAACAGTGCACCCACCCAACACAACCCACCCAACAACGCAGCCCAACAACGCAGCCCAACAACGCAGCCCAACAACGCAGCCCAACATCGCAGCCCAACAACACAGCCCAACAACGCAGCCCAACAACGCAGCCCAACAACGCAGCCCAACAACGCAGCCCAACAATGCAGCCCAACAACGCAGCCCAACAACGCAGCCCAACAACGCAGCCCAACAACGCAGCCCAACAACGCAGCCCAACAACGAAGCCCAACAACGCAGCCCAACAACGCAGCCCAACAACGCAGACCAACAATGCAGCCCAACAACGCAGCCCAACAACGCAGCCCAACAACGCAGCCCAACAACGCAGCCCAACAACCCACCCAACCCAACCCACCCAACCCAACCCACCAAACCGCCCACCCAACCCAACCCAACCAACCCAGCCAGAACCCATCCCACCACCCCACCCACCTTCTTGAGCGCATCTGCCTCCTCCATCAGCTTCTGAGCCTCGTCCACCCGCCCCTCCCAACTCAGCCGGCCAACCCAACCACCTCACCCAACCGCACTGCACCCCACCCCACCCACCTTCTTGAGCGCATCCGCCTCCTCCATGAGCTTCTGAGCCTCGTCCACCCGCCCCTCCTCTCCTGCGATGCAAAGGGGCGGAGGAGGTGGAAGGGGGAGACAGCAGAGCGGTAAGGAGGAGACGGCGAGAGGGGAAGGGAAGGGTGGGATGCAAAAGGGTGTAGAAGGTGGGTATTAAGGGAAAGTAAGGAGACCGGCGGAGGTGGGGGGAGACAGAGGGAGAAGAGACGGAAACAGAGAAGACGGGAAGGGGATGTGAAGGGGTGTTGGGGAGTGGGTCTATACGAGGAGGGATTGTTCTGAAGCAAATTTAACTCCTGTTTTCTGAGAGCTAGTCATGGTTCCTGCTGCTGCCAGCCCTAACCTTCATTACTACCTTCATTGAACTGGATAAGACGCACACAGAGAGATAAAAAGTACTCACCGGCTTGCTCCGCCCGTCGGAGCTTCTCTTTTATCATCTCCTGCGTCTTGCTGTCCGGCTGGTTCAGCACCGGTGCTGCCACCGCCGGCCCTCCGGGTGCTGGCGGCCCGGAGAGACGATCCTTGTTGAAGGCATCAAGAATGGATGCGGCCTGAAAGGGAGTTAGCGGCGAGAAGAAAAGGCAACGGAAGGTGGAAATAAGATAAGAAATCAAGGATGCCACCGCCGGCCCTCCAGGGCCGGGAGGGCCGGAGAGGCGATCCTTGTTGAACGCGTCGAGAATGGATGTGGCCTGAAAGAGAATCAGCAGGAGGGAGGAAAGGCAACGGAGGGGGGGGAAAGGAGCTTAAGATGGGACATCCATCAGAGCTGCCACTGCGGATTCCCCAGGGGAGGGCGGGCCCGAGAGGCGATTCTTGTTGAACACATCGAGAATGGATTGGGCTGAGAAACCAATACCAAGGAAATGAAAAGGCAGAGGAGGGGGGAAAAGAGTTATGGATGTGAAATCAGGGCTGGCACCAGTGCCCTAGGGGCGGGGGTGGCCCGGAGAGACGGTCCTTGTTTAATGTGTCCAGAATAGATTGGGCCTGACGAATTGAAGAAAATATTAGCAGGAAATGAAAAGGGAGGAGAGGAGAAAGGGAGTTAAAGGACAATGTTAGGAAAACACCAGCGCCCTAGCAGCGGGCATGTTGAACGTGTCAAGAATGGATTGGGCGTGAGAGGGAATCCCTTTTCGAGAGGGTGAAGGAACGGCAGACGAGAGGTGAGAGCGAGTTGTGAACTGGATACCAAAAAGGCCGATAAATAGAAGATGGATAAAGAGGGTATCCATCCTTTCCTACGTCCAAAACGTTGAATCTTTTATATTGATCGCTGTCCAATCAGGCTCAAGCTGATTGTGTGGTGATGATGCCTTGTATGTGTTGTGTGCTCACCTGCGTCAGCTTCTCCAATTCCTCAACAGCCCGAATCTCCTCATCCATCCTGCTTGCATTGCTTAGCTAGAATCACCAACACTTGTTCTGATTTAAACGCGCGCCAAGGTGAAGGTGCTGAGGGTGTGTGTGTGCGTGTGTGTGTTTTCACCTGCTTGTCCGCTCGTTCCTGCTTCAGCTTCTCTAGTTCCTCCGTGGCCCGAATCTTGTCGTCCATCCTGTTCTCAAGCTCTGCAAAGGAAAAAAGAGCAAGGCGAAAAAAGGAAGGAAAAATGAGGAGAGAAGAAATCCAAGAGAGGGGGAAGAGTCTAGACGACTTAAACCCTGAAATGTAACCCCAGTTACATTGTGGCGTCTCAGGCGAAAACACTTATGTAGAAGAACAAGTGCTTACCCAGCTGATCGACCTCTGCCATTTTCTGATAAATCTTCTTCGTCAGCTCAACAGACTCAGGAGACTGTAGTGTGAGAAAGATACCAAAAAGAAACACATACAAACACAAGGATGCAGGTTCATTCATCAGCATAAGGAACATTGTAAGTCACATGCTACGACACACAACCACGTGCAACCACGTGCAACCACATGCAACCACACGCCACATTCAGACCTCGCCAAAGGGAAGTCCATGTACGAGGAGACAACCAGCCTTGCATCAATCAGTCACTTCCAACACTTTCACGTTGTCCATTCACGCCACCATCGACTCGCATCAGTGACTTCAGACACTTTGACGGCGTTCAGCGCTGCTTTTATTTCCTTAAACCGTTTCCAACGCTCTCATCTCCCTATAACTTATTTCAGGCCGTTATCAGCTCACATCAGTGAGTTCAGACATTCAGACACTTTGACGGCGTTCAGCGATGTTCCCGTTTAAGCAATCTCAAATCTTCCAACCCAAAAAATCACCACCCGCTCTTCCTCCCTCTCCCCGTCGAGCCACCATGAGCTTACATCAGTGACTTCAGACACTTTAACGGCGTTCAGAGCAGCCGCGCCCTCCTCGTCCTCCAGGCGCTTGAACGACCGTTGGATCTTGCGATCGCACTCCACGATCAGCTTTTCCAAAATGCCCTCCAGCTCTCGCTCGTAGTCCACCAGACCCTTGGCCTTCGCCTCTTCATATCTGTATGCGTTAAGAACACAAACGGGGGGTTTGTAAGAGAGCACAGTGGAGTGAGTCTAGCAATAGCATTTTACGATCAGCTTCTCCAAGATGCCCTCCAGCTCTCGTTCGTAGTCCCCCAGACCCCTAGCCTTCGCTGCTTAGTATCAGTACGCGTTAAGAGCACAGCGCATGAGCGTCGTTACAATAGAACAAAATAACCCAACATGCCCTCCTGCTCGGAATCTTGATTGGAGTGAACGAAACTACTTCAGATGAAAAATCCCGGCAAGACAAGCAACATCCAAAATGTTTGAGATTAACGCCATTTCTTACTCTTTTCGCAAGCGGAGTGAATGCTCCTTGGAGCAGGGTCCAAGATCCATTTTCTATAAGAGGAAAAAAAAACAGCGATACGAATGAAAAAGGGTGGAGACAAGAGAAAAAAAGGTCAGAAACGAAACCAAAAAGAAGCATCACAAGAACTATTATAAGAAGCCTCAACATAAACAGATCCCGCAAATAGAGCCCGAACAGGAACGTGCGACAGCCGTCCCGGTCGCAGTAAATCTTAAACTCTTCAAATCGCAAATAACTCACCGTTAACGTGAACAGATCGTGCGGACAGAGGCCACACAGAAACGCGCGACAAACATCCCGGTCGTAGTAATTCTTGTTCGTCTCCTGCACGTCGCCGTTCCTGTTGGCGCCCATCAGCGCGTCCAGCTGCTTCCGTATCGCGTCCATCGCGACGCGGTGCTCGTACGCACGCGACTCTCAAAATCAACCGACGAATCGGAAAACTGGATCTTTCGTGGACGGTATAAAAAAACTGCGATGCTCGGCCGTCTCACACCCGCAGCAACGGAATAGGAAAGGTGGATATCAAGCGCAAAGAAAGCGAAGAAGCTCTCTTCCTCTAGACGCGGTCCACTCTCTGCGGCTCTGGTCGGCTGCAGGCATCCATTCGCTGAAAACTAGGTCAAAACAGAATCGAAAGACCTTCCAGAAGATTGCAGGAGCACTATTTGTGCTCCTTCGGAATTTCAGATCCCTGCTGGATCCCTCGATAAAAGCGCAAGTTGCTTGTGCCGTCTGACAATATTGACCACACTTACGATGGTGCACTTGAATTAATTATTTTCTTAGGTGGTTATCCATGAATAACATAATTTCATAAATCATAGAACTTAAGATTATTGTACAATTTTGATATGAGAAAAACGCATTAATCAGCTTTCCCAGCCTTCTCTGTGGACGGGGCTGCTGCGCTCGATGGCTTCTCTCCACCCTTCTTAGTCGCCTCACCATCATGATCACCATCCTTTTCGTCACCATCCCCAGACTCATCATAAGCCAATAACTGCTCACAGTGCAAACCAGTAGTTAGTTAACACCATGTTTTATTCCAAACACGCAGAAATAAAGATTTCTTCATGCGAAAACAAGGACGATACACAGTGTCAAACCATACCTCCTTGAGTTCTCCTCGGATTGCGCCGTGTACACCTAGAAAACCCATGACCCCAGGAACAATGTAAAGAAGGGCAGGCTGCACACACATAGAGAGCATCCATGAAGCACATAAGAAACACATCAGAAAATGCAGAAACAAAACTTCCAGCCTTTCTATGATAGAAGAGTGCCTAAACTTCTGCACGCTTATGCACATACCTGGGCAGCTTGAAAGTAGTTCATAACGAAGATGGTAGTAATGATCCCAGCCATGTAACCAGCAAAGGTGGAGATAAAGTAACGGGGACCAGTGCCTCTAGAGACATCGAACCTTAGAGCGAGGGCCACAAAGATGCCTGCAGTGGGAAGTGTGGGTGCAGTGGGGGGTGCAGTGGGGGGTGCAGTGGGGGGTGCAGTGGGGGGTGCAGTGGGGGGTGCATTGGGGGGTGCATTGGGGGGTGCATTGGGGGGTGCATTGGGGGGTGCAGTGGGGGGTGCATTGGGGGGTGCATTGGGGGGTGCAGCGGTGCACAGTTAGTGGAGCACAAGAATCGGGGTGCGTACAGTGCAGAGAAGGCGTAAAGAGTGAGTGGAACACAGAGAGGGGTGCGATTCCAGATAATCCTCAAAGTTGCTCTGACCAATAAGCAAGGATGCCAGCAATGGAAAGTTTGAGAAGAAACTGCACAAGGGGTGGCTTTCTGGAAGACAGAGAGAAGTGTGATACTTTCCGCAATAACATGCGCTGCTATTGAGAAAAGCCAAAAAAACTGTCCCATGGTGGCAAGCAACAAGAGCAGCAGGTGAGAGAACGGGCAGGAGTAGCCAGCCAGCCTACCAGGGATGACAATGTCGCCCAGTCCCAGCAGGGAGAAAGGTCTTGCGAGGTCACCAGTTGGGAACAGCAGCTGCAGCGATTCCAGGGAAAAGGTGAAGGCGATGAGAGACATTAAGGAGTGTGAGAAGTTGTGAAGGAGACTGGGTGTGTGTGGAGGGGTGTAGGAGAACCAAAACGAAAGGAACGAGGGAGGGGGTTGTTTTCAAACAAATGGAATCAACTCCTCTCATGTCGAAAGAAGTTTCTCTGCACTCCACACCTTGCATCTTTCTCTGCACTCCACACCTTGCATCTTTCTCTGCACTCCACACCTTGCATCTTTCTCTGCACTCCACACCTTGCATCTTTCTCTGCACTCCACACCTTGCATCTTTCTCTGCACTCCACACCTTGCATCTTTCTCTGCACTCCATACCTTGCATCTTTCTCTGCACTCCACACCTTGCATCTTTCTCTGCACTCCACACCTTGCATCTTTCTCTGCACTCCACACCTTGCATCTTTCTCTGCACTCCACACCTTGCATCTTTCTCTGCACTCCACACCTTGCATCTTTCTCTGCACTCCACACCTTGCATCTTTCTCTGCACTCCACACCTTGCATCTTTCTCTGCACTCCACACCTTGCATCTTTCTCTGCGAGCCTTGCAGGACTTTTGCTCATTACCTTGCAGCGCTTGTGCTTCTTGTGTCTGCGTACCTTGATGGGCGCGTCAAATGACTTGGCGACAGAGACCATAACCGGCGTGAAGAAGACCCAAAAGATGTCGTAGAAGAATAGACCAGTCTGGGGGAGCCAGGTTGGGGGGGGTGGGGAGGGTGGAGGAAAAGGGATGGGCGAAAGAGACCATGACCGGCGTGAAGAATACCCAGAAAACATCATAGAAGAATAGACCAGTCTGGGGGAAGCGGGTGGGAGGTTGGGGAGTGAGGGGAAAGGGATGGGAGGGAGGCGATGAGATTTGGGCATAGCAGGCCATGACTGGAGTGAAGAAGACACAGAGGATGCCGTAGAAGAAAAGACCAGTCTTGATGGGGATGCGGGGATGCGGGGATGGGGGAATGCGGGGATTTGGGGTTCCGGGGATTCGGGAATACGGGGGTGCGGGGATTTGGGGATTCAAGGAAACGGAGGTTCGGGGATGCGGCGATGCGGCAATTCGGGAATGCGAGCAAAGGGGTGGGTGCGGCGGATGGGGGTGTTGGGGAGGGTGGGGGAAAGGAACCCGTGACAGAGACCCAGAAAATGCCGTGGACAAAGAGACCAGTCTAGTTGGGGGGAAATACAAAGGGGCAGCATGGTGCGGGTGGGGAGTGGAGGGTGGGAGGAACAGGAAATGGTTATAGCAGACCATGACCAGGGTAAATATCACGCAGAAATGTCGTGTAAGAGACTGATCCAGGGGAAGAACGAAAGCGGGAAGAAATGGTGGGTTGGGGGGTTAGAATTGGGAAGGTGGGGGTAAAGGTTGGAAGGGAAAGGGATGGGCGGAGTTCCAAGAGGGATCTTGATGATTGACCACAGAACCCGACCTCACCAGGAGGATAGCTCCAATCTTGAAGGTGCCTAGGGGAGAGCATCTCGATGCCCTGCAGGGAGAAGGGCGAGGCATTGAAACCACGCAACAACCAGTGACCCCACAGCCCGACTTCACCGCCAGTGCCTCACCAGGAGGATAGCTCCAATCTTGAAGGAGCCGAGGGAGAGCATTTCAATTCCTTGCAGCGAGAAGGCGAGGCCGAGGGCGTTGTTGGCGAACCAGTGCTTGCGCGTGACGTACCACACGCAGAAAGCCGCACTGGGAATGCCCGCCACCACCTGCGCCAACGTCAGCTCTATCTCAAAATCTAGAAGTGGAGAGAGGTACGGAGAGGGAGGGGGGGATGGGAAAAAGCGTAAGAAATTCCTGCCGTCAACCACCCACCCACGTGCACCATCGTCAGTTCTATTTCAAAAGCTGGGAGAAAAACATGTTTTTTTTGTCGACTTGATAGCTAACCCCTGAGCCATAGACAGATCAATTTCAAACGGAATGAGTGGATGTGAAGTGAGAGCGAGAGATGAATGAGGGGATGAGTAGTGCAGAGAGCAGCAGGAGTAGGATGGGGGAAGGATGAGAGGGAGGGGGAAACTGAGCAGATGATACAAGGACAGAAATTAAGCTGCAAACATATGAGTGTGGTGTTACATGTTTGACTGCTTGGAATTGTACAGTGTATGTTTGCGAACAAAAAGATAATTCCTCATTGAATACCTTTAAAATAGGGAGCTTTCCAGTAGAAAATATCCTCATTCCACTTTGCAGGCACGAATCGTGAGACAAGAGGGAGAATTGTCGCCCTGTTGAAACAGATTGCGAGATGCGTTAAGGTGGGAGCAGATTGGGTTTGTGAGAAGAGTGCGAAGAGTGTAAAGCAGGTTGAGATCAGATTGCGAGGTGTGTGCAAGAAGCCTGGCTTGCCTGATGGCCATGAATTCCAGGAAGATAAAAAAGTTGCTGAGCCTTCTCGTCAACGCTTCTACCCTCCCCCTCCCCCTCCACTCTCCCGCTCTCCCGTTTTTCCCCCCTGTGCCCCCTCTTCCTCCCTTCCCCCCGATCCTCCCCCCCCCTCCCCCCTCTCTCCCACACGCCAGTCAACAATAGCTTACCCGATGGCCATGACTCCCAGGAAGACGAAGTAGGCACTGAGCACCATGTTGACGAGGTCCTTGGGGTGGAACTTGAGTAGATGTGCGCCTTAAGCGCAGAAATGACTCCCGCCCATCTCTCCCCCCTCAACGCACACGTCACACGTCAATGGACACATTCAACAGGTCTGCCTTATGCATATGCTCACCCAATGGCCATGACTCCCAGGAAGACAAAGTAAGCGCTGAGCACCATGTTGACGAGGTCCTTGGGGAGGACCCCTCATAGTGGAACGTATGGTCAGGTCAGCGCCAAAATGCCCCCTCCCCTCTACTCCCCACCCTTCCTCTCCCCTCTTCCACCCCGCCGCACACCACTCGACAAATGGCTTACCCGATGGCCATGACTCCCAGGAAGACGAAGTAGGCGCTGAGCACCATGTTGACCAGGTCCTTGGGGAGGAACTTGAAGAGCAGGAAGAGGGAGAAGAGCACACAGCTGCCGATGATGGGGAAGCGCATGGCGTGCTCCTTCGACATCGTCTCCTGCACGGATAGGTTTGGATAGGGGAAGAGAGGGAGAAGAGGACGGGAAGGGGGGGGGAGGAATGGGAATGAGGGGGAAGTGAGAATAGGGAGAAGAGCACACAGCTGCCAATGATGGGGAAGCGCATAGCGTGCTCCTTCGACATCGTTTCCTGCACGGATAGCACAGATCGGTTTGGAAAGGTTTGAAGAGCGAAGTGATGGGGTAAAAGGGACGAGCGGAAGAGGAAAGAAAGCACGATGATCATGCCATAAATGAAAATGGAGGGAAGTAGGGATAGCAGAGGATGGTGAGGACATGCGAAAGTAGGTCATTCGTAGTTTTACGCTGGCCGACGGTTCTACGGCATCCCAAGACCAAATTGTTCGACTCACCGCTGGAGCGGCCGGCTTGACGGAGCGGTAACACCCAGCGAAGACGGTTAGCGAAGCCATGGCGACGACATTGAAGTTGGGGTTGATTTTTACGAAAAGAGGAGCCACGGATAGCCCTGTCACGGTCAGATTGACGTCAGAATGGACAGCAAAAGAAGGAATTTACACAGGGATACTGAGATGCTGTCCAGATTGAGAATCTAGGCACAAAGAAATCAGGATAAGCAATCGAAAATTCGTTAGTGCAAGAAGTTGGAACTCGGATGGACGTTATGCTTGAAAGCTAAAGCATGAAAATTTAACGTGATTAAACAGTGGGTAAATCTTCGGATCTCGATCAGATTGACTTCTCAAAGCATTATGAAGTCGGTCAAAAGCAAATATGCACGGAAAACGCACGAAACGCAACAGGCATCGAACAAGGTCCTACCGGCTAGCAAGATGTTCGATATAATCTCCGCCTTCCCCATGATGTCGAGCCCTTATAAAATCGCCTTCCAACAACGACGATGCAAGGACTCGAATAAGTAGAGGACCAACTAATCTCGGCAGAAGAAGGATCACTGATGACTATCCAAGCTGCAATTCAAGGTCTGATGTTGATCTAGCAGCTGACTGCAGCAGAACCATATGTCCTGGAGAAGCCGAAGTGACTGCGTTTGTAGTTATCGAGGTCAAGCCACCTAAACAAATATCTGGTGACTTGCTGGTTTCCGGTACAGCTCGTTTGGCTACGATTTGCTTATCTTTCTGTGCGGTGTAAGTATATTCGGTATGGTATTTCCTGAATTCGGGAGCGCCTGAACCGAACGATTCTGCGAACGCGTTCGCGAAAGTGCATCAGGAATGAATCAGTGAGAAAGCAGTTGAACATCGGTGTTCATTTTCAAGCTAGGTCGAGCCTTGAGCCTGGCTGAATCGACAAACGCAATATCTTCGGTGCCACCCAGCGTAAACTGGTACACTACAACTATATACCTTCATATTTGTATACATAGGCTATCAGACACTTACATGCCATGACCAGCAATCTAACTATATTCCCCTTTCAGGTGTCAACGTCCATCTCTCCAATAACTAGCTGGGGTCTCACATCCCCTCCAGCCGCACGTTGTAAGGAACTCGGATCTGTTGTCACCTCCCTTCCAATGTTGCTACCAGCTGCACCCGACCTTTCACTTGGATTATTAGTATTTGACTCTGGTTCCCTTGGTGGATGACCTTGTGGGACAGATGGTTGAGTTCGCCCCTGAATTCACATTCACACAACAAGAATTCGCTTCTTAGAGAGCTAAGAAATATGTGATAAAGCAAATGGGTATTTTAATATGCAAACGGACATACCTCGATAACTTGTCTGCTGAGCATGAAGTATTGATTTGGATGTGTGATCCCTGTGGGGCATGGAGCTCCTTGCGATGCCTCAAATGTTAAAGCACAGGAGATCTGCCATAGAGCATCCAAGAAATCTATTATGAATAAAAATGTAGTATTAGGGCACCATTTTGCACTGCTAACATTACTTGTCCACCCTGTAAACACGAGAATGAGGCTGGAAGTTTATTGACGTACCCATTAACTCAGTCACCATACACAAACTCAGCGAGCGTACCTGGTAGTGCTGCTGCCGTGTCTTCTGCATGATCTCATCCATGGCTGATCCTGAAGACACCCCCATGCGAGAAAGGGCAGCTCTTAAGTTGTCCTCGCTGCACAAAATACCAGCATGCCAGAGGGGTACGAACATACTTTTGAGTAGTTGGCCTCGCTGCAAAAACACAAGCTGGAGGAGAAGCGACGACCGATGCGAATTATGCAGTTGAAACACTGAATAAATACCGCCTCATCTGGTTTACCAGACCCAACGTCATCCAGCCCACACACACCTGAAGTGCTTGAAGGGACACCCATGGTGATCCCCCACACCCGGAGTGCTCATGATGACTTTGACGCAGGAGAAGGGAGTGTAGTCTGTGCGCTTTCCCTCCTTGCCATAGTTGTGCCGGATCGAATACGCATACTCCTTGTCGAACCGTTCTGCTCCCATCTGGCAGGGAACAGAAAGACAAACATAGAGGGAGAAAGGCATGTGCCTTCAGGAGAAGGGAGTGTGGTCTGTGTGCTTGCCCTTCTTGCCATAGTTGTGCCGGATGGAATGCGCATACTCCTTATCAAACCGCTCTGCACCCATCTGTGACAATACAAAAAGAACAACAACAGCAGTACAAAAGAGGTTATTAAGTAGAAAAGGGAGTAGTGTATTTGGCAAGTTCTGCAGCGCCTCAAAGTTCCAGAAAGATTACAAGTGCTGCCATGGGAATCAGAGGACGCGCCGATTCAGAAAACTCAGAGCGCCAAAAGGTGAGTGCGCGCTCCAACCTCAGCGTGATGATCGTTACACATGCCTCAAGAGTGCAGGGCTGAGTGTACGTACGTTTCTGGAGAACTCGGAGCGCCAGAATGTGAGTGCATCCTTAACGTGCCCTTAACAGGTGTGCTTGTAACGATGGGGTGCAGTGCACTACCTTTCTGGAGAACTCAGAGCGCCAGAATGTGAGTGCATCCTTAACGTGCCCTTAACAGGTGTGCTTGTAACGATGGGGTGCAGTGCACTACCTTTCTGGAGAACTCAGAGCGCCAGAATGTGAGTGCATCCTCCAATCTCAGCCCGATGCCCTGATAGGAAGAAAGGCGAAGATAGAAAACGAGAATCCAGGAGAGGTGAATCGAGGAGGCACAGAGGACCAAGCGGACAGAATGTGAGTGCATCCTCCAATCTCAGCCCGATGCCCTGGGAGGACGGAAGGTGGGGGAAGGGGATGGAGGAAGAAACAGTAAAGAGAAATGGAGTCAGCAGGAGAGAAGAAAACATAGGATGGAATGGAGAAGAGACAGAAGCAAGAGCGCCAGAAGGTGAGTGCAGCCCAGTTGCATTCTGCCCCTAATGTTTTTGTCGACTCAAAGATCCATTCTTAATCTGTATCGTGAGAAACAGCCCAAGCTTCATTTTTCTCCCAATTGTTAAGTAGACTCACAAACCCGTTTGAAACCGTACCTTGAGAAACAGCCCCAGCTGCATTCTGCCTCCGTGCCGCAGATGATGCTCCTCCCGCAGCTGGAGGTGGGTGTGTGGGCATGGGTTGTGGGGCATGGGGCATGGGGCATGGGGCATGGGGCATCGGGCGTGGGGAGGAGTGGGGAGTGGGGCACAAGGAATGAGCCATGGGTACAGCTGCATTCTGCCTCCGTGCCGCAGATGATGCTCCTCCTGCAACTGGTAATGGTTGTGCGGGAATGGGGCATGGGGCATGGGGAATGGGGCATGGGGCATGGGGAATGGGGCATGCGGCATGGGGAATGGGGCATGCGGCATGGGGCGTGGGGGACATCGGGCGTGGGGCATAAGACATGAGTGGTGAGTCACAGGGTACAGCTGCATTCTGCCTTCGTGCCGCAGATGATGCTCCTCTCACAACTGAAATGTGACGGCTCGGGTGAAGACGCAAGCAAGCAAGACACAGACACAGGGGCGATTTGAAGAACAGGCACATCCAGCACAGGATGAACTGCTCCTGCACGTGGCATCATATTTTGCTCCTCAAGCAATACCTGCGCTCCCGCACAGGGAATATAGAAGATTTTTAAGATGTCTCGAAAACCGGATTTAGCACGTGTACGGCATGGGTCATGTGTGGGCGCGCGCGCGCGCACGCACACACACACACACACGGTACCTTAAAGAATAGGTGACGCATGCAGAGCGGGAAAGACTGCCGCGCAACGACATCCAAATCACGGAGCGACACCTCAGCAGTCTCGCCAGGCTGGCAGAACAGTGGAGAGAAAAGTGGGGAAGGGGAGAGGGTGTGGGGAGGGGAAGAAAAGGTTGGAAGGAATCTTTTCATACAGGTGTAATACCCGGGAAAAGGTTTTCTCATACAGATGGAATTTAACCTGAACTGATACATGTTTACTACTTGAAGCAAGTTTTCTCATACGGGTGTGCTATTACCTGGGAGAAGTCTTTTAATTCAGGTTTACTACCTGGCGAGAGTCTTCTCATATGGGTTTATTACTACCTGGGAGAAGTCAGGGCCTAAATAGCGACTTTTGAGGCGCCTCAAAAGTTTACTACCTGGCGAGAGTCTTCTCATACGGGTGTATTACTACCTGGGAGAAGTCCGGGCCTAGATAGCGGGTGCTGAGAGCTTCAATCACGGGTGTCAAGCGCTCCTGCTCGTCCTCTTGTATGTGAGCAAGCCACTTCCTGCGATACAGGGGACAAGATGGAAATCGTGTGTTGTTTTGGGAGCGGGGAGGGGAGGGGATGAGCTTCAATCACAGGTGTCAACCGCTCCTGCTCGTCCTCTTGTATGTGAGCAAGCCACTTCCTGAGAGACCCGGGACAAAATGGATTAGGCTTGTTTTTCAGGGGGTTGGGGAGGATGGGGGGTGAGCAGTGACCGGTGTCAGGCGCTCCTGCTCATCTTCCTGCATGTGAGCAAGCTACTTTCTAAGAAACCCAAGACGAAATGGAAATCAAAACGACAACATCAATGAGATTTGAAACATCAGTAAAGAAAATGTTACCAAGTTGTGAAATCATCAGACGATACAGGTATCACAAACGACAGCGAAACAGAGCAGTCACAAGGCCTATTCTTTCGAAACCATTCGTTCCGGAATCCCTCAATATTCACCTGTTGGTCGCCACTAGTGCTTTCGACAGCTTAGCTCGGAACTGACCCACCACAATAGCTGCCAGCTGGCACATATGGAACCACATGTGAAGGGAAGAAGGGGGAGAAGCAAGAAAATGGAGAGAATGCTTCAGAAACTAGTGGCTTGAACAGGAGATGGAATGAAGAAAGAGAACGGAAAGAAGAAAGAGAACGGAAAGAAGAAAGAGAACGGAAAGAAGAAAGAGAAGGGAAAGAAGAAAGAGAAGGACAGCCATGAGGGAAACATATGGCAAGCAAGGGAATGAGGGGAAATACACATGGTTTCAGTAGACCACAGGACGTGCAATAGCATACCTGGTTGCTGCAGTCAGCTTTTGAGTTTGAGTCGACTCAAAAACATATGGTAAGCAAGAAAGTGAGGGGAAATACACATGGTTCCAGTAGACCACAGGACATGCAACAGCAGACCTGGTTGCTGCAGTCAGCTTTTGAGTCAACTCAAAAACATATGGCAAGCAAGAAAGTGAGGGGAATTACACATGGTTCCAGTAGACCACAGGACATGCAACAGCAGACCTGGTTGCTGCAGTCAGCTTTTGAGTCGACTCAAAAACATATGGCAAGCAAGAAAGTGAGGGGAGATAGACATGGTTCCAGTAGACCACAGGACATGCAACAGCAGACCTGGTTGCTGCAGTCAGCTTTTGAGTCGACTCAAAAACATATGGCAAGCAAGAAAGTGAGGGGAGATACACATGGTTCCAGTAGACCACAGGACATGCAACAGCAGACCTGGTTGCTGGGGACAAAGGCGAAGCACTTTTCAAAGTAAGGGGCTGGAAAAGGGACAAAGGCAAAGCACTAATCAAGAGGAAAGCCATACCTGGTCTCTAGGGACAAACGCAAAGCCCTTTTCAAGATAGACCCTGCGAGAAGCCACTAGATCGGGAACCTCTTCGAACGGAACCTGCCGTGGGGGAAAATAGGAAGTAGGATGGAGGAATAAATGATGAGCATCCTGGCTTCCTGGTACCTTCCAGCAAGTGTGTGGGTGACACAAACAAAAGGAGCAGGCATGCACTAGAGCGAGTTTCACTTGACACAAGATGCGCATTAAAAAAAGTGTTTCTGCAAAACCGATTATATTTACCTTGTAAAAGACACTGTCAACTGGAGCAGTCATGCGATAAAAGGTCGCCATGATGAAGTGGTCAGGTTGAAAAAGAGGCAGGTCAGAAAAGGGGCAGGTGGGGCAGGTTGGACAAGGGGCAGGCACAAGCCGCAGACATGAGACAGGACGGTTTTTTTCAACATCGTGCTAAAACAAAAACAGTAATCAACCACTGGGGAAGGGCGCAACCACTGGGGAAGGGCGCAACCACTGGCTGACGTTGCCAACCCTTGGTGGCAGAAGTACCAAAGGCAAGGCAGCACAAGATTGGACAGGCAGTAAATCGATGGCAATAGTCTGAACTCAAGGAACCAACCCTCAGACAATGGGCAATAGTCCGAGCAGTCTTGAGGTAGATTACCATTTGGAACAGGTAGGTTTAGGGACCTGGCAACTTGAGTGAGCTTCTCTCGCACTCCCTGCGTTAGTGGAGGAGAGGAAGAGACGAGGGAAGGATGTATGACTATTGCATTGAGCGTGGAGATCATGTAAGAGTGGGAAACTTCAGGTTGTAATTCAGCAGCTCAGCATCATTTTCAAGAATGCAAGTAAGCGGCTCACACGATACTTACCATCATCTCTGCTGCACCAATAGCATGATATGATAACCCGTTTGAATTTAGGCGCTTTAAAAATCACCTGTCACCACACAGTGTGCACTTACTGTCATCTCTGCTGCACCAATGGCACGATAGGGTAAACCGTTGCTCTCCAAAAACCACCTCTGTGCGCAGATTGAGCAGGAGGTTTAAAGAGGGGGAGGGCGGGAAGAACGGTGGGGAGGGGAAAAACCAGGGGGGAAAGGGGAGGAACGGGGTAAGGACGGTAACATTGAATGGCTTAACATGCAGTGGTGTAGGGACAAAGGAAGCAAATTCAACTCTCTAAGGTTGCATGCAATGCATCCGAGTCGTAGCTGGAAACTCACCTGGTTTTCAGGTGTCTCGGCTCGGAATCGGTGGCGGAATAGAGCCGACTCTTGCGCCAACAACCACCGCCGTAGCTCCTCCCTGAACCACCGCCAGGTGAATAACGGACCACGCAATAATGGGTACAAGACATTGCGAGCAAACCCTCAGGCGATGTTTGAAATGCCTCTCACGATTCATGTGGGACAGTAAGAGTTCTGAGACGTCTCAAAAAGCTCACGTGCGACAGTAGGCGAGTCGTAGGATGTAGTGCGATATGACGTCCTTGCGACGAGCGTCAGCCAATGAGCATCCAGCTCGCATATACTTCCGCCATATGTCAGATACCTGCGAAGGCAAACGTAGTGCATTCAGATAGGAACGCCAGAAATTTGAGCCTTACGCAACCAAAACAAAGAAGTACCATAATCTGGCACGAGAAACGGGAAGAACCATCACTCGAAAGAAGCGGCATGGCTATATTTTTCCTAACCTGTTCAGGAACATCATGCACGTTCCTGCCATGTCTAGACGTTTCCGCCATTCTTTCAAAAGTAAGACGCACGTACCATGCTGTCGAGCTCGTCCACCTTTGTTCCGCGTGCCTTGGTTTGGCAGGGTGATTTACACAGAACTCAAGAACACCCTGGAAAGGCTCCTGCCATTTTAATTACGAACAAGACGTTCGTACCATGCTGTCGAGCTCGTCCACCTTTGTTCCCCGCGCCTTGGCGTCGTCAATCGCCTTGAGCACTGCGCACACGGAAAAGCAAGACTCGCTCAGTTACGCGTTGAACGCGATATAAAAACCTCTCGTATGAAGAGTCCAATAGCCTTTCGCAGTAAAAGACAACCCCGAAAGCATCCATTACATGACGACACATCCCAATTTGAATCTAAAGCACTTTCGCCTATTGAGAAACAGAATGGCACAGACGCCTTAACCGGGATCAGCGCTACGAAATGAATCTCGGACCGTCCATTCAGCCGTTCAGTTCTATACTGCACCCTTCTGAAGATGGCAGCTCTCCCCGAAAATGCTTTCAAGACCGGATTCCTCAGCATCTTTTCTAATCCTAGCTCACCACGGAGCCGGTCCAAAGCAAATTCCTCGAATTGCTCCATGGCCACTTCCTCTCCCACCGGCGCCTCGTCGTACATCGACAACTGGCACGCGGAAACTCCGCCGCTTCCTGCGGAGGATTTCCATCCCGAAGGACCTACGCCGCGACCGTCGGCGCCAACCGCGCCGTGACCCTGTGCTACGGAAGGTGCTGCTCGTTTTCGCGAAGTTACGTTGAAATCCATAGGGCAAGGGTACAGTGACGCCTAACAATCGTGACGTTGGCTGGGAAATGAAGTGATAGGTGAATCTAATATAGGTCAATATAAAATAGGTGAATTCAAGGTCACGCGCTTCTAGATATCACACTGCTGTACACGAAGACTAATTTGTTCGACTGAATCAATAACCAGAAACATGTAGGGCTCTCAGACCTGGATTTCCGGCGCAAGTATAAAAAGCCTGAGACTGAAACACGCATTTGGTTACTTCACTTCCGAACGTCACCCAGTTATAACTCCATGCAACAACAGGCTGAGCAAGGAACAAGAAGCGACTGATGAAAGCAATGCCTCAACTCGAGGATACAAAGAACAGAAGATGGCAGAAGCAGTTTGGCGGGAAAACAAACTAGACAATTCAAAGCTGCAAATTTCGCGGCATTCTGATTCGCAGTACTCCATAAGAATAAATCGCTTACAGCAAAACGATGTACAACTCCATCCATGCGAAAGAAACTTCTTCCGTAAAAATACATTCTACACTCTACGTGTATGTCCTTGCCGTGCCGTGTGATGCTCGAGCATCCACGAACGAAACGGAAGCTGGGCTCTGCTGGCAAATGCTCCCGCCTGTACACATGATGCTCGTTTGACTAACCCGAGGCTGTCTTGTGAAGAGGGCTTGTAAGTGATTTTGAGAATTTCTCCAGTTCGCAGCTAGCAAAAAAGGATTCGTCAGGTGCCTATAAGGGCTCATACAGCTGATGCCTGTTTGAGCCCCTCCCGGTTGCCTTATGAAGGGGGCGTATAAGCTGTCACGAGCATTTCGCATAAGTTTCGTCAATTCGCAGCTAGCTAAAAAGGATTCGCATGTGCTTATAAACAAGATCTGTTACCTCGTTTGACTTCAGTCTCTTCTGCTTGACTTCGGTATGTTCGTTACTATTGGTTGATAACCACGCGACGCGCTTGTAATGTAGGTGCATGAAGCTGGGGAAACAACCTCGGGTGCAGCGTATCCATCCGGCGCAAGGAAATTTGCGTGCATGGTGTGAGCATCAGCTGTAACAGAATTTGTGACAGTTTGACTTCGGTCTCTTCAGTCAAACTTCAGTTTCTGTGGTTCGTATTGGTTGATATCACTGCAACCTGCTCGAAGTGCTTGTAACGTGGGTGCAACTGGCTGGTAAAAAAACCACGGGTGCAAGGTTTCCATCCGGTTTAGAAAATTCGCGTGCAGGGGCTGGGCAGGGCATCATGTGTACCTTTCCCGCCTCCACCCAGCCCGTCCTTTGTCCTTCGCACCGACAAGCCACGCGGTAGGCGCACCAACAGTGATGGTGGTGGGTTGGGCCACTGGCCAGCCAACTATTCAGCGCCTTTCTCCAGCTTTTCTTCCGCGCCCACTTCCGCGTGCTGCGACTCGCGCACATCAGCACACAACTTGCGCCAGACGTAATTTTGCTGCGCCCACACCACCATCCCCATCCCCACACGGGAAGGTCCCTCGATCTTTCTTTGTCATGGCTGCCGCCAATCTTCCCCGCACCCAACAAGACCTTCCCCCTATCTCCACCTCGCCGTCACTATGGAATGCCGCGTTCCCCCCATTCACTCCCCCTTTCCGCTTTCCGCCCCCCCGTCTCTTCAGTTTCAGTCCGTCGAACTTCTCGACTCCTCCGCCTGTCATGTCTTCAACATCCATCTCACCTCCCTCATCTCAAGGGTGCCCCGCGTGCATCTCGTTCCTGTTCGGTTTGTTGCGTTCCGAAACGGCGAGCAGATATTACCGTGCTAAACCTCGAGGAAACTCATGGAACCGTATGTAAGGAGCCATTTTTCAATGCACCGACTCCGCATCAGCATTCAACCTGAACAACCATCCTTCACGTTCATAGCACGTCAAAGTCTCCAAATTAGTTCCTGCTTCGCATTGTTTCTTTGTTCCAGGACGAATGGGGAGGAGCAAATTTTCGACATCTACACCAGAGGTCCTGACTCGTCTTAGAAACCGCTTAGCAGCAAGTTCACTCGTTACTCGCATTGCGTAGCGACGGTTTCTTAGCTCATCCTAGTTCCCCGAATCCTGAGCATATAGGTCAAATGTCGAACGAAGAAGACTCGCTAGTTTTAGTAGACTGCGGAGACGCGTACGTCCTCCTCTACGATTCTAAGTACCAGTCCGTTGAAGAGGCATTAGTCGACAGCGCCGGACGCGCCTTGTCGAGCGACGCGTCGTTACCTTTGGAGTCGGCTCATGTAATCGACGGTGCTGCGCACTCCTCGCAACTCGACTCCTTACCAGAAGATTCCGTCTACGAATGGCAGCAAACTGACGGACCGGAATTTTCTGATAGCCATGACGTTGACGCGCAGTCTTCGGTTCGTCCTGTTTGTAACGGAGCAACGTTACCAGGTTCGCGGCCTGACGTACAAGAATTACAACATGAGTCGGAAACTCTATCAGGGTCCGCTGCTACTGCTGGCGTGGCGAAGCAGGTTCTGTCGTTGCACCGCCTGAAGCAAATTAGCCTGCGAGGCGGGAAGAAAGGCGCGAAATGGATCCGGCGAACCGTCGATGTGGTAACCAATGGGAAAGGCGGGACGTTTTTTCTTTCGGGACTGAAAGCCGGAAGTGCGAGAGGGGCCGAAAAGGCAGGATACAGCGGTGTTTTGGAGCAACCGTCGTCACAAGCTTATAGCGAGGATGATGTGATGCCGAGGCTTATGAACTTAACGCGCGCACTTAGTAGAGTGACGGAAGCCGAGAGCTGGCAGGAGAGAGGGGAATCGTGCGACTTACGCAATCGCCTGACGCGAATTGCGGATCTCGAGTCGGCCGCGCTGGAGATTTCCGGCAGTCTCCCCCCATCGAGTGCGCTTGTAACGGGTATATATAACTCTTTTTATGCCGGAGATGATATTTTTGACAGTACTGTAGATAGCAGTGCGGATATGGCCAGCTACAGTGATTTCGGTATTTCGTTTGATATGGTTGGGAAGGCGGGAGCAAGCGGCGAGGAGCAGGTGAGTTTCACCGATAAGTTTAAGCAAGTAGGGAAGCGGAATCAATTGCATATCAACGCGATAAGAAGGGCCAAGGAAAGGAGTCGCTCTGCCTCTTTAGAAGGCCAACTGCTCGACTCTATAGCGGAGCACAGCAACTCCAACCGTTCGAGTGGCAGTGGCAGACAGGGTGAGAATAACGAAGGAGCCTCTAGCGAGGCGCGGGAGTCAGGGGAAAGCGGAAAAGGTACTGGGTTAGAGGAGATTTGTGACGCAGATCCTCTAGAGGATGATGGTTCTGTGGACATGGCGAGCTACAGTGATTATGGCTTATCGTTTGATATGGTTGGGAAGGCGGGGGCAAGCGGTGGGGAGCAGGTGGGATTCACAGATAAGTTCAGGCAAGTGGGGAAGCGTAATCAGATGCATATCAACGCGTTTCGGAGGGACAAGGGCAGGGACAGGCACGGCAGTGACTCGATAGTGGGTGGGTTGGATGACTCTATAACGGTACAATCCGGTTTCAAGGTTGGTGGAGGGGGTGAGGGAGAAGGCGGAAATACGATTTGGGGAAATCGGGGTTCCAGTGAAGCTGTTAGCATGGCTACTGGTGAAGGCATGGCTAATGGCAGCAGGGGAGGCAGTGCTTGTGCTGGTACTACTGAGAGTGACAGTATCGAACGAAGGCTTGAAGCGAATGGTGCAGCAGTGGCAGGGGAAGGCACGGTTGACAAGGCTGGGGAGCAGCAGGCTGGTCAGGGGGTTGCTGGGGGAAGCGCTGTGGGAGGCAGTAATGGTGGCGTTGGGGGAGGCGGTGATGGTGGCGTTGGGGGAGGCAGTGATGGTGGCGTTGGGGGAGGCAGTGATGGTGGCGTTGGGGGAGGCGGTGACAGTGGCGTTGGGGGAGGCGGTGATGGTGTTGGGTGGTCCCAGGAAGGGCATGCTGAGCCGTTGGCATCCGCCTCGTTCCGAACCGCAGCCGACTCCCTCCCCTGCACGGAAGCATCTGCCTCCCTTGCTTGTACCGACGCACTCACGTCCCTTCCCCGCACAGAAGCATCTGCCTCCCTTGCTTGTACAGACGCAGTCACGTCCCTTCCCCGCACAGAAGCATCTGCAGAGTCGCTTTCTGAAAGCCTGCTGGCGTCGGCGACTCTCCCCCCGGCCCTGCTAGCAGTGCTGGCCAATAGGGGAGACGCTAGCTCGGGATTCCACAGGCCTCAGGCCGCTTTACCCTCTTTTGGCGCTTCAACATCGCTTGAATCAACTGGAGATTCGGCCTCAGGGGAGTTGAGGGGTGAAGGTGGCGCCACAGGCGTGGCAGGGCATGGGGCAACAGCTGCAGCAGCAGCAGCCGCACCAGTGGCGGCTACAGGCGCGCTATTGGGGGCTACAGCCGCAGAAGTGGAGGGTGTGTCTGCCAATACAGCTGCGCCTGCAGCTACAGTCACGCCAACGGTCGCTACAGCTGCACCAGTGGGGGCTACAGCAGCTGCTGCAGCAACACCAGCTGCTACAGCCGCTGCAGCAGCAATAGCAGCAACCATCGCTGTCAAATTGGTAACAGCAGTCAATTCCCCGCAGCTACATCCTGCTGAGTCAGCTCCAGCTCAGCATACACGCGCTTTTGAGTCACCGCCAGGTCAGCAGCCGCGCCGTCTGTCTGTCCCCTGCCGCCCGGCCTCGGCCGCCAGGTGGCGTGCCACGTGTGGCCTGCCGTCTCGCGCGGCCATCGAGAGAGATGCTGAGCTGGCTGCCAGGCTGGCAGAAATCCGAGCTGGATATGCTGGGCGGTGGGTGGGAGAGGATAAGATCGAGCGGGAGGGCTCGGGGGTTCATACGAGCAGCAGCCGCAGCTTGGGAAGCAGTACTTGTGACAGTATGGCGAGTGACTGTAGGAGGAGGGAAGGGTTCGGGTCACAACAAGGTGCCTCAGTGCACTCACCCGAGCACAAAGCACAGCACTCACCACCACAGCAGCACTTGTTACAGCACCCGCAGCAACACTCACCAGTGCAAGGTACACAATCTCAGGAGGACGCAAGGCCTATGCAAGACCTAGTGCAGGCTTTCGAGACGTCTGAAAAGGCCAACTGTGAGGATGGGTTACCGAGTCAGGTACACAGTCAGCAGGAGAGTCAGGCTGGGGAAGCAGAGAGGGGACAAGGGGTGATGGAGGAGAGGGTGGGGTTGGTGGAGGGAGGGGGAGAGGGAGGAGTGTTGGTGGAGGGAGGGGGAGAGGGAGGAGTGTTGGAGGGAGGGGGAGAGGGAGAAGTGTTGGTGGAGGAAGTGGCAGTTACTCTGGAGCGGATTGAAGCAGCTTTCAGCCGATTCAGCAGCCTTGTAGACTCGAGTGAGCGAGGAGTGGGAGAAGGGGAGGGGGTGAGAGATGGGGAAGGAGTGAGCGAAGAGGGGGAAGGAGTGGGGGGAGAAGGGGACGGAGTGAGTGGAGAAGGGAAAGTAGAGGGAGGAGAAGGGGAAGGAGTGGTAGGAGAAGGGAAAGGAGTGGGAGGAGAAGTGAAAGGAAAGGGAGAAGGAAAGGAGGGAGGAGAGGGTGAGGAGGAAGGAGTGAGAACAGAGGGAGGGGAGGAAGAGGAAGGGGGAAAGGGAGGAGAGGGAGGGGAGGAGGGGAAGGAAGAGGAAGGGGAAAAGGGAGGAGAAGGAGGGGAGGGAGGGGAGGAGGTGGCGGTGGCAGTGGGCAGGATAGAGGAGGCATTCAACCGACTCAGCAGCCATGTTGACGAGCTTGCGGCGCTCAAGGCACAGCAGGCTGCTGCTGCTGCTGCCGCTGCTGCTGCTGCGGCTGCTGCTGCTGCTGCCAGTGCTGGCAGTGCTACTGTTTCTAGTGTTGCTGCTGCTGCTACTGTGGGGGATGCGGTTGTCCCTGCTGCTAATGGCAGTGCAGTGAAGAGGGTGTATAGTATTCGCGTGAAGCCAGCCCACATGCACGCTGCTGTGAGAGCAGCAGTGCGGGCGGTGCAGGCTGTACCATGGGGGCAGGTGGGGCAAGAGGAAAGGAGGCTAGGAGCGCAAGGGGAAAGGAGGCAAGGGGTGGAAGGGGAAAGGGGGCAAGGGGTGGAAGGGCGAAGTGCAGAGGCAGCAGAAGAAGAAAATGCAGACGAAAGTGCTACCTGGGAAGGGTTGGTGCAAGGACAGCTGCCAATCTCCACCGTTGGTGCTGAAAATGCTGCTCGTGATTCAAATGCACCTGCTGCATCCAACGGACCAGATGAATCTGCAGCTTTCGAAGGCCCAGATGCCCCGGCTGTGTTGCCAGATCCAGATTTCCCACCTCATAGGGTAACAGGTGATGGCCATGTGGGGTATGACCCAGTACCGCTCTCAACCGTTGGGTTTCCTGCAGAATCCTCGCTTTGCTCCGACGAAGATGTGCTGGCAGCAGCGGCGCTGGTGGAGGCAGCCATTGGGAGTTTTGTCGCAGATTCCAGGGTAATTTACCCTCGCGAAACAGGGACTACTCGGGCAGGACCGCGCGAAAAGGATCACGGCAGGGAAGAGGGAGAGAGAGGGGCGGGTGGGGGGGCAGAAGCAGGGGCAGCGGGGGCGGGAAGTGGGTTGATTCGAGCACCAGCGAAAGTGGTGGCGGAGGGAGGGGTAGGGCCAGGGATGATTGTGAGGAAAAAAGCAGGTCAAGCGCCTCGCATGTGGGCTGTCCCTACCATGGACTTAGAATCCGCTCTAGAGGCTGCTATGGGAGCGGCTGATAGGGTGGAGAAGGGCGGTTGTTGTGAGTCGGAAGCATGCAGGTCAACACAGGACAGCAACGGGATGGGTCAGAGGAAAGATGGAAGGGAGCAGGTCCAGACTATGAGTCTGAATTCGGCCCCAGAGGCGGCTGTGGGGGTGGCTGATAGGGTGGAGCAGGGGGGGTGTGACGTGATGGTTCAGAGGAGGGGAGAGAGGGAGCAGGGCGGTTGTGACATGATGACTATGAGTCTGGATTCGGCCCGTCGCAAGTGGGGTTTGCCTAGCATGGACCTGGAATCGGCTCTAGAGGCGGCTGTGGGGTTGGCTGATAGGGCGGGTGTTAAAACGAACCAGGGGCATGCTATAACGCGTATGGAGGTGGACAGGTGTGAGATGGAGCATGATGGTGTTGCCTCAGCTGGGGTTGCGAGTGGAGGAGTGGGAGAGGGAGAGGGAGAGGGAGCAGAGGTGGGAGAGAGTGTGGGTAGGGTGGGATCGTTTGCTTTCAATGTTGGGGTGGAAGCAAGACGTGACGCGGGTGTCAGCAGCACTGCTGCTGCTGGTGGTGGTGGTGGTGCTGCTGCTGCTGCTGCTGCTGATGTTGGAAGCAAGCCTGAGGGAGCAGTACAGAGACAGTAGAGGAGACAGTCGAGAAGATAGCAGAGGCGAGAGCAGTTTTTCCCCCTCTCTTACGCCGCCTGGGTGGATCTTTCCATCCGCGGCTTATGACGCTCTTGAGGATGCTCTTAACGAGTATGACGCTAGGAGTGTGAGCATTGGCAGCAGAATTAGTAGCTCTAAGGGAGGAGGGGGGTCAGCGTTTCCGATTTCCTGCCTGGGAGGGGGGTTTGGGAGAAAGCGGAAGGGGAAGAGGAAGGGGAGGGGGAAGGGAAAGGGGGAGAAGAAGGGGGAGAGGAAAAGGGAGGGGAAGGATAAGGGGAAAGGGAAGGGGCCGGGAGGGAGCAACGCAGTGCAGGATACAGCTCCTGCCAGTGCCACTGCTGCTGCTGCTGTTACTACCGCTGATGTTGCTGCTGCTGCGGAAAGAGGTGGGGGCAGTCTGGCAGGAAAGAGCTATTGGGAAGGGGAAGTGGAAGGGGATTGGGAAGAGGAGAGAGGGGAGTCACGTGGTGTACGAGAGGAAAACGAGTGGAACGAAGGAGAGGAGGAAGAGAAAGCGGATGGGGAGGAGGAGGAGGAGGAGGAAGAAGAGGAGGAAGAGGAGGAAGAGGAGGAAGAGGAGGATGAGAATTCAGATTGGGATGAGGAGGAGGATGATGCAAGCTCGGAAAGCAACAGCTTGTTCATGCTCCCCGTGCCCATTCTTGACTTGGCTGATGGCTTCTCACTCTCCTTTCCTCTTGAAGCCTTTGCCAGCTCTCGGTTAAACACTGGCGCTCAGCTAAGCAACGGCGGGAACAGCGGGATTTTCCGGACTGAAGAGGACCCGTCGTTTGACGGTTCCTTTCGAAGCCTTTTGGACAGCAGCAGGAGTGATTGTAACGGTGGTAACCAGTTGGCGAGCAACCCTAGCGAAGGTGCTAACCAGCTGGTAAGCAGCACTGGCGAAGGTGGTAATCATGTTACAGCGCCAGATGGTAACCGTGCTACAACAAGCCCTTTGCCTTCCCATCTGAAGCACGGCTCTGGCAGCCAGAATCCATTTGGACAGTGTCTTGGGTTCAGGGGAGAGGGGAAGAGGAGCAAAACTGGTGCTGCTGGTGATACTGCAACTGCTGCTGCTGCTGCTGCTGGTACTGCTGCTGTTTATTCTGGTGCTGCTGCTGTTTATGCTGGTGCTGCTGATGGTGCTGCTGCTGCTGCTGCTGCCGTCCCGCATTTGCTGGCACCGGCAGCACCGTTTCTCACTCCACGGCATCCAGTGCTAGCAGTGCTACACCTGCCCCCTCCAACCCCTCATGTCTCAGCCCCAGATTATCGGTTCCCGAGTCGAGTAAGAAAAGTGGCCTATCCAGCCCCTCGTGTCTCAGTCCCAGGTTCGCAGCAGTCCTCAAGTCCCTCAGCAGACCTGCCGGGGCGGCATCTAAGGCTGGCTCAGGCACAGGCACGAGCCCGGAGCGGCAAGACAAGGTGGATGCTGCAGCACGGCGGCTGCTGCAGCTGCAGGAGCATCTGAGGCGGCTGAGCAAGCAGGGGCTGATTACTGGGGACGGGGAGGATGAAGCTACTGCGGGTCATGGAGTGGGAAAGGATGGCAGTCCCGAGACCCAGAGACTATGCCAGGGGATATGCCAGGGGGTAAGTGAGGGGACGTTTGCAGGTGAGGGTCACAGGGATAACGCTGGTGAAAGCCAGGGGGTAGGCCAGGGGGTAGGCCAGGTGCTTGTCCAGGGGCTAGAGCAGAGAGCAGAGCAAGGGGTCATCGCAGGGGGTGACTCGCGCGTTAATGGAATCAGCCAGGGGGGTGTTCCTGAGGGCCGGAAAAACGAGTTGACTTTTGGGTCGAGTCAAGAGGTAGGGGACGACTCGGACTTGAATGGTATGAGCCAGAGGGGTGATCCTGAGGGAAGTCTTGAGGGCAATGGGTGGGATGTGGAGAGCCAGGGAGACAGTGGCAGTTTGGGGGTAGGCAGCAGCAATGGTGCATGTGGGGATGCTGCTGTGATGGCGGGAAACGCTAAGCATGGGTTAGCTCCTGCTGCTGGTTCGGCTATTGCTGCTAGCTCGTGTAGTGCTGTTGGTTTAGCTGCTGGTGCTTTGGGTGTTGCTGACGCAGCAGCTGCTACTTCTGGTGATTCTGCTGCTGCTTCTGGTGATGCTGCTGCTGCTGCTGCTGCTGCTGCTGCTGCTGCTGCTGCTGCTGCTGGTGATGCTGCTGCTGGTGATGCTGCTGCTGGTGATGCTGCTGCTGGTGATGCTGCTGCTGGTGATGCTGCTGCTGGTGATGCTGCTGCTGGTGATGCTGCTGCTGGTGATGCTGCTGCTGGTGATGCTGCTGCTGGTGATGCTGCTGCTGGTGATGCTGCTGCTGGTGATGCTGCTGCTGGTGATGCTGCTGCTGGTGATGCTGCTGCTGGTGATGCTGCTGCTGGTGATGCTGCTGCTGGTGATGCTGCTGCTGGTGATGCTGCTGCTGGTGATGCTGCTGCTGGTGATGCTGCTGCTGGTGATGCTGCTGCTGTGCAGGCTAGCAGCGGGGAGAATGCCGGTGGAATCCCTCGAAGCATAAGTGCCGATGGGGCTGAAAGTGCAGCCACTGCGTGTGAGTCTGATAGCAGCTATTGCACTGCCACGTGTGACAGTGTTGCCGGGTGGAGTAGTGCTAGCTCTGCTGCTGCTGCTCCTGCTTCGTCCTCTGGTGCTTTTACTGCTGCTGCTGGTTTCTCCTCCTCTGCTGCTGCTGCTTCTACTATTCCTGCTGGTGCAGCTGCTGCTGCCACTGGGAATGCCAGCGGTCGCGTTTCAAGCGTCCTTCCAAGAAGCATCAGTGCCGGCAGTGCTGCTGGCAACAACCACAGTTTGAACAGCATTAGCAGCATCAGCAGCATCAGCAGTGTTTCGAGCAGCACGAACAGCATCAGAAGCAGCACTAGGCCTCGAGTCCCCCCCCTCTCCTCAACACTCTTGGATTACCAACCCCCCACAGGCCGCCGACTGCTTACATCACACTCCTACTCCTCACCCTCTGTACAGTCACGCTCACATACCAGCCCCCACTCCTCTCCCCCCGTACAAGCACACTCACATGCCACTTCCCCATGTTTGCCATCCCCCATACAAGCACACTCGTTTGCCGAAGTCTCTTCTCTTTTGCAGCGGTCGCCAGTGCATGCTAGTGCAAGTGGTGCTGCTGGTGCAGGTGGGAAGGATGGTGGAAGAGGGGGGTTGATAGCTAGAGTGCCCAAGAGCAAGATCCTGTCCTTGTTGAAGGGAGGGAAAATGCAGGAAGGGAGCAGACAAGGCTGTGGGGACAATGAGAAGCAGGAGAGAGAGAAGGGATGGGCGGAGAGAGGGCAGGGACAGGAGGAGAGACGGTTAGAGCAGGAGGTTAAGCCAGATGGGCCGAGGCCGTGGAGAATTAAGGGCGGTAAAAATAAGTCTTAGGATGGGAATGCCTTACTGTTTGTTCATACATAGCTAGCCTCTGTCATGTTCACGATTGCTAGTATCAATATGTGTAGATTACGCAATTGAATGCTTCCAGTATGGTCGTATGTTTGAGGTGCTGTGCCGCCTGTGTTCCGCTCCGCTGCTTGAGTGTGGAAAATATGTTGCCATTTGATGTCGCATCATCTAATTGGTATGAGGCGTGATTTTCACAAAAACCTTCTTAAGAGGGGGTACACCCTATTCTCGATAATTGCACACCTCTTAATCCCACACCCTGTGGGTACATACCCTGGTGTACGACTTTCTCACGGGGTAGTTCACGGCGTGTGTTGAATTGTTTGGGGGACTTTCCAGTACCCCTCTCACGAATTGCGTAGCAACAAGAACGTACCCCCCTCCCTCCTCACTCGAAACACATTGCACAAGTTTTCAGAGACTGCACCTTCCGGCTGTCGATTAGAACCCTGAATTTCTAGATGTTCATCGTATCAAGCCAGAATCGGTTTAGGGTATCTATAAAACAGGGGGTAGGGGTGTGCAATTATCGAGAACAGGGTGTAATTAACCCTCCAAATAGGGTGTGTGGAGTGGGAAAACACAGGAGGACTGGCTGGCAACGTGTTGGTCACATGTCAACTGCAGACGTACGCGTTGTAGAGCAAGCCTCCTCTGGCTGTAGCTACTACCACAGCCATGCAGGTCTCGAAACGTGTGGAGTTATTGCATTTTGGAGTTTAGGAGAAATCTGGAATCGGGACTTTCATGGCGAAGAAAATTCACCAGCATCCAATCAAGTTCCTCCTCACTTCCCTGACCGGTCTTTCTCTGCTCCTTGGGTTGGGTGAGCCAGTGACCACCACCAGATCCATTCACGTTAGCGTCCAGCCTGTTCACGAAATATGGCGAACAAAAGGACTTTCTGTAACGAGTAATCGCAAGGTCGGGACTCGGTATTCCCCGTGGCTGCGCGTGACGATCAAGCCAACGAAATCCATTGACCAATCCAAGGCGAGGTGCATTAGATTGTATTCCTACGTAGGGACACCATCCGAAGTAGGGACACCTGGTTGTTTTTTTTTATTTTTTTATTTGCTTTCGAATGGAAGTCTACGTCAGACCGTAGTTTGAAAGGCTGGAAAACATCTCATGCCCAATCTTGCGTCAGAAGTAGCTAGTCTCGATGTGTCGGGTGACGAGCGGAGTATGCGAGTCAGATGAACTCACTCAGCCGCACTTACTCAACTGACTGACACTTGAGACGAGCGGTGTACTGACATTGCTAAGAAATTCGTGTGTTTATTTTATAATTGCAACTTTCAGAGCATCGTTTGTAGGTCACGTTGAACTAGGAGAAATAGCCATGCAACACGGAAATTGTCCCAACTTCGCATGGTGTCCCTGCGTTGGAATACAATCTTAATCTTGCTTGCAGCACAGTTCGTGAAACTGCTACTGTACCGCAACGCGTAAATCCCAAGACAAATCAGCATGGTCACGAACATCACCCATCCCATCCCATCCCATCCCATTTCCTTGAATGGATTCACCTTCACCACCACCATCGATTCCTTCCTGCTCATTCCTCCCCTCTTCCTCTCCTCTCCTCTCCACCGACCACCACCATCTCTTTCCTGCCGTGTACCTCCATTTCTCCTCCAGGCTCCAGCTCATCAGTGGCACCACGGCATAGCATTCCCTCCCTCGCACACTTTTGAAACTCGAGCACGGCACTTGCGTGTTGTACAGTAGGAGGCCAAAGCTTCACGTCCACCTCGGATGCCTTACGCGTCTGCAGCATTGTGAGCCTTTTTGAACGGGCTCCGAGCAAGAATCAACGAAACGTTGTCGCTCCCCGCTCTTCGCCCTTCACTCCTCGCTCTTAACTCCTCGCTCCTCGCTCTTTTCTCTTCACGTCATGGAACCCTCAGCTTCTTCCGACCGTTATGGTTACCACACCAGGTCATCCCCTTCCAGTCCCTCACATAACAGCCTTCGTTACAGTCACATCGCCATTGATGTCCGCCAGAACATCTACGGATACTCCCAGGGACCAGAGGGCTTTCATCCAGAACAACCCCATTGTCAAGAAACAACGTCTCCTCGTTCGGCTTATAACGCGTATCAGCAGATGCGACCACCCGAACCCAGGAGACTCGATGTCGAGTCTCAGGAAGAGCAGTCCGCATGGGGGAACCAGTCGCGAATACATACGATATTATCTCCTAAGTATACCTCCCGGCCACCCGACAGAACGCCTCCTAGGTATTGCGATCAAGTGTACTCGTCGACCCAATCACTGTCATGCACGTCGTCGGGTATTCCGCAATTTGCGGCTTGCTCGGACACAAGCGCGAGCCTGTGCTCTCCTGTGACTCCCTACGGTACCTCGCCTGATGACATCTATCATCATCGCGACTCGTCGCAAGCACCATCGCACCGTCCATCGCGGCGGTCCGAAGATTGGAGATCATCCGACGGTCGACCGCTGTCCGGCTCGTTGCCGATCCCGCCTCCCGCGCTTTCTTCCGACGGCTTCGCGATCTCGTCCCAGCGACATGTTGCAGATTCATCACCCGCCGCGTATTTTAACGACGGCGACGGAGGGCCTCTCGCGCTTTCGTTCGATGGCTTTTCCCAGCGGCGTCTTGCGGATTCATCACCCGCCGCGACGTATTATACCGACGGCGTGGGAGGGCCTCGCACGCGTTCTGACGCATTCGGCGACGGAGGGTCTGGAAGAGATTCTCGAGACGGCTTCGCGATCTCCTCACAGCGGCGTCTTGCCGAAACATCACCCTCGCCTCAGCATTCACCCGCGCCGTATTCCACGGAGCGTTACGGAGGACCCAGAGCAGGTTCTGCAGCGTCCGGCAACGAGGGAGGGCCTCGGAAGGTTCCTTCCGGCGGCCTCGGGATTGCCTCCCATCAGCAACTTGCCGATTCATCATCGGACGGCGCAGCGTGGTCCTTCCGTCCGGTGGGATTTCGTCCCACCGACATCTATCCGCCGACAATGGTGCTCGAGAGGACTCTGACCGAGCCGCTGCTGTGCTCCTCAAATTGGCGCGAAACCGGCGCGCGGGATGGTGATTATATCGGAGGAAGCACTGGCGGACCGCACGGCGTGCGACCACATTGTGACAATAACGAAGGACGAGCTGGTGTAAGCCGCGGCGCCGGAGGTGGTGCTATGGTGGCGTCGTTAACTCGCAGCGCTAGTAGCTGTAGGACAGCGGACTACTCAGTTCACTGGACCGGCAATGAAGGAGACGGCGGCTTTGGCGGCGGTAGTGGCGGAGATGGTGGTATGGTGGCGCCGTTAACTCGCAGCGCTAGTAGCTGTGGGATGGCGGACTATTCAATTCACTGGGTCGGCAGTGGAGGCGGCGGCGGCGGCGCCGGCTTTCACGGCGGTTTTAACGGCGGCTCTGGCGGCGCCTTTGCCGCAGGATATGGCGGCGTTAGTGGCGGCGTCGATGGTGGCGGCAGCATAGCCAGCGGTGTGTGCCGCGTCAACAGCTGCGGTGGTGATGGTTACGGCCGCGCGTTTGGCGGCGGGAGCGGCGGGGGTGTTCCTTGGAGCCGCAGCGAGTCATATCATCCGCCGGCCTGTGTCGATCCGAGTATAGGTTATGCATCTCCGGGGCGCACAGCAGGCTCACGCACTGGGGTTGCGACGGCTGCTGCAGATCCGAGTGCGGGATATGGAGATCGCGCAGCAGGCTCACACATGGGGGTTGCGGTGGCTGCTTCAGATTCTGCTGCGACTAGTCGCCTGGAGAGCCAGTCACCAGCTAGAATGAACAGCCTGCCTCGAGCAGAGTCGCAATTGCTAGCGGTAACCACGGCTGCTGCAGATTCTGCTGCGACTAGTCGCCTGGAGAAACAGCCGCAGCGGATGAACAGCTTGCCTCGAGCACGCGGGGTGCGTTTGCCCCGTGACGAGACGGGCCGTGCTGCTTATAACGAGTCGGCTTGTAACGGGCCGCCTCTGGTTGGGGTGACCTTCGCGAAGAGCTGCGAGGAATGGGGAGGGGTCGAGCATGGAAGGGAATACGCGTTAAGCGAATGTGCGTTGGACTCCGGAGCATCAGAAGGGAGGGATGCGATGAACAGGGAGGTGAATGTGAGGGAGGAATGGGGATCAATGGGACGGAGGGATGAGGAAGGGAGGGGGGTGAATAGTTTGCCGCCGGAGTGGGGGACAATGGAACAGCGGTGGGATGCGGTGGGAGGGGTGGCAGGGGTGCCGACGCGAGTCGCTCGCAGCCGGACGGAAGAGGGGAGAGGGGTCGTCATGTTACCGGCGGAATGCGGAGCAATGGAGCAGCGGTGGGATGCGGTGGAAAGGTTGGGAGGTGTTCCAGCGCGAGTCACTCGCAGCCGGACGGAGGGCGGGGGTGGTGGTGTTTGTGAGAGGAGCTGCTGTGAAAATAGCCTTGGGATTGGCAGTGGCAGCCCAAGGGTTATCACGCGCAGTTGGACAGAAGGGGGGGAAGGTGGTCACCCATCAACACCCCCACCCTCCCCCGCGGCGTTGCCCCTTCCGCCCTTCCCCGTGCTTCCCCCTGTGCACTTCCCCGGACGTCCCCTACTTCCCCCAAACGCCCTTCCCTCTCCCCCGAGCCTCCCTCCCTGGACCTCCCCTGCTCGCGCTCCCCCCGAGCCTCCAGTGCGACCAAGCCTCGGACGTCCCCCCTGGTTCGGTCGCTAGGCTCGGGAACTTTTGCCAATGGGTACTCGTTTAGTTTGTGGCAGGATGGGCAGGAGGCGAAGGAGGAGGAGGAGGAGGAGGAGGAGGAGGAGGAGGAGGAGGAGGAGGAGGAGGAGGAGGAGGAGGAGGAGGAGGAGGAGGGAGGAGGAGGAGGAGGAGGAGGAGGAGGAGGAGAGGAGGAGGAGGAGGAGGAGGAGGAGGAAGCGGAATGAGGAGGGGAGTTTCAGAAGCCCCCAAGGTCCGGATGCTTCTGGGAATGGCTACTCGTTCAGTCTGTGGCAGGAAGGACAGAGGAAAACGGGGTGGAAAAAGGAGCGAGAGCACGAGGAGAAGGAAGGGGAGGGGCAGGAGGAGAAGCTGGGGGAAGGGGAAAGTGAAGGTAGCGTGATACGTGAGGAAGAAGAGGGCCAGCAGCGGCGGCGGCGGCAGCAGCAGCAGCAGCAGCAGCAGCAGCAGCAGCAGCAGCAGCATCAGCAGCAGCAGCACCAGTTAGAGAGTTCGCAAACCTGTCCGCCCATCCGTTCCTCTCCCAGGGTCCGACCCTTGGAGCTCCCTTCCTCCTTTCCACAAGGCCCCCACGCTCAGAACAACCCTCTGCTGCGTTCCCCAGGGTCAGCACCTCGTGTGACCCTTGACCTTGACGTCAGCCAAAGCTCACCTGCTCCCCTGCTTCGCTCTCCGGGTTCAATGCCCCGCTTGACCCTTGACCTCAGCCAAGGGTCGCCTCCCCTTCCTCCTCCACTGCAGCCCGTCCTCCTGAATTTGCTAGGATTGGAATCCGTGAAGAGTTTCACTGCGAGCGAGCCTTCTCCTGTGCGGTCTGATGGGGTGGGGAGCGGCGGCGTGCCTTTTGTTCTGGGCGCTGCTGAGCAGAGTTCTGCGGGCTGTTCAACAGGAAGAAGGGGGTTGCATGGGAGGGAAGGGGAGGCGCAGAAGGGGGAGGGGGGTGAACAGTTCGCGCCAATGGGATTCTCAGACCACTTTAAGCAACTTAGGAAGAAGGGTCTTGCTCAGAAGCAGCAGCTGCGCGAGCAAACCTGGCTCGCAGGCTTGGGAACCAACCTAAACGGCTGCGCGGAAACAGGAGGGAACTCTTGCCCGGGTTCAGGTTCGGTAATCAGCTCGGAAACAAGGGACGGAGAAAGGATGGGGGGAAAGGCGGGGCAGGAGGGGCAGGGGGGGCAGGGGGGGCAGGAAGCAGAGGGAGAGTTGGGTGCAGAGCGGCAGGACTTGGCTGCAGTTGAAAAGCAGAGCCAGGGTGCGCGGAACACACAACCAGGAGCAGCACTGCGGTTGGCGCTGGGGATGGTGTTAGGGCGGGCGGCGCAAGAGGGGAAGGCGGGGCAGGAGGGGCAGGGAGCAGAGGCAAGAGCAGAAGGACAGGAGGAGTTGATTTCCAGAGCTCACTAGACGATGGTTGTTACAGTGCCACGTTTAGTGGGGTTAGCAGCAGCAGCGGCAGCAGCAGGAGCAGCAACAGCAGCAGCAGCAGCAGTAGCAGCAGCAGCAGCCTAGCAGCAGCAGCAGCCACAGCAACAGCAGCAGCAGCAGTCAAACTACCCCTGCAGTTACACCTTCCCCGGATGTTCCTCCCTCTGGAGCAGTAGGAATAGGGCGTATCCCCAGAGCGGCTGCCTACTTATCAGGTAAAGTCTTACAGGCAGGTAACACCTCCCCCAGATGCAGCCCAGCAGGTAATGCTTCCCCCAGGCGCAGCCCAGCAGGTAACGCCTCCCCCAGGCGCAGCCCAGCAGGTAACGCCTCCTCCAGGCGCAGCCCAGCAGCACCTGGCGTGGCTTCCTGGGATTGTAAGGGCTTTAATAGTAATGACAGTGTTGCTGGTGCTGGTGGCTCTGGTGATGGTGCTGATGATTGTGATGATGCGGCAACCAGCACTGAACACGCCCTGCAAGTGAATGAGATTTCTCTTTGCTTGGGGATTGCCTCCAAAGCAGCAAAGGAGGAAAGGTTGAAAGATAAGGTCAGGTGTTCTCCCAGGTATACGCCCACTTGTTCCCCCAGGGCTTCGCCAAAGGGCAGTAGCATGTCATTTAACCTGTGGACACCTGAGAAAACCCCTGAGACGGGGGGTCAGAATAGCCGGATTGATAACCTGCAGAAGCACCTGATGGGGCTCCAGGCGCAAGGGCTTGTCACTGCTGCTGCTGTTGCTGCTGCTGCTCCTTCTACTGTTGCTCCTGCTGCTGTTGCTGCTGCTGCTGCTGGTGCTGCTGCTGATGGTGGTGCTGCTGCTCCTCCTGCAGAAGCAGCAGCGACAAGACCGGCTACAGCAGGCGCAGCAGCAGCAGCAGCAGCAGCAGCAGCAGCAGCAGCAGTGCACTTACCATTATTGCGGGCCACATCAGGGAGAGACATTGATGCCAAGCTGAGAGATCTGGCTAGAGTGGCGTCAGCTGCAGCACCAGCAGCAGCTGCACAGCCACTGCTAGTGCGTGCCACATCAGGGCAAGACCTTGGGGCAAAACTGAGGGATCTGGCTAGAGTGGCGTCAGCTGCAGCACCAGCAGTACCGACAGCAGCAGCACCAGCAGTCCCAGCAGTACTGGCAGCGGAAGCACAACCACCATTATTGCGCACCACATCAGGGCGGGACGTTGATGCTAAACTGAGGGATTTAGCGAGAGTCGCATCAGCTGCAGCATCCGCAGCACCAATAGCAGCAGCAGCTTCTGCCTCTGTTGCCACAGTGGTAGCAGGAACAGCAGGGGCCGGCAGGAGCAGCATCAGAAGTAGCAGGAGAGGCACAGCCACCGCTATTGCAGACCACATCAGGCGAGACGTTGATGCCAAGCTGAGGGATCTGGCTAGACTGGCGTCAGCGGCAGCAACAGCACCTGCACTACCACCAGCAGCACCAGCTGTTGCTTCTGCAGCTGTTGCAGCAGTTGTAGCAGGAACAGCAGATATGATGCAAGTTGCAACAGCAGAAGCGGGAGCAGCACAGTTGCCACTTATGCGGGCCACATCAGGGCGAGACGTTGATGCTAAGCTGAGGGATCTGGCCAGAGTGGCGACAGCTGCAGCAACAGCAGCTGGATCAGCCGTAGCACAAGCAGGACCGTCAGCAGCAACGGTTGCAAGAACAACAGTAACAGCACAAGCAATAGCAGTAGCAGCAGCGACAGCAGCGACATCAGCACAAGCAGCGACAGCAGCACAAGCAGCAACGGCACGTGAACCGTTAGCAAGGGCATCGATGGGAAGGGATATGGATTCTAGGCTGCAGGATCTTGCCCGGGCAGCAACGGCTGCAGCAATAGCCAGTGGAGCAAGGCCCATGGCACTGGCTCGCGCACAGACTGCAACTGCAGCCTCTGTTGCTTCCGCATCAGCATCACCATCATCAGCAGCGGCAGCATCGGCTGCAGCAGCTGCAGCGACAGCAGAAGACAACCAAGGGAGCAGCAGTTGGATCAACAGCATGACCGCTGCAAGGGCCAGGGGGAGCCAGGAGAGTGTGGAGGTCATTCGGACGTGCTCTGAACCAGCAGCGCCTGGGGGTGTTGATCGTGTGCTGTCTGTTGATGCATCAAGCTCGGATCTCTCTGCTTGCAGCTATGACAGCGCCCAGCAGCAGCAGTCCCAGCAGCAGCCGCAGCCGCAGCAGCACAAGCAACATTCCCAGCACGATGTGCACCAGGCTAACGGCCACCACCGTGAGCAGCATCAAAGGCACGCAATCATCTTTGCAGCGGCTAAGAATAGCCCAGAGTGCGATCAGAGGGACGGGTTGAAGGACCTTTCCAGGTCGTACGGAGGAGAGAGTGAGTTCTCTAAGGAGTGGGACTTGCGGAACGCGGATCATTTGAGTCACGTTCCCCATAGTCACAGCCGCCGACCAGGAAGCGGGGAAGGGGGGAAGGGGGGAAGCGGGGGAGAGGAGGAGGAGGGGAGGAGGGGGAGAGGGGGGGGGAGGAGGAAGGAGCACGTTCAAGCAGCTTCTTGGGGTCTTTAGGTTTAAGAGGGCGGAGAGTAGGAGTGTGCGACTGAGTGTGAGGGAGACCCAGTCGCATGACCCTTCCTGGAGCAGATGCAAACCCCCGTTCCCATGAGTGCTGAGCACGTTAAGGCACTTGCTTGGGGTGTTGGGGTTCAAGAGGGTGGACAGTAAGAGTACGCATGTGAGGGAGACCCAGTCGCATGACCCTTTCTGGGCCAGGCACAGGCCCCCGTTCCCCTGAGTGGGGGCTCGTTGAAGCAGCTGTTTGGGGTGTTTAGGTTCAGGAGGGCGGAGAGTAGGAGTGAGAGCGTGTTCCTACACCTGGTATCAGCTTCGCGTGGTGAAATACATTTCAGTGTGATCGACTGCGGTTGGATGCGTTTTAGTGCGGTTCGACGCGAATCCGATACGAGGTTGCCTGATATGTGGCCGTAGGAACACGCTCTGAGTGCGAGGGAGACCCAGTCGCATGATGCATCCTGGACCAGACGCAAACTCGCATTCCCTTGGAGTGCTTTTGAGTTGAGACGTAGGGAAGGTGCTGTAGGGGGAGTGAGTGTGTAACTGGGTGTGAGGGATGCCTGCTGCTGAGACATGATAAATAAAACATGGGTATCGTATTGTGTTGCAAGGTGTACTTCATAGTATTTCTGTTGCCTATCAGACAAGCTGTTTCCAGCAGTGTTTATACATTAATGTAAAACCTGGGGGTGTTTTGGGAAGCAATACTTAAGCACACCCACTGCAACAATGGATTATGGTTGTGCAAATGCAGGACTTAACATGAAATTGTTTGATTGACCCATCAACTTTTGGTAGTAACGCAAGTACACAGACACATGAATTGTAGAAGGAACCAATCAGTACAGCCTAATATGGAGTAGAGAACCGCGTCTGATTTCGAGAGAGTACCGTTACTACTGTATCAATAGGCATGGAATGTAATGTAATATACGGTACTGCTGGATTGATTAATCCCAGCACTTGCATTGTCTCTTCTCCAGTGCAGTTCCTGAAACCAGACACAATATGGGACGATGGGTGATATGCAAGCATTAGCCATGTGAGTGAACGGGATGTGCCAGCCAGCTCCACACCAGACTCACCAACACCCTTCCAACCAGTGACCATATTTATCCAGCATGATCTGACCATATGCATGGACTTGCACCTGATATGAGGTTCTCTTGATACGAGGATAGGAATACGCCCCTTAGAGACACCCCGAGGTGTCGTTTCATGTATGATGTGTCGCTTCAAGTATGGGAGTCAGTTTCATGTCACACCTCAGACGTCATTCCATCCATGAATGTCACGCCCCGCAGTCCCCTTCTGCCCCCTTATGTCTCGCCCTTATCACTATCCCATATATTACTTTCATGGCTCTCCCACTTGCACAGCCACATTACACACGCTCCGCACTCTCTACCCTTCCTCTTGTCCTTGCCTTGTTTCTCCTTCCCTTCCTCCCCCCCCCCCTGCACTCATCTCCTATCTCTCTACTCTTAACTCGACCTAGAAGTTTCCAGCTAGGCCCCTCGTTCCCCCATTGCCCCACACCCATTCACATCCCCACTCCCAACTCCCTACCACCTCCTCCTCGATCTCCCTGTTCCTCTCTCCCGCTCCCCTCCTCTCTCATTACGGCGTCTCTAGTAGGCTCTTAAGTTTCTACGATTCCCATCCGTGCCTGACCCATTGCTCACCGTATCGCAACATGGCCTCGTTAAAAGGTCGTCCCCTTACAAGATCAGCTCTGCTCCGCGGTTTCGCTGTAGAGCCGGTGAATCCGCGTGTCTTTACCCCCCACCCGACGTTCTTAATCGAAGACAGGTATTTCTGCACCAGCTCGCTGCAGTTCTTAATATGATTCACCCCCTCCGTGCGGTAACACTGCTTCAACTGTTCGCGTAGCAACTTAGCACGCTCGATCGCGACCATCTTTTCGCGAACCAGCCATTCGCGATGCTCGAGCATCGCCACCGGGTCCGCGTACGGGTTCTTCGGGTCGAAATCGTCCGGCGGTGTTACAATCGAACGAAGGCTTCCCCTTAAACACCATCTTTGCGGAAATCCGGCGCGGCACGCGAAAACGGCGAGAACAGCAGCAGCGGCAGCGGCAGCGGCGGGATGCGTGGCGGAGTGAGCGCGGGGCGGAAGGAATGGAAATGGCGGAAGCGACTGAAGTGTGTGCGCGTCCTAGAAAAACTCGAGAAGAGAAAAACCAGTTCTAAATTACACAACTGGAGACCTAATTCGAAATGTATCTTGTCTCAACGTACGATTTCATATTTCGGGTTTTTGGGTGTACAAATGAGGAATTCATTTTGCTGTAACGATCCAGATGCTGTGCAGTGCTTTGGAAAAATAGCTCCTGAATTTGTGTTCGAACTAGTAACGCGACGTGCTGATATCGAGAACAATTCACAGTTGTGGAAGCTGCCTCTCCCCTCTGACATTTGTTGATCAGAGAAGGTTTTAGTGAAATACGGTAGTTGGCGCTTCGTTAAATTTCTCCTAGCGCCAGACTCGCGCCTCCGTGCCGGCCCAATGGCAGCGCCTGCGGCGGTAACGCCGGCGCAGCAGGCGGCCGACGTGGATTACCTCATAACGAACGTGCTTATGCCGGTGGACGCGGACGAAGACGGGAATGCCATGAACGGGTAGGCTCGGCATTAGTCGCGTGAGTGGTCCGTTAAGCAGCTACTTCCCACGCCGTCTCCTCGTCCCCTTGCTTGCTTGCTTCCGTGCTTTATCCTCGTGCTCCTTCCCCTTTCCCCTCTCCCCTCCCCTCCCCCATCCCCTTCCCCCCAGGTACGCGCGTTTTAGTGTGCGCATGTCCCGCGGAGTGATCGAGTCAGTGGTCCGCACGTCCCCCATCACACCCCACGCTGTCACTCACGCTGCTGATGCTGATGTTGATGGCTATGCTGGTGCTGATGGTATTGCCTGCCATGCTGCTGCCACTGATGGTGCTGAGGCGTTGCTGATGACGCGACAGCGGCACGTGGCAGGGCTGTACACGTTATAGACGGAACCAATAAGATGGTACGTCCATCCGTACCATACTACTTCTCTCCCTGCTACAATATTTCCCGTGCTACAGTGTCAATAGACCCTCCCTCTGTAAAACCTCTTTTTACAAACTCCTGGGTACTTCTGGGTAGCAGAAGTTCCCTGCTACTTCTGGGTCTCCCTCCCCCTCCCCCTCCTCCCTCCTCCCTCCTCCCTCCTCCCTCCTCCCTCCTCCCTCCTCCCTCCTCCCTCCTCCCTCCTCCCTCCTCCCTCCTCCCTCCTCCCTCCTCCCTCCTCCCTCCTCCCTCCTCCCTCCTCCCTCCTCCCTCCTCCCTCCTCCCTCCTCCCTCCTCCCTCCTCCCTCCTCCCTCCTCCCTCCTCCCTCCTCCCTCCTCCCTCCTCCCTCCTCCCTCCTCCCTCCTCCCTCCTCCCTCCTCCCTCCTCCCTCCTCCCTCCTCCCTCCTCCCTCCTCCCTCCTCCCTCCTCCCTCCTCCCTCCTCCCTCCTCCCTCCTCCCTCCTCCCTCCTCCCTCCTCCCTCCTCCCTCCTCCCTCCTCCCTCCTCCCTCCTCCCTCCTCCCTCCTCCCTCCTCCCTCCTCCCTCCTCCCTCCTCCCTCCTCCCTCCTCCCTCCTCCCTCCTCCCTCCTCCCTCCTCCCTCCTCCCTCCTCCCCTTCCCCTGCTACCCTCCCCCGCCTTTCTCCATGAGCCAGCTGCTGCCAGGGATGGTCACCGCACACATGCACAGCATACAGGCACCGCTCGTGCCTGTTCTTATACATTTCGCTAGGTGAATTTTCAGTCCACTCAAAAGTCACGGCCCAGTGTCTGTTCTTACTTATACGCCTCACTCTCTCTTCCCGTTCCTCCTTCCCCTCTTCCTCCCACCCCCACTCCTTCCCCCTCGCTCTCGCGAGTCAGCTGCTGCCGGGGATGGTCAACGCACACACGCACAGCATAGAGGCGTGGGGCCGAGGAGGGATCGTGCCTCTGGTGAGATGAAACGCCTACTGGTGAGATGAAGCGGCTGCTGGTGAGATGAAACGCCTGAGATAAATCAGCGTTTGTTTATTTGTTTTTTTCTTTCTTTCTTTTCTAAGAGTTTTTTGAAACGCTTGTTTTTTATTCTTCTTACTAAAAACAATCCACTTCCGTTGCAGTTCATTCATACTGCCCCTTCATCCTCTTCTTTTTAATCCCCCTTCTAACGTATCTTCCCTTCCTCTTTTCTCTCTCTCCCCCATCACGCGCTCACTCCCTCTCTTCCAGCCCCTGGAGCTGTGGGTGAATTCCCTTTTTACCCACATGGACCCACGAGGTCCCAACCCCTCGGTTTCCCCGGATGTGGTAAGAGCAGAGGGGGGAGGGGAGGGGAAGGGTTGATATCGGGTTCGAGGGGAGAGGGCGGTGTGGTGTGGTGTGATGTGGTGTAGTGTGGTGTGATACAGCAGATTGGTCTACATATAATATTTTCTCCACTGTACACACCACCACATCCCACCATCCTACACCGCACACCACCAGGTGTATTGGGCAGCCCTGCACATGGCAGTAGATCGAGGCCATCATGACTGGAGGTTTACTCACCTCACCGCACTGTAAACTCACCCTTTCCTCCACTGTACACTCAACCACACCCCACCGCACCATGCCTCACCGCACTCACCACACCGCACCGTACTTCACCACACCAGGTGTATTGGGCAGCCCTGCACACGGCAGTAGAGACCATCATGACTGGTGGCACAGCTGTTATGGATCACCTGTGAGGATACTTCCTCACCCTTCTCCGCCCATCTCTGCCACTCACCATGCCTTCCCACTCCTCTGCACCGCATTACAAACCTCAAATGCATTCACCACTCCTCATTCTCTATGTTCTCCCTTGATCCTCCGTTCCTCAACCAATTCACCCCCCCCCAATTTCCTTCCACACCCATTTTCCCTCCGTTTCGCAGCCCATTTTTCTTCATCTCTCCTCTGTATCCCTCTGTATCCCTCTGTGTCCCCCTTATTTCCCTCCAACTCACCCCCAATCCCCATCCCCCATCCCCCATCCCCCCAGGTACATTCGAGACCTATCAGACCTGGAGGCGGCAGTGAGGGCATACAAGGACGTGGGCATTCGAGCCTTCATTGCCCCGTGCGTATCTTCTGCGTTCCACACCTCTTCACGCGCCTCCACACCATTCCCCATACATCCTTCCGCTCTCCCCGTCACCCCTTCACTCTGCATACGAGCACGTGGGCATACGAGCCTTCACTGCCCCGTGCGTGCCTCTCCACTCCTCTCCTTTCCACACCCCCCTATCCCTTTTTATACTACTTGTCTCACGCGCCACGCCGCGCTCCGTCCGTGTTGTGTTTCCCCCGCGCCAACCCAAAGCACCGAGTGCCGCATTACAAAGCATAAGGGCACATGTGTAATTTCAAGGCATATTACTGTGAGAAGTCCTATGAATGAAAGCCCACCTTTGTCTGTTTCTCCGAAGTCTCTCTGTTGATCCATCGGCATAACCATGCCCGTCCCACTGTTCCCTACATTGCCCCATGCACAACCTGCATCTCCCTCCTCTGTTGTCCTCTTTCTGCAATGTTTTTCCCCCTCATTCCCCTCTCCTTGTCCTTCCCCCTTTTTGTCTTCCCTTTTTGTCTTCCCCCCTCATCCTCCTTCTTTTCCCTCCCCCCTTTTCCCATGTGTGCAGTACGCTAGGAGACGTGTAAAAAGTGAAGTTTTGAGACGTCTCAAAACACATGTACAGGCAGGAGTGCATGTTGAGTCTGTTTTGAGACGTCTCAAAACTTCACTTTTTTCACGTGGCTTCTCCCCCCTTTTCCCATGTGTGCAGTATGCTAGGAGACGTCTCAAAACTTCACTTTTTACACGCGGCTTCTCCCCCCTTTTCCCATGTGTGCAGTACGCTAGGAGACGTCTCAAAACTTCACTTTTTACACGTGGCTTCTCCCCCTTTTCCCATGTGTGCAGTACGCTAGGAGACGTCTCAAAACTTCACTTTTTACACGTGGCTTCTCCCCCCTTTTCCCATGTGTGCAGTATGCTAGGAGACGTCTCAAAACTTCACTTTTTACACGTGGCTTCTCCCCCCTTTTCCCATGTGTGCAGTATGCTAGGAGACGTCTCAAAACTTCACTTTTTACACGTGGCTTCTCCCCCCTTTTCCCATGTGTGCAGTACGCTAGGAGACGTCTCAAAACTTCACTTTTTACACGTGGCTTCTCCCCCCTTTTCCCATGTGTGCAGTATGCTAGGAGACGTCTCAAAACTTCACTTTTTACACGTGGCTTCTCCCCCCTTTTCCCATGTGTGCAGTACGCTAGGAGACGTCTCAAAACTTCACTTTTTACACGTGGCTTCTCCCCCCTTTTCCCATGTGTGCAGTATGCTAGGAGACGTCTCAAAACTTCACTTTTTACACGTGGCTTCTCCCCCCTTTTCCCATGTGTGCAGTACGCTAGGAGACGTCTCAAAACTTCACTTTTTACACGTGGCTTCTCCCCCTTTTCCCATGTGTGCAGTACGCTAGGAGACGTCTCAAAACTTCACTTTTTACACATGGCTTCTCCCCCCTTTTCCCATGTGTGCAGTATGCTAGGAGACGTCTCAAAACTTCACTTTTTACACGTGGCTTCTCCCCCCTTTTCCCATGTGTGCAGTACGCTAGGAGACGTCTCAAAACTTCACTTTTTACACGTGGCTTCTCCCCCCTTTTCCCATGTGTGCAGTATGCTAGGAGACGTCTCAAAACTTCACTTTTTACACGTGGCTTCTCCCCCCTTTTCCCATGTGTGCAGTACGCTAGGAGACGTCTCAAAACTTCACTTTTTACACGTGGCTTCTCCCCCCTTTTCCCATGTGTGCAGTATGCTAGGAGACGTCTCAAAACTTCACTTTATACACGTGGCTTCTCCCCCCTTTTCCCATGTGTGCAGTACGCTAGGAGACGTCTCAAAACTTCACTTTTTACACGTGGCTTCTCCCCCTTTTCCCATGTGTGCAGTATGCTAGGAGACGTCTCAAAACTTCACTTTTTACACGTGGCTTCTCCCCCCTTTTCCCATGTGTGCAGTATGCTAGGAGACGTCTCAAAACTTCACTTTTTACACGTGGCTTCTCCCCCCTTTTCCCATGTGTGCAGTATGCTAGGAGACGTCTCAAAACTTCACTTTTTACACGTGGCTTCTCCCCCCTTTTCCCATGTGTGCAGTACGCTAGGAGACGTCTCAAAACTTCACTTTTTACACGTGGCTTCTCCCCCCTTTTCCCATGTGTGCAGTATGCTAGGAGACGTCTCAAAACTTCACTTTTTACACGTGGCTTCTCCCCCCTTTTCCCATGTGTGCAGTACGCTAGGAGACGTCTCAAAACTTCACTTTTTACACGTGGCTTCTCCCCCCTTTTCCCATGTGTGCAGTATGCTAGGAGACGTCTCAAAACTTCACTTTTTACACGTGGCTTCTCCCCCCTTTTCCCATGTGTGCAGTACGCTAGGAGACGTCTCAAAACTTCACTTTTTACACGTGGCTTCTCCCCCTTTTCCCATGTGTGCAGTACGCTAGGAGACGTCTCAAAACTTCACTTTTTACACGTGGCTTCTCCCCCCTTTTCCCATGTGTGCAGTATGCTAGGAGACGTCTCAAAACTTCACTTTTTACACGTGGCTTCTCCCCCCTTTTCCCATGTGTGCAGTATGCTAGGAGACGTCTCAAAACTTCACTTTTTACACGTGGCTTCTCCCCCCTTTTCCCATGTGTGCAGTACGCTAGGAGACGTCTCAAAACTTCACTTTTTACACGTGGCTTCTCCCCCCTTTTCCCATGTGTGCAGTATGCTAGGAGACGTCTCAAAACTTCACTTTTTACACGTGGCTTCTCCCCCCTTTTCCCATGTGTGCAGTACGCTAGGAGACGTCTCAAAACTTCACTTTTTACACGTGGCTTCTCCCCCCTTTTCCCATGTGTGCAGTATGCTAGGAGACGTCTCAAAACTTCACTTTTTACACGTGGCTTCTCCCCCCTTTTCCCATGTGTGCAGTACGCTAGGAGACGTCTCAAAACTTCACTTTTTACACGTGGCTTCTCCCCCTTTTCCCATGTGTGCAGTACGCTAGGAGACGTCTCAAAACTTCACTTTTTACACGTGGCTTCTCCCCCCTTTTCCCATGTGTGCAGTATGCTAGGAGACGTCTCAAAACTTCACTTTTTACACGTGGCTTCTCCCCCCTTTTCCCATGTGTGCAGTATGCTAGGAGACGTCTCAAAACTTCACTTTTTACACGTGGCTTCTCCCCCCTTTTCCCATGTGTGCAGTATGCTAGGAGACGTCTCAAAACTTCACTTTTTACACGTGGCTTCTCCCCCCTTTTCCCATGTGTGCAGTACGCTAGGAGACGTCTCAAAACTTCACTTTTTACACGTGGCTTCTCCCCCCTTTTCCCATGTGTGCAGTACGCTAGGAGACGTCTCAAAACTTCACTTTTTACACGTGGCTTCTCCCCCCTTTTCCCATGTGTGCAGTATGCTAGGAGACGTCTCAAAACTTCACTTTTTACACGTGGCTTCTCCCCCCTTTTCCCATGTGTGCAGTACGCTAGGAGACGTCTCAAAACTTCACTTTTTACACGTGGCTTCTCCCCCCTTTTCCCATGTGTGCAGTACGCTAGGCGACTTGGACGTCTCAGTGAGGATCTCTCTTCCTTCCCCTCCTATTTTTTTGCCGACTTAAAAAATAGACTCCCCATTGCCCTCCCCACTTGTCCACTGTGCACTGTGCTAGGCGATTTGGACGTCTCAGTAAGTACCTCTCGTCCTTCAACCTTCCTGCCCTCCTCTCAACCCCCTGCCTTCCCGTGTGCATCCTCCTCCCCCACGTTCCCTGCCCCCTCTCCCCTTTTCCCATGTGCAGAATGCTAGGCGATTTGGACGTCTCAGTAAGTACCTCTCGCTTCCCCTCCTTCTTTTCTTCTGTTCGTCTTTTCTCGCATTTTTCCCTCCTCCCTGTCTCTCTGTTTTCCTGCCCCCCTTTCTCCCTTCCGTTCCTTCACAACCAGGTGGGTTAATTCTTGCACGAAAGACTTTCCTCCTTGACCTCCCAACTCCTCCCTCATCTGCCACCACAACCCCTCCTCTTCCCAAAACCCTCTCCCCCCCCCCACCAGAACTACTTCCCCTTGGTGCCGGACGCCTGTGCGCGCAACGAGAGGGCGACGCAGGAGACGGTTTCGCTCTGATGCCCTCCCTTGCTGAAACCCCTCCATCACACCCACCTTCCCCCACAATCCCCCCCCTCCCCCCCCCCCCCCAGAACTACTTCCCCTTGGTGCCGGACGCCTGTGAGCGCAACGAGAGGGCGAGGGAAGCAGGGACCTGCCCTGGGGCCATGGGGGGTGATGGCTTTTTCAGAGAGCAACTGGCAGAGCGACAGGTGGGTGTAACTGCGTTACAGGGGCGAGTGGGGTGCTACAGGTGGTTGTATACAGTTACACGAGGTGGTTGTTGGTGCTACAGGTGGTTGTATACAGTTACACGAGGTGGTTGTTGGTGCTACAGGTGGTTGTATACAGTTACACGAGGTGGTTGTTGGTGCTACAGGTGGTTGTATACAACCACACGAGGTGGTTGCTGGTGCTACAGGAGGTGTCTTGTGCGAACGCCTCCTTGGTATCTCTGGACCTCCTTGGTATCTCTGGATGGAGGTAATTTTGGGATGGACTTACAGGATTGAATTTAACCAGGATGGGGCGGTAGAGGGCAAGTATCATGTGAACTCTTCATGCTTTCTCTGCATCCTTCAATCCCCTCTCTCTCCTCACACCCCCTCTCCTCACACCCCCTCTTCATCGCTCCCCCCTTTCCATCGCTCCCCCCTCTTCATCGCTCCCCTCTCCTGCATTACTCTACCTGTCCCTGCCTCCTCCTCCCCTCCTCCTCCCATCCCCCCCTCCTCCTCCCATCCTCCCCTCCTCCTCCTTCCATCCCCCCCCCCCTCCTCCCATCCCCCCCTCCTCAATTCCCTCCCTTCATCCCCTCGTCTCTCCACAGGAGGCCAACACCGAGAGGGTTCTTGCCCTCTGGAGGGAAGCTGCGCAGAAGTTTCACGACCCTGAGAACGGCATCAACATTGTGATTGGTCCCGTGCAGAACTGGGGCGCATCCGTGAGTTGACTCCCGTTGACTTGCGTTGACTGAAGTAGTTCTGTGAGTGGCATTGACTGGGGGTTGACTGGCGTTGACTACTAGGGGCATCAACATTGTGATTGGTCCAGTGCAGAACTGGGGTGCATCTGTGAGTTTGACTGCCGTTAATTGTTTTTTTTATAAGGTGCTTCTGTGACTTGAATCCCGTTCTTCACTCAGCGGTTTTTTGTTCTGTGCTTCTGCGAGCTGACTGAGTGAATGGCGTTGACTTCCGTCCGTTCCTGCCGCCCACTCTTGAGTTGCCATGTATCCCATCTGTCATGAGTCGATTTTTGAGTCGACTCAAAAGTCACCTTGAGTTGCCATGTATGTATCCCATCTCCCATCACCACGTCTCCCTTCCTTCACGTGTATGAACAAGTGCTCTGAGACGTCTCAAAACACTTCTTCATACACTGCAGCCCACCCACCTGTTCTCTTTCGACAGCTCCCGCCCACCCTTGAGTTGCCATGTATCCCATCCCCCATCACCACGTCTCCCTTCCCCCTTCCTTCCTCTCCCCAGGACGAGTGGGTTCAGAGGACTGTGGAGATCAGGAAGGAGTTTGGGCTGTGCGGTCATACTCACTTGATGGCAGCCTGATTTAATCTGATCTGGTCTGATCTGATCTGATCTGATCTGAACTCCCCAACATTTCCCTGCCTGCACCACATCTCTCCTCCTCTCCTCTCCCTAGGACGAGCTGATTCGGAGAGCAGTGGAAATCAGACAGGAGTTTGGCCTGTGTGGCCATATTCACTTGCTGGAATCACGGATGCAAAAGTAAGGAGTGAGCAATGAGCAATGTAGGGGTATCTCTCATAAACACCAACCACATGTCTTCCTTCCTCCGTTTCTGGGATTTTGAGGCGCCTCAAAAGCTTATCTCCCATATACACCAACCACATGTCCTCCTTCCTCCGTTTCTTTCTTCCCTCTTCCTACCCTTCATTCACACACTTCCTCCCCCTCTCCTCCTTCCTCCCGTTTTTCTCCTTTCAAAGCCCCAAACATAGTCTTTTTCCCCTTCCCCCCCCGTCCCATGCTTTCACCATGCAGGCTGCAGAGCCGGTCGCGCTACCCGGAGGGGGGGTGTGTGAAACTACTGAAAGACATTGGGTGGCTGTCTCTCCCCGGGACCTCCTGTGCTCACTGCGTGTGGCTGGTGAGTAAGTGCGGTGCGGTGTGTGCGGCTTCAAGGATATGAGATATATGATGTTCCCGTTTGTCTAGTGAACCCTGTGTCGCGGGCATATGGGCTTCCCATTGCATCGGCTGGCTGTCTCTCCCTGGGACCTCCTGTGCTCACTGCGTGTGGCTGGTGAGCTTTTGACCTGCTCCCACCCGACCCAATTTGATTGGCCTTGTTCTGCCTTTACGCCCACGTGAGGAGAACGAGGAGCAAGCGAGCACCATCGCTCTCTCTACCATTGCTCCAACCCAGTCCAATTGCCATTCACTTGCATCCCATATCCCGTTCCATACTCAAATTTCACTTCTACAACCCGTATCCTAGGAGGAGGAGCAAGCAATCATGGCAGAATGTGGGGCCGTGGCAATTCACAACCTAGTCTCCAACCTCCCACTCTCTCTCCTCCTACCTCTGCCTTGCTCGCACCACTTCCAGGAAGACGAGGAGCAAGCGATCATGGCAGACTGTGGCGCAGTGGCAGTTCACAACCCCGTCTCCAACCTCCGGCTCGGCTCGGGTGTTGCTCCCATAAGAGCATACCTCGATAAGGGCATTACCGTGGCTATCGGGTGCGATGGGCAGTGCTCGAACGACTCTCAGGATATGCTGGAAGCCGTGAAGATGGCATGTATTGTCAACCCTGTGAGTGTACTATGTGTGGGAGTGAACTAGAGGGAATTACGTAGAGGGAGCAAAGGGAGGGGCGGCAGCAGTGCCTGAATGACTCTCAGGACATGCTAGAAGCCGTGAAGATGGTGTGCATTGTCAACCCTGTGCGTGTATGTATATATATTTATATATGAAAATACATATATACATATATACATATATATATGTATGTATATTATCCAGCCAAGAGGCTCTCGCCTTCTATCCACTGCTTTCCTCTGGTCCCCCTGCTCTCCTTCCTTCCTTACCTCCCTGGATACATCTCACCGCACGGCAGCTCACAACACCCGAGTATCGCCAGTGATTATCCCCAAGGGAGGTGCTCAGAATGGGAGCAGAGGGAGGCGCGGCAGACAGAGTTTGTCCAGCCGAGAAACTGTTGCCTCCCATCCACTGTCTTTCTCTTGCCCCCTTTGTATAACCCATCTCAATGCAGCTCACAACACCCGAGTATCGCCAGTGATTATCCCCAAGGGAGGTGCTCAGAATGGGAGCAGAGGGAGGCGCGGCAGACAGAGTTTGTCCAGCCGAGAAACTGTTGCCTCCCATCCACTGTCTTTCTCTTGCCCCCTTTCTCTCCCTTTCCCCTTAACATAACTCACTGCAGCTCACAACTCCCGAGTATCGCCACTGGTTATCCCCAAGGGAGGTCCTCAGAATGGCAGCAGAGGGAGGCGCGGCAGCAGTGGGCATGAGAGGGCGGGCAGGGGCGATCAAGCGTGGATACGTGGCGGACGCGCTGTTGGTTGATCTGACTGCTCTCTCCATGCTGCCTCGTGCCGACCCTGTGGGGCAACTCGTGCTCACCAGGCAAAGGTGCGGTGCGGTGCGGTGGTGTGGATAGCTGGGAAGGGATGGGTAGTGGGAAGGGGCGATCAAGCGTGGCTATGTGTGGCGGGTGCTGTGTTAATAGACCTTACTTCACTCTCTCTCCATGCTGCCTCGGGCCGACCCTGAGGGTCATTTGGTGCTCACCCGACAAAGGTACAGAGGGATGGGAGGGTTTGTGGATATTCTCTGTTCTGTCTTCGTCGCCTCAGTCACTCAGCGGGCATGAGAGGGCGGGCAGGGGCGATCAAGCGTGCTTATGGGGCGGATGCTGTGTTGGTCGATCTGACTGCTCTCTCCATGCTGCTTAGAGCCGACCCTGTGGGGCAACTCGTGCTCACCAGACAAATATGCCGCCTCAAAATCGGTTCTCTGAGGCACATCAAGAGTTGTGCTGGTGGGCTATTGCGCTCTCTCCTTGCTGCCTCTCGTCCCCACCCCCCCCCCCCCCCCTCTCCCCGGCCGGCTTTTTAGTGGTAACTCAAAAGCAATCCTAGCTGTGTGGTGGATGCTCTGCTGGTGGGCCTCACTGCACTCTCCATGCTGCTGCTCATTCCTTCCCCCTCCGGCCTTTTTTTTGTAGTAACTGAAAAGCAATCCTAGCTGTGTCTCGGATGCTGTGTTGGTGGGCCTCATTGCGCTCTCCATGCTGCCTCTCGTTCCCCCTTGGCCCCACCCTCCCACCCTCCCTCTCCCCCTTCCCCTCCCTCTTGCCGTTTCTGTTTCCCAGTTCTGGCATTGCAGGAAACACGGTGCATTCAGTGTGGGTCAACGGGCGGCTTTTGCTGTCAGGTGCGCTTGTTTTTGTAGCATGCATCTTGAAACGCTGTGTTTCTCTGGGATTGCAATGCAACGCCTCGTTCTCTCGCTAAGGTTCATCCCCATTATAAACATTCTCACCTGTCCAGATGGAGCCCCGACAACAGTTGATCTGACTTCGCTTCGTCAAACTCTAGTGAAGCAGCAGCCTCAATACATGGACCCAAAAATCACTGATGTGAAAGGAAAACCCATTGAGGTAATTACTGGCTTGCATGTAGTTTCTGAGCCCAACATTGCTGAATCATCCTTTATGGAGGTAAGTCGCTAAAGCATTATGGACCCTTTATATGGTGTAACATCATGAGCATGTCACATCCACAAATGCTTGCACCCTTTTTCCGTGCTTGTCATCCACATTACTGTAACTGGATCCGTGTGTTCTATATGGGTTGAGCATGTTTCGATTGCATTTGCTGTTTGCAGGTGGAGTATCGTGCAGCTATGGGTCTGGACACCCCACTTGGAAAGCACAATCAGAACCATACCTCAAATTACCCTAGTTTTAGAGTCAATTATCCTGGTGACATTTCAAAGTCCTGATTGGAGAGCACAACAGTTCATGTGATTCAGAATGATTTGCTTTGTTCTGAATTTGTTGATACGGTAGTGCTGTAGAACTCTGAGATTGTAATGTATGCGCTATAAGGCCATGCGGCCATTCTTCTCTGATGCACCTGAGGAAACTGCTGAGATATGTTTTAGCCATCCCATGAATTTAAAACCTCAAAACTAAGATGGGTTTCAAGCGTGACGCTTTTGTAAGGGGTACAGGCAAAGCATACATGGCACTCTCGAAACTGGGATACGGCAGACTCCATTGACTTACCGTGTACTGTAGGGACGTGAACGGCATTCACCGACATTCACGAACATTGGTCAGGCGAGAGTCCAACTGTACAGCGACAATCGCCTTGCGACGTGCGATCACTTTCTCTATTGCCCCCTACTGGTGGAAAGTGCTTGGTGCAATTGTGGCTTGGGGACCTGGGGTTGTTCCGTCCCTCCCGAGCCAAGTTGAATTGAACCATTCAGATCCCCCTCGGCTGTCGCGGCGACTGATTTTCCTCCTCGTAGGATTGGAGGAAGGGGACGCAAACCCGACAAGTTTCCCCTTGAGATTGACGCGCTGTCAATCCAGCCTCGCCAATTGTTGACTGGTCAGCAAAGCCACCGCGCGAGGAACATTCCCGCTGTTCCCGCGCATCACCTCACCGCACCGGGTATTTCCCCCCCCCCCACCCCCATCCCAGCTCCCCCACACTTTCCCCTTACCTCCTAGTTCCCTGCGCCATCATTCCCCCTCTTCCCGCCTCATCCAAACCTTCCTCCCCTGAAATCCCCTTCCCCGCTCGCCATTGGGATGTCTTACTGACACCTGATTCGTCTTCAAAGTGGTTTCTGGAATCAGGTGGTCCCAAGAACCATTGGAATTGTCCTGGACCGATCAGGCTCGTCTTTTCGCCTTGCTTGCACAAGCCACAGCAACAGAGCTCTCACAAGGTTATGTCACGGTCACTTCAGTCAAACGTGATGGACATTTCTATCTCTTACGTGTACGCCTAGCTTGTCTAAGTTGCGTCAGCTTCGTCGCTCGTTCGCCACGGTAGCCAGAACGCGGGCGTTCAGCACTTTCTTGTCGAGCTTTAGCATGGCATCTGTGATTGTTTCAGAGTAAACTTTTACGTAATTTATTTTTCCCGGTCATGGCAGTGAGGCCTAACTATTTTATACTCTCAAAGAGGCGGGGGAGTTAATTCTGTTTACCTAAAGGAATCGTCATTCACTGGAGCTAATCGAGCGAGTAGAACTAGGGTTTCGATATCTTCCCTCTGTGAATTCTTGAAAGTAATTCCAGCGTAGCGATTAACTAAAGGCCATGTCCTCTTCCAACCATACTCGCGAAGGCGTGGCGGCGGAATTACAAGGCCGGTACGGAAGGCCAATGGACTCGCTAGAAGACGCGTTAGCGCGTATCGCTCTGCCAGCATTTGAGAAGAAATCTCGTGCCGGCGATCCGAGCAGCAATAAACCGAGAGGCAGCAACCAAAGTACGAGCAAACCTAACAGCAGCAACTGGCGCAGCGGCAGTCCTAGCGACAACCCGTCTGGCAGCAAATCGTCTGGCACCAAGTCCTTGACCAACTCATCAGAACATCCAAACGCCTCGTCACCCATTCAAACCTCCTCCTCAACGCAACGAACCTCTTTGGGATCTCGCTTCGCCAGGCCGTTCGCGGCCATGGTTCCCGCCTTTTCCCGCGCCTCCCCGTCAACTGCCCCTCAGGTCGACCCCGACCCCGAGTTTCCCGAGGATTACCGGTACGATGGAAATTCGATAATGGATATGGAGTCGTTAAGCGGGGGTTATACCTCGGACTTGTCGCTCATGGCGACGCCGTCCATGTCTCTGGAAGACGCCCTCGCCCGAGCCACGGAGGCAGCTTCGGAGACGAGCCTCAGCTCGATGCCGGGCCAGACGGGCGGGGGCAGGAATGACGCGTTTATGGACGCTGCGATTCAGCGTATGAGAGACGAGCTCGCGTCGATGGGGAAGGCGGAAGAGAGCCTGGAAGAAGCCATTGCGCGGGCTACCAACGAGGGGTCCGCGGGTAATTCCTGCGCGCCATCCGCGGGGAACTCCCGCGCGCCTGCGAATAACGCGCACGCGACTGAAGATTCTTGTGGCGCTGGCGCGTTATCCGCTGGCAAGTCTGACGATTTCATGGATGCAGCGGTGAGAAGGATGCGCGAGGAGTTGGCGGGGATGGGGAAGGCGGATGAGAGCCTGGACGCCGCCATTGCGCGGGCTACTACTGCCGCTGGTGGTACTGTTCGCGTTGAGGGTTCACGTGGGGTTGGGGGCAGCAGGGGTGGGAGCATTGGGGGTGGGAGCATTGGGGGGGGAGCAGTGACCCGCGCATGGATGCAGCGGTGAAAAGGATGCGCGAGGAGCTGGCGGGGATGGGGAAGACGGATGAGAGCCTGGACGCCGCCATTGCGCGGGCTGCTAGTGCCGCTGGTGGTACTGTTTCGGGGGCTTGCTCTCGCGCTTCCAAGGGCAATGGGGCTGGGGGCAATGTCACTGGGGGCAGCGGGGGCAGTAGGGGTGACCCGCGCATGGAAGCAGCCGTGAGGCGGATGGCGGAGGAGCTGGCTAGCTTAGGTCAGGCGGATGAGAGCCTGGAAGACGCCATTGCCCGCGCTGCGGCTGCTGCAGGGGACAGTGGGGGTGGGGACAGTGGGGATGGGGACAGTGGGGGTGGGGGCAGTAGGGGTGACCCGCGCATGGAAGCAGCCGTGAGGCGGATGGAAGAGGAGTTGGCTGGCTTAGGCCAGGCGGATGAGAGCCTCGAAGACGCCATTCTCCGCGCTGCGGCTGCTGCTGCTGCTGCTAAAACTTCCTGTAGTAAAGATAGTGCTGGTGGTGGCGCTGCTGCCGCTCCTGCTGCTTCCGGGACTCGCCTTCACGCTTCTGGGGGTTCGCGTGGGGCCGGAGTCAGTACGGGTGGGGCCAGTGGGGGTGTTGCCAGTGGGGGTGGGAGTGACCCGCGCATGGATGCCGCAGTGAGGCGGATGAAAGAGGAGTTGGCTGGCTTAGGTCACGCGGATGAGAGCCTTGAAGACGCTATTCTCCGCGCTGCTGCTGCTGCTGCTGCTGCCGCTGGTGCTGCTAGTGGTCCTGCTAGTGCTGCTGCTAGTGCTGCTGCTAGTGCTGCTGCTAGTGCTGCTGCTAGTGCTGCTGCTGGTGCTGGTAGCGCCGCTGCCGATTCTTCTGCCGCCACGCCCTCACCCCACCAGCAACCCGCAAACCCAGAACCACTCTCAGCATACGCGCAGCTCAACCCAGCCTCAGCCAATCTTGACCCAGACGTCCAGTTTCCAGATGACTATCTCTACGATGGCAACTCGTTCATGGACTCTGGCCTTCTAAGCTTAGGAGGTACAATGAGCTCTATGGGGGCGTCTGGGGGAGGGTATGCAGGGTCGCAGGGGAGTGTGTGTACGGGCGTGACGCGCCAGTTCTCCAACCTCAGCCGCCCCACGGAGTCTCTAGATGAGGCCATTGCCCGCGCTGCTGCTGCTGCCAGTGCTGCATGTGCTGAAGGCGCCATGGGTGGTGGGAGCGGGGGGGGAAGACGCGCAGGTGGGGGTACCCGCGCGCCTGCTGCAGCTGCTTCTGCTGGTGCTGCTGGTTCCGCGGCTTCTGCTGCTTCTGCTGGTTCTGCTGGTTCCGCGGCTTCTGCTGTTTCTGCTGTTTCTGCTGGTTCCGCGGCTTCTGCTGCTTCTGCTGGTTCTGCTGGCGGCGCTGGTGGTTCTGCGGGTTGGGCTGGGAGGAGGGAGGTTTCTTTGGAGACGGCAGTGAGGGAGATGCAGGAGATGCGGGCGAACATGGGCAAGGCGGGAGAGAGCTTAGAAGACGCCATTGCTCGCGCTGCTGGCATGGCTGATGCTGCTGCTTTCGCCAGTCTCTCCCACGCACCCTCAGATCGGAGGAAAGGGGGAGAGAGCTTAGAAGACGCCATTGCCCGCGCTGCTGGCGTGGCTGATGCGGCCTCTGCCCGAGCGGGCAACCCCTATGCGTCTGGAGGTATGCCCTATGCCTCCTCTGCTCATGGTAGTTCCTTAGCGGGCATGAGGGCAGCAGTGAGGGGAGGAGATGCGGGCATTGGGGCAGCAGTGAGGGGGATGCGCGGGGAGCTTGGGGGGATGGGGAAGGCGGATGGGAGCCTGGAAGATGCCATTGCGCGGGCTTCTAATGTGGGATCCGCGGGCATGGGGGCAGCAGTGGGGGGGATGCGCGGGGAGCTGACGGGAATGGGGGCAGCAGGGGGGGGGATGTGCGACGAGCTGGGGGGGATGGGGAAGGCGGATGGGAGCCTGGAAGATGCGATTGCGCGGGCTTCTATTGTGGGATCCGCGGGCATGGGGGCAGCAGTGGAGGGGATGCGTGAGGAGCTGACGGGAATGGGGGCAGCAGGGGGGGGGATGTGCGACGAGCTGGGGGGGATGGGGGCAGCAGGGGGGGGGATGTGCGAGGAGCTGGGGGGAATGGGGGCAGCAGGGGGCGGGATGTGCGAGGAGCTGACGGGAATGGGGGCAGCAGTGAGGGGGATGTGCGGGGAGCTGGGGGGGATGGGGAAGGGGGATGAGAGCCTGGATGATGCCATTGCGCGGGCTTCTATTGTGGGATCTGCGGGCGTGGGAGCAGCAGAGGGAGGGGTTGATGCAGGCATGGGGGCAGCAGTGAGGGGGATGTGTGAGGGGCTGGGGGGGATGGGGAAGGCGGGGGAGAGCTTGGATGATGCCATTGCGCGGGCTGCTAGTGCTGCTGCGGGTGCTGGTGTTGCTGCTGGTGCTGGTGCTGGTGCTGCTGGTGCTGCTCGTGTTTCTGCTACTGCCAATCCCCATCCAGCCATTCCCCATTGTTGCATCCCTCACGCTGCTGTCCCTCACCCTGCCGTCCCTCACCCTGCCATCCCCCGCCCTCTCAACCCCCCTCCTGCTGGGACCTGGGTGCAGCACCAGATCCCCCCAGCAAGCTTCACCCCATCAAAAGGCACTTCTGAGGCGCCTCAGAAGCCGCCTGGGATCGCCCCCCCTGCTGGGACGTGGCCGCAGCACCAGATCCCGCCAGCAAGCTACACCCCGTCAAAAAACACTTCTGATGCGCCTCAGAAGCCGCCTGCACCTGGAATCATGCCTCCTGCTGGGACCTGGGCTCATCATCACATTCCCCCAGCAAGCTTCACCCCGTGTAAAGGCCCCGACCCCAAGGGAAGCAGCACAGTCATCCCTTCTTCCACTGAAAGCTGCACCACCATCCCCCCCTCCAACGCTTCCCTTGCCACCACCACCACCAACGCCTCCAGCTCGGTCATCCGCCCTTACGGCGCCTCTACGGTTTCAACCAGTACATGGAGCAGTAGCGTTGGTAACAGTAACGCGTCGAGTGTCGGGATTGGCGAGATGGGTTACGGTCTGGTTACCACGTTCGGCCTGCCGTGCGAGTCGCTGGAGGAGGCCTTGGAGCGGGCGTCTCTGACGGCTAGCTCGACTCGGTCGAGCTTCGAGGCCCCTCGAAAGGCCTCTGAGGCGCCTCAAAATCTGTCGCTGGAAGAGGCTTTGGAACGGGCGTCTCTGGCTGCTAGCTCGACACGATCGAGTATAGATGGGGACACAGGCCACAGATATGATATTGGTGCTGATGCCGATGCAGCTTCTGCTGCTGCTGCTGGTGCTGCTGCTGCTGCCGCTGCTGCTGCTGGTGCATTTGGAGCAGAGGAGGCAGGTGGAAAGAAGAGGCGGCAGGGAGTGGGAGGCATGCTGGCTCACGCATTCAAATGGGGATCCAAACATCACTCTCACAAGAACGACCCAGGTCCCCTTTCCCCTCACACTGCTCCTCCTCCCTCTGCTACCCCTGCACCTGCTGCCGCCACTGCTGCTACCACATCTCCTGCTGCAGCCGCCGCAGCTGCTGCTGTAGCAGCTGGCACCGCGTTCCACCCCCAGGTACCGCTCCTGCCATTCGAGTCAGCCCTCGCAACAGAGGAAGGCTCAGGGGCAGGAATAACCATGATATTTTCCAACCTGGTAGCTTCTAAACGAGCCGAGAGACTCCGACTTGGCAAACACCACGACGGTCTAGCAGGGTCCCAGATAGGCAGTTCTGAGGCGGGTTCACTACGGTCGGCTAAGGGGTTTGGGGTGATTGAAGAGGAGGAAGATGAGGAGGACGGGCGGGCGTCTGGATACAGCTCTTTGACACACTCTTTGGGTAATTCAGGCTCGAAAGGGTGGCATTCCCCGTCTCATTCACATGGGGGGGCGGTGGGGCGTGCGGGGGCGGTTGGAAGCCGGGATGGGAGTGAGCGGGGCGGCAGTGAGAGAGGGCATATGGGAGGTCCGGGGGCAGTGGTTCCCCCGCTGCCGTTTTCGAATGTGAGACCTGCAGCTGAAGAGGCAGCAGCAGTGGTAGCAGCACAAGCAGCGGCCACGCTTAGAAAAGGCGGAGGAGTGAAAGCAGGAGGGGGTGGGGTTGGGGTTATGCCTGGTTCGTTGGGGTATAGTGAGGAGGACGAGAGTGGGGGTGATGGTGTGGGTTACACTGCTGTGTTTTCCAACGTGGCAGCAGCAGCCTATCGCAAGCCTCGGAAATGGGCGTCTGGCGCCAGCTCAGCGACAGGATCAGTAGCAGGTGACCTGGATCGTAGCGATCTGACTCTGCCTGTCTATGGTAGTCAAAGGGGGTAAGGTATTGGGCTTAGATATATTCTCTTCAAAAGCAGGAGGCATCAGGCTGTACATGCTTTCCATGTCGTGAGCTTCCCATGCACCTCCAGGTGTAATGCCAGGGGCCTTCTCAGGCGGTTTGGCAGGAGGATGGAGGGTAGGAAAAGACTTCCTGGCCAGGGGCTAATGGGCAGGAGTCGGCTGGCAGCAGTAAGCAGAGAGTGCATGCAACTGTCGAGGCAGCACCGAGAAATGGCACATGCCTTCTTTTGTTGTCATATTTTTTTTTTGGATTGTTTCTGCAGGTCGAATGTTCATGGTCCTCCATGCAGGTTGATTTGGGGATCACTTATCTATGCTGACTGATGATGTACGGTAGCTTGACTAGTGTAAGGTCTCAGTTAGTCACTGACAACAATGATTTATGCACAATGCGATTTTAAACCTTCGAACTAATACCGGGAATGACTTGTCACTCAAATCTTGACACCTCAGTAGCGGCCATATGTATAACCACCCACCCACCCTAGTCAGCAGCAACCCTCAGGTTCCACCTCACGCCGCAGGGTCCGCCAGGTGTCCCTGGCCGACAGCGTAGCGCACCTGATGCGCGCCCGGACAGCGGACGGCTGAACCAATTCGCTTCATTTTAAACAAACACCCAAAACCCGAAATCCCTACAGTATCATGTACGTGTACAGCACCGTACTGTACTTGTGCCAGCTCCTTCTTGCGCGCGTAACAGTCCCCCCCCCCCTCCTTCACCCTTGCGGAAGCGCGAGCTGTTTGGTTGGTTGCATTGCACCCCCCTACTTGCCTCGTCACGACGTCACTGGTGGAGACTCGAGGCGCGACGGGAGCATCGAGGAGACGCAGCCTCGGGATTCGCTCCTGCATTTCACCCACCTCCCCCACAAATCTCCGCAGCTTCTTCCCCTCCGTTCCGCTCCCCGCCGCCACCAGCCTCCCCTACTTCCACCCGCACCCGAACCTGAACCAACCAGCCCATCCATCACACCTCCCCCCCCCACACTCCCTCTCTCTCATCTTCCGACCTACCAACCTGAGACGTCTTCAGTTGAATTCAATACACCATTTCATTTCGTCTTCATTTCATTCCCCTCGAACTTGCTTGATGGTTGGCATATCCAGTCCGGCCGGCAGGAACACGGTGCTCCTGCTTTTGGTACCATCTCTAGACTCCTCGCAATTTCAGCCGCTGCTGCCTTTCGGCTAGATCAACGCGTTCTCGTTGGCCAAAATGATTCTGCGGTCTGGCTCTCGGGCAGCTCAGGGAAGCTAAGGAAGGCCGGCAGACGTTGAAGAGCGGCGAGTTCTCGCAATCCGTCGATTTGTGCGAACGCGAATAACACGTGACTGATATATCCGAATCTGATTATCCGGAGACGTCTCAGGTTCGATTTCTGAGACGTCTCAGGTTCGATTTCTGAGACGTCTCAGAATCCGTGGCTGAATCATGGCGTTCTCCGCCCGTAAATCCGCCTCCGCCTTTCTCCTGCTGCTCCTCGCCTTCGCCACGTCTCAGTCTCTGATCGGCGAAGCCGCGTCGCGGGAGAGCCTCGTGCAGGCTCTGTCTTCCAGAATCCGCCAATCCCTGAAGAGAGTCACCTTTGCGGGAAGCGCTAACACCATCCCGCAGCGGCGATCGCTCAAGGCCTACACCCCTACTGCCTCGCGCCAGCTGGAGCAACCACTCCACCTTACCTCCTTAACTCGCGTCCCGCTCGACTATTTCCACGAGTTTCAAATGCCTCAACCAGAGTACGAAGGCGCTCCGCAGGCCAAGTGTCACGGTGGCCAATGCCCGGAATTTAAGGGCTGCGGAGTTAAATTCCCGACACTTAAAGCATGCTGGAACCCCCAGTACGTCGATCCGTTCCGCGGCCCGGGAACCGTCGCGGATCAGAGGCGGCAGCTGCACCTCCTGCAGAAACGCGGCAGGGGAAACCCCCTGGATTTATGCCTGGAGAACTCAGGTGAATCGCCAGGTGATCTGCTGCGGCCAGGGTGTCCCGGGCCCGAAGATCCAGTAGATACGGAGACGATGAGGGTGACTAAAGACTGGGAGAAGAAATGGGCCGGGCAGGTTTTCGTGCTGGAAAACGTTTACGTGAACTGGCGCGGGCAGGTGTTTAACGAAACGCATCTGTTCGACCCGTCGGGCTGCATCACCGAATTAAACGTAAGTTGAACCTCCTTTTAACCTAGACGTTTTGCCCCATCCTCCCCCCATCCCTCCCCCTCCCCCTACCCCGTTCCGTCTCCGCGCCCCTCGCCCAATCTCCCTGCAAATCCCCTTCCCGCTCCCCCTCCCCTCTTTCCGCCTCCTTTCCGCCTCCTTTCCGCCTCCTTTCCGCCTCCTTTCCCCATTTCTTAATTGATCCTTCGTCCTTCCTCGCGCCAATTCTCCCGCCCTCTTCCCTATCCGCCAGTTTAACTTCCAAAGCAACAAGAAAATCAGTTTAGTTTCTTTCAATTGAGCCAAAACAAAAAGAAGAATCGAACCATACTCGGCAACTCCTCAAGAAAATAAACAAAACAAAACAAAAGCAAAAAAACTTATTTACCACAAATCCTTTCCCCGCCCCCCCCCTCCCCCCCCTACTTCCACCTCTTCCACCACACCCGCCACCCCCACTCCCCCCCACCCCCACCCCTCCCCACTCACCCTGTTCCTTTTAAACGTGCAGGTATCTTACCCCGCAGGAACCCACGTCACCATGCACCGTGACGTGGTGAACCTGCTGTCTGACGTGGCGGATCCTCGTGCTGAGGTGTTTCACGAGCTGACGGATCTTCTCCCCATGATGCTGCCGCTTAAGGAGGTGCTGCCGAAGCTTAAAGACGCCATTATAGTGGCTCGGAGCAGAAAGGTAAGACTGGGGAAGGGGGGACTGCCTGTGGGGGGGTTGGCGGGGGGGGGAAAGGTGTGGGGGGAAGGTGGCGGGGGAAGGTGTGGGGTAGGAAGAAACCCGTGAGGGGAGGGGGAGGAGGGGGGAGAGAGGGGGGCAGGGTGGGGCGTGGGGACCGTGTGGGGTGGGGCGGGGCGGGAAGGAGAGGGGGAAGAGGGTGACAGGGAGGGCTGCGCTGAGGTCTTTCACGAGCTCAGGGACCGTGCATTGGAACCCAAAATGTATTTCTTAGGCGCCTCAAAAGTATACAGAAATAGACCCAGAAATTTCCTTGCCACCATCACCACCATTATCACCACTGCAATGGGACAATGAACCCCTTTTCCACACCCCTTCCTCTTTCCTGCAAGGGAGAAACGAAAATTGCACTTAACTTCAGTAGAGAACGAAAGAAACTCCTCCTTACCAACACCCAACTCTTCCTTCCTTCTCCCCCTCCCCCCGTCTAGTCAGTCGATTTTTGAGTCGGCTAAAAAATGTAGTAAGTCGATTTTTGAGTCGATTCAAAAATAGTCCTTACCGACACCCAACTCTTCCTTCCTTCTCCCTCTCCCCCCGTGCCCCCGCCCTTCTCCCCCTCCCCCCGTGCCCCCGCCCTTCTCCCCCTCCCCCCGTGCCCCCGCCCTTCTCCCCCTCCCCCCGTGCCCCCGCCCTTCTCCCCCTCCCCCCGTGCCCCCGCCCTTCTCCCCCTCCCCCCGTGCCCCGCCCTTCTCCCCATTACCTCCCTTTTTCCCCTTCCCTCCACCAGCTTCTATCAGCCGTGGCCAATAGAGTTCTCAAATTACCCGTAACAGACCACGAAGTTCAGGGGGTAAAACCCGGGGTACCCCACCTGTGGCATGTGCAAAAGCTCTACCAACCCGTCAGGCAGCAGTGCCGCCAGCCCAGCATGGCCCTCTGGACGCAATTCCGCTCCAACCACCTCCTCCCTAGAGGCTCCCCCCAAGTCTTCCGAGAAACGGGTGCTGAGTCAGCAGGTGCTGAGTCAGCGGCGGGGTTGGAGGGAGGCGTGCCGGCGGATTGGGTGGTGGTGGTGGGTGTTGACGTGGCAGGGCGGGTGGAGGAGGCAGGGGAGATCAGGGACGCGCTGCGGTTCTTTTACCCAGAGGACCGGATTGTACTCTTTAAGAACAACCTGAATGTTCTGGAAGGTAAGCATATAGTTGAGAAGCATCATAAAAACCTCAACTACCTCTCTGGAACCCACCTTCCCACATCCCACTGTCTCCTCCAGTCGACCTTTTCTTGAAACAGCCTAGTGTTTGATTAGATATGAGTGTTTAAAAGAGGTTATCAACAATTTATTAAGTAACATACTGATCAACAATATGAGCGCTTGGGGGCGAAGCCATGGCGGTTGATGACGTAAATTTGAAGGTTCAGATAACAGACAAACAGACTGTTGATTCTCCAGTCACCACAACTCTCCCCCACACCGCCGTTTCACCACTCTCCAGTCGCATTCCACCACTCTCCAGTCGCATTCCACCACTCTCCAGTCGCATTCCACCACTCTCCAGTCGCATTCCACCACTCTCCAGTCGCATTCCACCACTCTCCAGTCGCATTCCACCACTCTCCAGTCGCATTCCACCACTCTCCAGTCGCATTCCACCACTCTCACTTCTCCCCTCCGTTTTCTCTATCACCCCCCAACGCTGTACCCCTTCCCTTATCTTCCACCCTTTTTTTCCCTTCCCCTGGCCCCCATCCTCTTTCCTTTCCCATTGTCCACACACCCCTTTCTCCTCCTCTCATGTTCATGCGTCACCTTCTTTCTAGCCCACCCCTCCTTTTCTCCACCCTCTCCCCTCCCTCTCTGCTCCCCCATCCCTCCCCTCCGTTCCAGCCAAAGACCTTATTCAACAGAGCAGTTCTCTTCATATCCACTGCAACCTCCGCTCTCGCTCACGTCATGTTCATGCCACCCAATGCCACCCAATGCCACCCTCTCTAACCCCCTTCCCTTTCTCCCCTCCCTCCCCTCTCTCTCATTGTTTCCCCCATCCCTAACAGCCAAAGACCTTTTCAACCGAGCAGTTCTCTTCATATCCACGTCGACCTCCGCTCTCGCTCACGTCATGTTCATGCCACCCAACGCCACCGTACTAGAGCTTCGGGCCGTACTAGACCCCAGCAGTGCCACCCAGAAATCGGGCTCGGCAGCATCTGTAGCAGCGGATCCGGATCTGCCCACCAGGCAGCTCGCCGAGGCTTGCGGGCTTCGGCATTATCTGCTGCTCTGCGCCGCCCAGCCCGACCCCAAGCCGGCCAATGGGAATGCGCCGCTGCGCAGCCGCCTATCTTGTGACATGTGGCACGTGCGGGATGTTATCGATAGGGTATCGCACGACGTGTACACTAGTGAGGTGGCAACCAGAGATACCGTACGTGCCATAGCAGGTCCGGCGGGTGGCAGGTTCGGGCTGAAGCAGAAGCTGATCGGGACGAAGCTGAGGTCTGGCGAGGAGGTTTGGGCGTTCAACGATTGGATGGCGTGCGTTGCGAAGAAGGGTCGATGGGATTACAATGGAACTCCCCGCGTGTTACCTTGGGAATACATGGGAAACATCAACCTGTGCGACCACCGGCATTGGGACGCAACGCAAGGGCTCATGCAAAAAAAATCAGACGAATATGCTCTATCGGGAGGCAACCCTGAGGGGTGGACGGTGCGGGAGAGTCTCAAGTACGACTGGAGGGTGCACGGAAGCTGCCCTATGCCTGTTCAGGATCAGGTCTGGGTGCCGTTTCAACCGACCGATTTCTGCCGCAGGGTCGGCAAGAATCGGACGATTCTGTTCTTGGGAGATTCTCTCAACGAGCAGTTTTTTGGGATTTTTATCAACCAGATGTTGAGAGACATTCCGAAGCCGGCTGATTGGGCGGTGAAGGAGTCAAAGCCGAAATTCTGCGTTGACTGGGTCAACAACACGGAGATTCGGCACGAGTTTTGCCGGACCATTGAGTTTGCCGACCAGGTCTGCCCGGGCCTGAATATTTTATTCATCCGAAGCGATCACCTGTGGCTCGGCGCGCCGAGGCACTTCAGCGAGCTACAGTGGACGCGCATGCCGGAAGTGGCCAACTCCGACATAATTATAATCAATCGCGGAGCGCACTATACGGTGAACGAAGTGTTCGAGCCGGAGGTGCGAACAGTCATGACTTACCTCCGAAACCGATGGCCCAAGAAACTCATCATTTACCGAAACTCCCCTCCGGGTCATGCTGACTGCGAAAACGCAACTGTTCCGATTTCTAAAAGGCAGGATCCAAGTATCCTCCCTTACAACTGGGACAAGCTGAGTCAGCAGAACGAAATGGCACGTGGAATGGCGGAGGAGTTGGGGATTGTGTACATGGATGTGGATTCGATGACGGCTCTACGGCCGGATGGGCACAAGGGATGGAAGCCGTCGATCCAACGGCTGGACTGCTTGCACTACTGCACTCCCGGACCGTTGGATTCCTGGATGGACATCCTGTACAATACTCTGCTCAGGACTCTGCCCCCTCCACCATAGATAGGCATACTGGTATTATGAAGGGTCCATGTTTCTCTGTGTCAGATAATTATGGCTACCAGTATAAGGAGGTGTCTAGGTTAGTTAAAGTGGTTATTATGTGAAAAGTTGGCAGACAGGAGAGTTTGCTGTTTGTGTTATGTAAGATTCAATGGCATTTGGCCACTAATCCAGTTGTTCAATGGCATGTGTTTGCTTTCGCATGCGTGGGGTTTCAGGTGCCTAATTCTGATGAAGTCAGAATGAGCACTGGTGGTGGGTGAATCCTTCTAAGTGCTGGGCAAGATGAACAGGCTCGGATATGCAATCCACATCAAAAGCTAGGCAATAGTACAGGATGTCAGAATGTTATTATTGTCTAGCCTGTAGTGGGGTGCTCTATAGCGAGTACAACCCAGTTAGGGTTTGCTATATGTACCCCAACTGCTGCTAGTGAAACCCCTCTCCTTTCAATCATTCTTGCCTAGTTATTCTGAAATGGTATCAGAGCAGGTCGACCCCCTTGGGTCGATCCTGTGGGTGGGCCCGCCACCTAACTGCTTCCGCTGCTATTCTGCTTCTCGCACGCCTCGGGCGCGCGCCGTCTTCTTCCTGCCGTGCGCTCAGGGCGTACGGCGGTTTTCTGCCCGCCGTGCGCCCCGAGGCGCGCGGCGGTTTCCTGCCCGTCGTGGCGCCCCCGGGGACCTGCGCGCTGCCCCCCGTCGTCCTCCTCCCGTCGCCTCGTCGCGGCGCCCTGGGGGCCCGCGCGTCCCCCCCCTCCCGTCGCCTCGTCGCGGCACCTTGGGGGCCCGCGCGCCGCCCCCTCCCGTCGCCTCGTCGCGGCGCCTAGGGGGCCCGCGCGCGGCCCCTCCCGTCGCCCGTCGAGCCGCCCTCGGGGGCCCGTGCGCGGCCCCCCTCCCGTCACCCGCCGTGGCGCCCTCGGGGGGCCCGCGCCCTGCTTCTTCGTGGCGCCCAAGAGCCACCCCGCTGCCTCCCTTTCCCTCCGTGCCCCGCCCCTGCTGTTTCCCGCGCTCCTGCCTGCGTTAGGGTTTGGGGGTGGCGGGCATGGGGGTGACCGGTGTGGGTAACCTGCGGCTCCTCCTCCTCCTCCGTCTCCCACTGCTGCAGCTGCCGCTGAGGGGGGTGGGTGTGTGGGAGCCGAGGGTTTAGGGTTTAAGGGGGGTGCCGTGGAAGTGGAGCTAGGGTGTCAGCAGGGGGTGTGTGAGAGGGGCGTGGGACGGTCGGGGGAGGTTGCGTGGAGGTAGCCGTCGTGACGCCAGCAGCGCCAGTAGTCCGGATGCCCTCGCGCGTTTCGGTAGCCCAGCGAGCCTGCTTCGCCAGTCGCCTGTGGGTCCGTTGCTCCTGTGTGTGCTCGTCGTAGCCGCGGAGCCAGATACTCCCGTAGTCCGGTGCCCTCGTGCGCTCGGTAGCCACTGTGCGCGCCGCTCCTGTTGCCCGTGTGTCTGCAGCTTCAGTCGGCGCCTTTCATCTTCTCGCCCTCACAGTTTCTCCTCCTCCTCACTTGCCCTCTATGATCACCTCTAGCTTTGCTTATAATTGTGAACTATTGCTATGCCTGCTCATTGTACTGATTACACCCCACTTTGGCTATGGGGGTGTGTCAGAATGTTATTATTGTCTAGCCTGTAGTGGGGTGCTCTATAGCGAGTACAACCCAGTTAGGGTTTGCTATATGTACCCCAACTGCTGCTAGTGAAACCCCTCTCCTTTCAATCATTCTTGCCTAGTTATTCTGAAACAGGAGACGGAATATTCTCAAGTATTGACCTGCGCATCCGGGGAATCAAACCCCGGTCAGTACCGTGGGAGGGTACTATGATACCACTACACTAGATGCGCATGCCGAGAAATACATCTAATTTTCTTTATCCATTATTTTTTTAACTTCAACGTAACAGCCAGGTGGTTACTTGACGTCAACAACACACCTGAGCCACACCAAGCTTCCATGTACTGTAGAGTGCCCGTGTCTCCCCTGACTGCTTCTGTCCTTCGAGCGAGGATGTGAAGCGTTTCATTATCGCCCAAGTTCCCTACCAACCGTTCAAGGTTTATATTGAAAGCCTGTATACCGTGAAGAATCTCGCTGTAAGCCACTCTCGAACTTACTTCTCGACACGCTCCCTGACTTGTCCACCCCACCCAACACAAACAACCCAAGCTTGTCTGCTTCTACCCCACCCTTTACAGTACTGTACACATACTTACTCCCTGTTGATTGATGAATTGGTTAGGTGCGCTTCGGGAAAATGTGGTGTCGCTTGACGTTGTTGTGGAGGATCATCGCGGCTCGAGTCGCTTAAGCGCCAGTTAGAGAGCCCATTGCGGTATCACAACGAGCCCAGTCCTTGGCATGATAGGTCGGAGCCATTGGCATTGCCTCGAGAAATATGCAAAACGGTTGCGCTAGGTTGTAGAACAGTTATCCGCAATGGCGGACAAAGCTGTTGCGTCCCGCAAGTCGTAGTGGGAGGCGCCGCGTGCTGTCCCTGATCCGATCCCATTTGATTCGATCTGGCTCCATCGCGTATCCTGGATCCTGTCCCCTGCACTACCTTCGTCCGAGCCGCGCATTCCATCGCCGCTGGACGCGGGCTTGCACCCTTCTCCCACCGCTCGACATTAATACCCAGCTTCACAAACGCTGATTCCGTGGACGCAAACTTCGCCGACGCTATCGGCCGACATTAGTAGCCTCTTCCTCTTCTCATGTGCTCATGGCGCCTCGACCATTCTCGAGGCTGTCTGGCTCGGCGATCATCCTTATAACCGCATTCGTTATAGGGTCGGTCGGCGCTCACTCGCACTTCTCTCCAGCCGATTATCGTCTCGTATCCCGTTTGCTAAGGCGACTGGAAACCTCTCCTGTAACAAATCCCCTTATAAAACTACCCAGCACCCGTTATAACGCGTCTGATCGTTCGTCATTACCCAGCATCTCAGCCGTCGATCGCCTGCTGGAACCACCTCCACCGTCCGATGCCTCATCGTCACGTGATTCGCGGATTCTCTTCCAAACCTCCCGATCCGCTAGGGACATAATTAAGAGGCGACGCTTACAAGATCTCCAGCCCTCTGGCCGAAGACCGGGAAAATACTCCCTAGGGAAGCCGATTAATCTCTCTCAACTAAAGCTTGTCCGTTTCGCTCCTCTCGCCTCTCTGACCTCCTCGTCAGATGTATCTGCTCCAGCTGGATCGGTTTCTTGCAAGGGGAAACCGTGTCCGGATCTCTCCCCCTGCCCCGGGTTCGGCGGGAAGGTCGCCACGTGTTGGAATCCCGCGGATCCGGTCGATCCCGATGCTGACCTGGCAGCGTACGGCCGTACGATTCTCCTGAACCGTACGCAGGCGCGGATCCACTTCAGCACGGGAGTTAACCCGCTGGATGAGTGCCTAGAAGACGACGGGACGCAGCCAGGCCACCTATTGCGACCCGGCTGTCCTCCGGACGACGATCCGGGACCAATTACCTTGTCGCTTAGAACGGCCGAGTTACGCGCTGCGCAGGAGCAGGCGCGGCTCGAGGCGCAGGCGCGGCGGAGATTAAAGTGGGGTAAGGCGGCTAAGAAGGCTCCGGAGCCGGCGGGTGCGCTGTTTGTGCTGAACGACGTGTTTCTGGATGGCGAGGGGCGCGTGTTTAACGCGACGCACCGCTTCGACGTGTCAGGATGCGCCACGTCATCATCACAGGTGCGTGCGTGCATATCTTGTGTGCTGCCCGTGCCGTGTCACCTTTCTGGATTGTGCTTGTGACGTGTTTTTCGGAGCCTCGGGTTGCTGCTAGATCTTGCAACGTGATCCCCACTCCTTCTCGAGACGTCTCAAAACTCAATATTCTAAGACGTCTTAGATCTCCACCCCCTTTCTCCCTTTCTCCTTCCCTCCCTCCCTCCCTCCCTCCCTCCCTCCCTCCCTCCCTCCCTCCCTTCCTCCCTCCCTCTCTCCCTCCCTCCCTCCCTCCCTCCCTCCCTCCTTCCCTCTCTTCCTCCCTCCCTCCTTCCCTCCCTCTCTCCGTCCTTCCCCCTCTCCCTCCCACCCACCCTCCCTCTCTCCATCGCTTTTCTTCCCCCTATCGTTTTTTTTATTCAATATCAGACGGTGTATGGAGTGGATACACACGTGTCTCGCCAGGAGACTGTACTGAATCTTCTTTTACCGGGTCATTTCATGGAGAGGCGTCCCCTGTACGATCAGATCCTCATGGTGCTGCCGCCCCTACTGCCGCTGCAGCACGTGCTGCCGTCCCTGCGCCAAGCCAAAGTCGTCACTCACGCCAAGAAGGTATGGTGCAGTGCGGTGGAAGACGGTAGAATGCCGTAAATTGTGGTATGGAAGTGGTGTGAAGTGGTGCAGTGCGGTGGTATCAGTTATGAGGCGTCCCTTGTACGACCAGGTTCTCATGGTGCTGCCGTCCCTGCGTCGAGCCAGAGTCGTCACTCACGTCAAGAAGGTATGGTGCAGTGCGGTGGAATGCGGTACAGTGTGGTATGAAGTCTTGTTGCGTGGAATACTGCAGTGAAGATGTGTCCCTTGTACGATCAGATACTCATGGTGCTGCCGCTTCACCACGTGCTCCCGTCCCTGCGCCGAACCAAAGTCGTAACTCACGCCAAGAAGGTATGGTTCAGTGCGGTGGAATGCAGTGATGGGAGGGTCATGGAACGAAAGTCTGTAATGTAATGCAGTGTGACGCAGACTAGTAAAAGCTGTTCTGATCCGACCAGGTGGCAAAAGAAGAAAGAGAAAAGAATCACAGCCGAGCCTGTGTGCAAAACATAGGAGTTCATTTGTCCATGCGCAAACAGCAGATCATCTTTCCTCTTTCTCCCCCATAAACCCCACGCCCTGTCACAAAAACCCTAAAACATGTCCCCTTCAACCACAAAGTGCCTGTGGCACGTACAGACGGACGGCCATACTGCACTGCACCAACCTCGACCTCCCTCTCTGGACCATTAGGGTCAACCGGACACTCTCCCTCTCTTCTTCTTCTCCCGTCCTTCCCTCTGTTCCTTCCCTTCCCCCTGATCCCTCCCTTCCCCCCCCCATCCCACCCAACCACAGCTGCTCCAGCTGCTGATTTCCTTCCCCTCCGTTTCCCCCCCCCCCTTACCCTTCTGGTATCCGCCCACAGCTGCTCCAGCTGCTGATTTCCTTCCCCTCCGTTTCCCCCCCCCCCCCCCCCCCCCTTACCCTTCTGGTATCCGCCCACAGCTGCTCCAGCTGCTGATTTCCCAGCTACTGGGACTCCCTCTAGCGAAGCACTCCTTTCTTTCCACCACCGATGCCAGCACCACCACCACCAGCAAGTACCTGTGGCACGTGAAAACCCTCTACCAACCAGTCATACCGCACTGCACCAATCCCGACCTCCCGCTCTGGAAGCACTTCCGCCGGCGCTTCCTCCTCCCCACCCCTCCCCCTCCAGACCCCTCAGCCGATTCCACCACTCCCACTCCCGCCCTCTCCTCCTCCTCCTCCGCACGCTCTCTCACTGAGGAAAACCCCTCTTCTGCTCTCACTGAGGAAAACCCCTCTTCTGCTCTCAGTGACCCGGCATCTCCTTTAGAGCTGGTGCCCAAGGTGCCGCCTGGGTTCCTGGATGGGGCTCGATCTGTGTTCCCGTCGCTGCCTGCTCTGCCAGTGGAGGGATACGCGCAGGGAGGGGACCTGCACGGGTCGTGGGTGCCCATAGGCTGGCAGGTAAGAGTGTGTGCAAGCACAGTGCTTCTGCTCTCAGTGACCCGGCATCTCCTTTAGAGCTGGTGCCCAAGGTGCCGCCTGGGTTCCTGGATGGGGCTCGATCTGTGTTCCCGTCGCTGCCTGCTCTGCCAGTGGAGGGATACGCGCAGGGAGGGGACCTGCACGGGTCGTGGGTGCCCATAGGCTGGCAGGTAAGAGTGTGTGCAAGCACAGTGCTTCCGCTCTCAGTGACCCGGCATCTCCTTTAGAGCTGGTGCCCAAGGTGCCGCCTGGGTTCCTGGATGGGGCTCGATCTGTGTTCCCGTCGCTGCCTGCTCTGCCAGTGGAGGGATACGCGCAGGGAGGGGACCTGCACGGGTCGTGGGTGCCCATAGGCTGGCAGGTAAGAGTGTGTGCAAGCACAGTGCTTCTGCTCTCAGTGACCCGGCATCTCCTTTAGAGCTGGTGCCCAAGGTGCCGCCTGGGTTCCTGGATGGGGCTCGATCTGTGTTCCCGTCGCTGCCTGCTCTGCCAGTGGAGGGATACGCGCAGGGAGGGGACCTGCACGGGTCGTGGGTGCCCATAGGCTGGCTGGTAAGAGTGTGTGCAAGCACAGTGCTTCCGCTCTCAGTGACCCGGCATCTCCTTTAGAGCTGGTGCCCAAGGTGCCGCCTGGGTTCCTGGATGGGGCTCGATCTGTGTTCCCGTCGCTGCCTGCTCTGCCAGTGGAGGGATACGCGCAGGGAGGGGACCTGCACGGGTCGTGGGTGCCCATAGGCTGGCAGGTAAGAGTGTGTGCAAGCACAGTGCTTCTGCTCTCAGTGACCCGGCATCTCCTTTAGAGCTGGTGCCCAAGGTGCCGCCTGGGTTCCTGGATGGGGCTCGATCTGTGTTCCCGTCGCTGCCTGCTCTGCCAGTGGAGGGATACGCGCAGGGAGGGGACCTGCACGGGTCGTGGGTGCCCATAGGCTGGCAGGTAAGAGTGTGTGCAAGCACAGTGCTTCTGCTCTCAGTGACCCGGCATCTCCTTTAGAGCTGGTGCCCAAGGTGCCGCCTGGGTTCCTGGATGGGGCTCGATCTGTGTTCCCGTCGCTGCCTGCTCTGCCAGTGGAGGGATACGCGCAGGGAGGGGACCTGCACGGGTCGTGGGTGCCCATAGGCTGGCAGGTAAGAGTGTGTGCAAGCACAGTGCTTCTGCTCTCAGTGACCCGGCATCTCCTTTAGAGCTGGTGCCCAAGGTGCCGCCTGGGTTCCTGGATGGGGCTCGATCTGTGTTCCCGTCGCTGCCTGCTCTGCCAGTGGAGGGATACGCGCAGGGAGGGGACCTGCACGGGTCGTGGGTGCCCATAGGCTGGCAGGTAAGAGTGTGTGCAAGCACAGTGCTTCTGCTCTCAGTGACCCGGCATCTCCTTTAGAGCTGGTGCCCAAGGTGCCGCCTGGGTTCCTGGATGGGGCGCGATCGGTGTTCCCGTCGCTACCTGCTCTGCCAGTGGAGGGATACGCGCAGGGAGGGGACCTGCACGGCTCGTGGGTGCCCATAGGCTGGCAGGTGAGTAGAGAGTTTAGGTGCGCATGGTTGCCTTGTTCCCCCAATCAGTTCGTTCCAGCCACGTTGTGCCAGTCATGCTGCAAGCAAGCAAGAACCGTTGCTGCCTGCTTTAGGTGGACATGGTTGCCGTGTTCCCCCAATCAGTTCGTTCCAGCCACGTTGCGCCAGTCATGCTGCAAACAAGCAGCTTGCTCCGTATTCCCGTCACTGCCTGCTCTGCCTGTCGAGGGATACGCTCAGGGAGGGTACCTGCATGGATCTTGGGTGACGAGTGGGTGGCAGGTGAGCGAATGTAGGTGACTTTTGAGTCGACTCAAAAGTCACCTCTTGGGTGACGAGTGGGTGGCAGGTGAGCGAATGTAGGTTTATATGGTGGCTTTGTTCCTCCAGTTAAGTCTCTCCAGTCAGGTTTCTCTGTGCATGTATGTGGCTGTGCATGTGCATGTGCATGTGCATGTGCATGTGCATGTGCATGTGTGCATGCGTTCATCACCAGGCGGTGGTGGCACCAGGGCACTGGGGCGGGGCACAGTGCCCTTTTTTTTTTTTTTTTTTTTTGGTAGATGAAAGTGTATTACACAACTCAATGCGGTGCACCAGAGCGCTCATCACCAGGTGGTGGTGGCGCACAACTCAATGCGGTGCACCAGAGCGCTCATCACCAGGTGGTGGTGGCGCACAACTCAATGCGGTGCACCAGAGCGCTCATCACCAGGTGGTGGTGGCGCACAACTCAATGCGGTGCACCAGAGCGCTCATCACCAGGTGGTGGTGGCGCACAACTCAATGCGGTGCACCAGAGCGCTCATCACCAGGTGGTGGTGGCGCACAACTCAATGCGGTGCACCAGAGCGCTCATCACCAGGTGGTGGTGGCGCACAACTCAATGCGGTGCACCAGAGCGCTCATCACCAGGTGGTGGTGGCGCACAACTCAATGCGGTGCACCAGAGCGCTCATCACCAGGTGGTGGTGGCGCACAACTCAATGCGGTGCACCAGAGCGCTCATCACCAGGTGGTGGTGGCGCACAACTCAATGCGGTGCACCAGAGCGCTCATCACCAGGTGGTGGTGGCGCACAACTCAATGCGGTGCACCAGAGCGCTCATCACCAGGTGGTGGTGGCGCACAACTCAATGCGGTGCACCAGAGCGCTCATCACCAGGTGGTGGTGGCGCACAACTCAATGCGGTGCACCAGAGCGCTCATCACCAGGTGGTGGTGGCGCACAACTCAATGCGGTGCACCAGAGCGCTCATCACCAGGTGGTGGTGGCGCACAACTCAATGCGGTGCACCAGAGCGCTCATCACCAGGTGGTGGTGGCGCACAACTCAATGCGGTGCACCAGAGCGCTCATCACCAGGTGGTGGTGGCGCACAACTCAATGCGGTGCACCAGAGCGCTCATCAGCAGGTGGTGGTGGCGCACAACTCAATGCGGTGCACCAGAGCGCTCATCACCAGGTGGTGGTGGCGCACAACTCAATGCGGTGCACCAGAGCGCTCATCACCAGGTGGTGGTGGCGCACAACTCAATGCGGTGCACCAGAGCGCTCATCACCAGGTGGTGGTGGCGCACAACTCAGTGCGGTGCACCAGAGCGCTCATCACCAGGTGGTGGTGGCGCACAACTCAGTGCGGTGCACCAGAGCGCTCATCACCAGGTGGTGGTGGCGCACAACTCAGTGCGGTGCACCAGAGCGCTCATCACCAGGTGGTGGTGGCGCACAACTCAATGCGGTGCACCAGAGCGCTCATCACCAGGTGGTGGTGGCGCACAACTCAATGCGGTGCACCAGAGCGCTCATCACCAGGTGGTGGTGGCGCACAACTCAATGCGGTGCACCAGAGCGCTCATCACCAGGTGGTGGTGGCGCACAACTCAATGCGGTGCACCAGAGCGCTCATCACCAGGTGGTGGTGGCGCACAACTCAGTGCGGTGCACCAGAGCGCTCATCACCAGGTGGTGGTGGCGCACAACTCAATGCGGTGCACCAGAGTGCTCATCACCAGGTGGTGGTGGCGCACAACTCAATGCGGTGCACCAGAGCGCTCATCACCAGGTGGTGGTGGCGCACAACTCAGTGCGGTGCACCAGAGCGCTCATCACCAGGTGGTGGTGGCGCACAACTCAGTGCGGTGCACCAGAGCGCTCATCACCAGGTGGTGGTGGCGCACAACTCAGTGCGGTGCACCAGAGTGCTCATCACCAGGTGGTGGTGGCGCACAACTCAGTGCGGTGCACCAGAGCGCTCATCACCAGGTGGTGGTGGCGCACAACTCAATGCGGTGCACCAGAGCGCTCATCACCAGGTGGTGGTGGCGCACAACTCAATGCGGTGCACCAGAGCGCTCATCAGCAGGTGGTGGTGGCGCACAACTCAATGCGGTGCACCAGAGCGCTCATCACCAGGTGGTGGTGGCGCACAACTCAATGCGGTGCACCAGAGCGCTCATCACCAGGTGGTGGTGGCGCACAACTCAATGCGGTGCACCAGAGCGCTCATCACCAGGTGGTGGTGGCGCACAACTCAGTGCGGTGCACCAGAGCGCTCATCACCAGGTGGTGGTGGCGCACAACTCAGTGCGGTGCACCAGAGTGCTCATCACCAGGTGGTGGTGGCGCACAACTCAGTGCGGTGCACCAGAGCGCTCATCACCAGGTGGTGGTGGCGCACAACTCAATGCGGTGCACCAGAGCGCTCATCACCAGGTGGTGGTGGCGCACAACTCAATGCGGTGCACCAGAGCGCTCATCACCAGGTGGTGGTGGCGCACAACTCAATGCGGTGCACCAGAGCGCTCATCACCAGGTGGTGGTGGCGCACAACTCAATGCGGTGCACCAGAGCGCTCATCACCAGGTGGTGGTGGCGCACAACTCAATGCGGTGCACCAGAGCGCTCATCACCAGGTGGTGGTGGCGCACAACTCAATGCGGTGCACCAGAGCGCTCATCACCAGGTGGTGGTGGCGCACAACTCAATGCGGTGCACCAGAGCGCTCATCACCAGGTGGTGGTGGCGCACAACTCAGTGCGGTGCACCAGAGCGCTCATCACCAGGTGGTGGTGGCGCACAACTCAATGCGGTGCACCAGAGTGCTCATCACCAGGTGGTGGTGGCGCACAACTCAATGCGGTGCACCAGAGCGCTCATCACCAGGTGGTGGTGGCGCACAACTCAGTGCGGTGCACCAGAGCGCTCATCACCAGGTGGTGGTGGCGCACAACTCAGTGCGGTGCACCAGAGTGCTCATCACCAGGTGGTGGTGGCGCACAACTCAGTGCGGTGCACCAGAGCGCTCATCACCAGGTGGTGGTGGCGCACAACTCAATGCGGTGCACCAGAGCGCGAACCACCAGGTGGTGGTGGCGCACAACTCAATGCGGTGCACCAGAGCGCTCATCACCAGGTGGTGGTGGCGCACAACTCAATGCGGTGCACCAGAGCGCTCATCACCAGGTGGTGGTGGCGCACAACTCAATGCGGTGCACCAGAGCGCTCATCACCAGGTGGTGGTGGCGCACAACTCAATGCGGTGCACCAGAGCGCTCATCACCAGGTGGTGGTGGCGCACAACTCAATGCGGTGCACCAGAGCGCTCATCACCAGGTGGTGGTGGCGCACGACTCAATGCGGTGCACCAGAGCGCTCATCACCAGGTGGTGGTGGCGCACGACTCAATGCGGTGCACCAGGACGTTCATCACCAGGTGGTGGTGGCGCACGACTCAATGCGGTGCACCAGGACGTTCATCACCAGGTGGTGGTGGCGGACGACTCAATGCGGTGCACCAGGACGTTCATCACCAGGTGGTGGTGGCGCACGACTCAATGCGGTGCACCAGGGCACTAGGCCAGGTGGAGGAGCTGCTGCAGTGATACTCACACTGTGTGTGATGGTGTGCATACATGTGTACGCGTGTCCCAACAGGTGGTGGTGGCGCACGATTCAATGCGGTGCACCAAAGCACTGGGGCAGGTAGAGGAGCTGCTGCACCGGTACTTCCCTCTTTGCCATAACCAAGTGTCTGTGTGTGCACGCACGTGTGTACCAATGAACAGGTGGTGGTGGCACACGACTCAATGCGGTGCACCAGGACATTGGGGCAGGTGGAGGAGCTGCTGCACCGGTACTTCCCTCCTGACAGAATCGTCGTCTTCTCCTCCAGCAGAAAGATCATGGAAGGTTCGTTCTAATTTACGAGCGTCCATGTCAGCACGTCCATGTCAGCATGTCCATGTCATCACGTCCATGTCATCACGTCCATGTCAGCACGTCCACGTCAGCACGTCCACGTCATCACGTCCATGTAAACACATTCACCTAGATCCACCCACCCAGGCAAGCACATTCTCACATCACTCCCCTCTGCTCTACTCTGCACCCTGTATCCCCACTACATCCCCACTACATCCCCACTACGTCCCCACTACACTCAACCCATATCCCCCCAGGAAAACACCTTTTCAACCGAGCTGCACTCTTCATAACCTGTCTCGGCCTCGCCATAACCAACACCATGTTCATGCCGCCCCGGGCGGCAGTTCTCGACCTGCGCCCGCCCATCCCCGCCTCCCACACCACCCGCTACACCCTCCTATCCCGCTCCTTCGCCTCGGCCAACGACGTCCGCTCTTTCGTCCTTATCTGCCAGCCGGGCAGCGACAGCGATGACGTGGCGGCGGGATCCGGCCAATTGGAGTGCAACACGCGGGAGATAGACGATGTTATTGATCGCATTGCTCACGATATCTACACCTCACCTGCTGCTGTAGCCGCTGCTATGTCCCCTACCCGCGACGCCGAAGCTGCTGCCGAAGCTCTCGCAGACGCCGAAGCAAACGGCCGGTCGCTTCTTCGGCCGACGGACCTGATTCGAGGCTCGGTGCTTCGGAGCCCGCTGCAGGTTCAGAAGTTCCGATCCTGGATGAAGTGTGTAGGTCAGGAGGGCAGGTGGGTATACGACCCGAAACCCCACCGTTTACCCTGGTGGTTCATGGGGAAACCCTACCAATGCGACTCACCTATGAGCGGTCGGCACCACGGGAAATCTATGGAAGAAGCCGATGCGATCGCGGATGCAAAAGGGGATCCCGAGGAGTGGACTGTTAGGGAGTCTTTGAAGTATAAATGGGGTGTGCCGGCTAATGCGTGCCCGAAGGTGCCGGTGCGATCGTGGGAGGTGGAGGAGGAGGACGAGGAGGAGGCGACAGGGGGGAGGAGGTTTCGCGGTGGGGATGGGCGGGCGGTGATGCGGATGACGATGCGATTCTCCCACTCCAGCTGGATGAAATTCTCCTCGGCGAAATTCTGCGAGAGAGTGGGGCGAGGGAGGCTGTTTCTCTTCCTGGGAGACTCTCTGAACGAGCAGTTTTCAGAGGCGTTTCTCAACAACCTCGTGGTGAATCTCCCGAAACCGGTTTCCGAGGAGCATTTGAGAATGGAGATCCCGAGGTATTGCTCCGATTGGCACAACGATTCGTCGGTCCGGCACGCTTTTTGCAAGTTTTATTCGGTCAGCGACGACGTCTGCCCGGGGCTCCGGGCAGCTTACGTGCGAACTGATCAGCTGACCCTAGCGAATCCTCGCCTGTTTGATCGACAGCCTTGGTCCCGAATGGAAGTTATTCGTGAAGCTGACGTTATAATAATCAATCGCGGCCCGCACTATGAAGAGGATGAGCTGTACGCACCGGTTCTCGAACGTGCCCTTATGTACCTCCGAAGCCGCTTTCCGGAAAAGCTCATTATCTGGCGAAACACGCCGCCCGGTCACGCCAACTGCTCCGGTCAGAAAACCCCGTTGAAGAAACGGCAAGATCCGGGCATTCTGCCGTATAACTGGGATAAATTCGCGCGTCAGAACAAGCTTGCGGAGGTGATTGTAAAGAGGTACGGGGCGGCTTATATGGATGTGGATTCGATGACTGCGCTGCGAGCGGATGGGCATAAGGAGTTTGTACCAGCGGTTAACAAGGTGGACTGCTTGCATTACTGTCACCCAGGACCGCTGGATGGATGGGTGGAGCATCTTTACAACACTCTGTCATGGCTCATGGCGCCGCCCCCTCCTGTGACAGCATGAAGGATAAGCATGGGTACAAGGCATTGGCAGAGGGAGAGGCAGTAGAGCGTGCGTGTGTGGTTCATTAGCAAGGGGTTTGTGCCGGCTTCTGGGAAGGTGGACTGTTTGTATTATTGTCACCCGGGGCCGCTGGATGGATGGGTGGAGCACCTGTATAACACCCTCCCTTGGCTCATGCCGTCCCCTCTGGCTGATGTGAAGGATAGGCATGGATAGGCACAAGGGATTGGTAGAGGCTATTGTTGCATTTTTGTCATGCAACACTGCAGGGATGGGCGGGCCGCGGGTGGAAGAGCAGAGCGGGTGTAGCATACCATGGGGTCATGGTGCTGCTGTCAATTCTGAATGTGAGGTTGGTGGTCACTGGTCATGTAAGCATAACATACGGTAGGTGCTCACGAATTGAGTTTTCCTAGTTATTTCAGCCGTATGGATGCCCATGTTGACGTTGGAAAATGAAGATTCAGATATCAAATGTTACAATGCTATGATACTGTCCGTCCCAGGTTTGCTCAGATAAAAATCAGCTGAACAGGACTGTGTGCTTAGCTCTGGATTACACCAAAAGCTTTCCGGAAGGACACTGAATTCCAGTGTGCTTTAGCACTGGATATTGGCATACCGTACCACTACACATCCAAAAGCTTCCAGAGACTCCTCAATGACCTCAAGGGTTCGACCCTCTCACATCTAGTGCTCGTGTCCTCTTCTCCCTCCCTCCCTGCCAATTGAAAGCCTCCTCCTCTATGACACAATTACCCGCCCTCCTCCGAGCATGCACGAGGCTGCCAGCAGTGGACTTGAACGTGGTGAACGTGGTGAATGTGGTGAACGTGGTGAATGTGGTGAACGTGCTGAGAGTGGCATGGCAGAAGATGGCCTGCTGAATGGCCTCGCTCCTCCTCATCTGCCCCCTCCCTGCTTCCCAAACGCCTCCTCCTCGATCACACAATTACCCGCCCTCCTCAGAGCATGCACGAGGCTACCAGCAGTGGACTTGAACGTGGTGAACGCGCCTCATCTGCCCCTCCCGGCTTCCAAACCCCTTCCATCATCTTCTCCCCCCATGCTGCTTAAAAGCTTCCTCCTCTATCACACAATTTCCCGCCCTCCTCAGAGCATGCACGAGGCTACCAGCAGTGGACTTGAACGTGGTGAACGTGCCCAGAGTCGCATGGCAGCAGATGGCCTGCTCCACAAACAGCACTATATCCTCAAGCTCTTCCGCTCTCTTTCCCCCTTCCTCTCCTCCCCCCTCTGCTAATCTCCGCCTTTTTATCCGATCCTCCAATTCGTCCTGTCTGCACTCTACTAGCCCCTGTGTGAATCTATTGCCCTCTCCTTCCTCCAGTCTCTCCCCCTCCTCTCCCCCTGCCACTGCCAGTCTGCGCCTTCTTGGTCTCACAGGAGTCTGCGGTCCAATCGTCCAGTCTGCGCCTTCTTGGTGGCCTCCTGTTCCCCCACTACCACCACCACTCCCAGCAACACCACTGCTACCCCCCATACTAGCAACCCCGTTACCAGTCAGGTACGGCTGTCCCCTGTTAGCATACAACCCAATCTCCTCTGTTAAAATCGTCCGCGCCGCCGCATTAATCCGATCCATAATCCCGTCTACAGTGAAAAGTTCCACAGGAAATTTCCCGAGGTGCTCGAGGAAGGTTCCTTTCCACGAGGCCTTGGGAATGTCGGTCATGAGGAAGAGCGGGAACTTGAGGGGAGGGGCGTGGGCTTTCGGGTTGCGCTTAAGCATTTCTTTTAGCGTCGCTTCCGCATCCCTGGTGAAAGGAGAGGGTATGGGGTGGGGGATAAGGACAAAAGGTCAACATTGTGAGGGGTACTTATGTAAGCATGAGTGGGGAAGAGGGCCAAAGTTCAACTGTGTGAGGTGATTTAGGACGCTTCCTTTCCACGAGCCCTTGAAAATGTAGGTCGTAAGAAATCTCAAAAGTTCCTTTCCACGAGCCCTTGGGAATGTCGGTCAAAAGGAAGAGGGGAAACTTGAGGGGAGGGGCGTGGGCTTTCAGGTTGCGCTTAAGCATCTCTTTTAGCGTCGCTTCCGCATCCCTGGTGAGAGGAGAGGGTATGGGTGAAAGAAAAACATGCTTAAGTGTAACACGTGCGCTCACGCAAGGACGAGAGGGAAAAATATTTCAGCTGTATCCGAAAAGGTCACAAGATGATACTTACTTGAGAGTGTTTTTTAGCGCCTTGACGAACATGCCATCAGTGCCCCGCACTTGCATGCAGCCGAAGGGTCTGCCTATGCTGTTGTAAATAAAGTCCCGGGCCAGATCCATTATAGGGGGCGTGAAGGGCATCGACACAGGTGCCTGCAAGCATAGGAAGGGAAGATGGGGAGTGGAGATAGCGTAGAGTGTGTCAGGGGCGGCCTATGCTGCTGCATATGAAATCTCGAGCCAGATCCATTATAGGGGGGACAAAGGATATTGCAACAGGTACCTGCAAGCATAGATTGGAGGGCATCAACACGGGTCCCACACGGGGTTGACACAGCACCCTCTTGGTGTTGCATTTTTCTCACCTCTCGTGCCATCCCCACGTCATTCCCACCCACCTCTCTTACCACCCCACCCACCTCTCTTACCACCCCACCCACCTCTCTGATTGCTTGCACACGGTCGTCCCACTCAAGGTTTATGTCTGCGATGCGAGGATGGAAGAGCGATGGGAAGGCCAGCACCTGTTAGGAAGACAGGGGAAGAGGAGACAAGAGCGGAGTGAAGGGCATTGACACGGGGTGCTTGCACACGAGGGGAAGGCCAGCACCTGGTTGGGAAGTTCAGACTGGTGCAAGTCAAAACGGAGAGAAATTCAGAGAGAGAACGGGAACAAGAGAGGAGTGAGAGACGAGGGTGGAGGAACCCGTTGAAAAGTGGTGAGACAACGGAAGAAGGAAATGAATGGTGGGAACGGGAAAGGCAGGGACGGACGGGCGTGTCACGTGCCATACTCCATAGACAATGTGTAAAAAAAAAATAAAAAATAAAGACGTCTCAAAATTCACCCTTTACACGACAGACGGGCGTGTTACGTGCCACACTCCATAGACGATGTCACGATGAATAGCAAGGACAAGGTGTCTGCCTCTCTGGCACAGCACCCACCTTGCTGTCCCTGGCGGGGGATAATTCCCCCAGGGTGGCATAAATGTTGAGCGGCACGGGCTCGTTGCGATTGTGCTTCAAGTTGATGTGGGCAAACGCCGGCACTGCTGGCTCTTTCTCCCCCACTGCTGCCACCAGATCCTTGAGGCTTGGAGGAGAAGAGGGGAGGGGAGAGGGAGGGAGGGGATGGATGGCGGGGGCATGGGATGGGAGGGAGGAAAAGCTCAATCGGTTTCAAGGTGATGGGGGTGAAAGCCGGCACTGCTGGCTTGGCTCCTTCTCTCCCACCGCTGCCACCAGATCCTTGAGACTTGGAGGACGAGAGGGTGGGTAGAAACGTGCAGGGCGAGGGGGAGGGGTTTGGGACGGTCTCAAGCGGAGGTCAAAAGGGCACAGATAGTTTTCAAGCTGGTGTGGGAAGAAGTCGGTACTTCTGGCTCTTTCTCTCCAACGCCTGCCACTAGCACCTTGCAAAATGTGCCGCGCGCCTCATCCTATCGCATTCCACCGCACTGCACCACGGACATATCTGGCATAATTGCCAATAGTCCACAGTGTATCTTTGCACGTGTTGTCGATCGGATACGAGACCCCCTGCCCTGCTGCCTCCACTTTTTACTCGCGCCTCCCTGCTCACCACTTCAGAATTCAACCGCAAACTACCACCATTTTCCACCGCAATCGATCTCACTCCACTACACTGCACCTTGCACATACCTGGCATAATTGCCAACGGTCCAGAGAGTGTCCTTGCACGTGTTGTCAATCGGATACAAGACCCCATCCTTCCTCCATTTCTTACTCGCCCCTCCCTGCGCCCCTAGCTTTGCCCCGCACTCCCACATGCACTTGTCGTCCTGAAAAGCGGTGGGTGGGTAGAAGGGGAGGATGAAGGAAGAGAGAACTTTTGAGTCGACTCAAAAGGCACTCGCACATGCACTTGTCGTCCTGAAAAGTAGGTGGGTGGGTCGAACGGGAGGAGACTTTTGAGTCGACTCAAAAGTCACCCTGCGCCCCTAGCTTTGCCCCGCACTCACACATGCACTTGTCGTCCTGCACATGCATCACACACGCACACATGATAAGTTCTTCCTGCATTCGGGGCCGAAAATTAGATGCAACAAGTATTGTCTTGCACGTGCCGCAGATTCTTCTGAATCCCATTTTTCGTACATATAAGGTTTACCGCGCACCATTATTCGAAATCCAAACTTCTCACAACCTTGGTAAACGCCTGTATACGTCTTCTTCGAATTTTGCGTAGATGCGGTATTATCGTCGATCTTAAACATCGAGTCAAAAAATGGGACGCGCACAAGTCTTTCGTTATCGATGAAATATCGTCGGTCGAACGGAAGCTTCTCTTTCGTATTCAATCCTTTATACTTTAAGACAGCGTATTGACGTGCCCAAGCGGCATGACGATCTGTAAGGAACCCGCCAACGCGTATTTTTCCTCCTTTTACCATCATCCTTACTGTGTATCGAGATCGTTCTACAATAATACCAGTAAGGTCTCTAATCGGTGCAATGTTAGGAATCGAAAACGAGCAATGAGTGGGAACGAGCAATGAGTGGGAACGAGCAATGAGTGGGAACGAGCAATGAGTGGGAACGAGCAATGAGTGGGAACGAGCAATGAGTGGGAACGAGCAATGAGTGGGAACGAGCAATGAGTGGGAACGAGCAATGAGTGGGAACGAGCAATGAGTGGGAACGAGCAATGAGTGGGAACGAGCAATGAGTGGGAACGAGCAATGAGTGGGAACGAGCAATGAGTGGGAACGAGCAATGAGTGGGAACGAGCAATGAGTGGGAACGAGCAATGAGTGGGAACGAGCAATGAGTGGGAACGAGCAATGAGTGGGAACGAGCAATGAGTGGGAACGAGCAATGAGTGGGAACGAGCAATGAGTGGGAACGAGCAATGAGTGGGAACGAGCAATGAGTGGGAACGAGCAATGAGTGGGAACGAGCAATGAGTGGGAACGAGCAATGAGTGGGAACGAGCAATGAGTGGGAACGAGCAATGAGTGGGAACGAGCAATGAGTGGGAACGAGCAATGAGTGGGAACGAGCAATGAGTGGGAACGAGCAATGAGTGGGAACGAGCAATGAGTGGGAACGAGCAATGAGTGGGAACGAGCAATGAGTGGGAACGAGCAATGAGTGGGAACGAGCAATGAGTGGGAACGAGCAATGAGTGGGAACGAGCAAAGAGTGGGAACGAGCAAAGAGTGGGAACGAGCAAAGAGTGGGAACGAGCAATGAGTGGGAACGAGCAATGAGTGGGAACGAGCAATGAGTGGGAACGAGCAATGAGTGGGAACGAGCAATGAGTGGGAACGAGCAATGAGTGGGAACGAGCAATGAGTGGGAACGAGCAATGAGTGGGAACGAGCAATGAGTGGGAACGAGCAATGAGTGGGAACGAGCAATGAGTGGGAACGAGCAATGAGTGGGAACGAGCAATGAGTGGGAACGAGCAATGAGTGGGAACGAGCAATGAGTGGGAACGAGCAATGAGTGGGAACGAGCAATGAGTGGGAACGAGCAATGAGTGGGAACGAGCAATGAGTGGGAACGAGCAATGAGTGGGAACGAGCAATGAGTGGGAACGAGCAATGAGTGGGAACGAGCAATGAGTGGGAACGAGCAATGAGTGGGAACGAGCAATGAGTGGGAACGAGCAATGAGTGGGAACGAGCAATGAGTGGGAACGAGCAAAGAGTGGGAACGAGCAAAGAGTGGGAACGAGCAATGAGTGGGAACGAGCAATGAGTGGGAACGAGCAATGAGTGGGAACGAGCAATGAGTGGGAACGAGCAATGAGTGGGAACGAGCAATGAGTGGGAACGAGCAATGAGTGGGAACGAGCAATGAGTGGGAACGAGCAATGAGTGGGAACGAGCAATGAGTGGGAACGAGCAATGAGTGGGAACGAGCAATGAGTGGGAACGAGCAATGAGTGGGAACGAGCAATGAGTGGGAACGAGCAATGAGTGGGAACGAGCAATGAGTGGGAACGAGCAATGAGTGGGAACGAGCAATGAGTGGGAACGAGCAATGAGTGGGAACGAGCAATGAGTGGGAACGAGCAATGAGTGGGAACGAGCAATGAGTGGGAACGAGCAATGAGTGGGAACGAGCAATGAGTGGGAACGAGCAATGAGTGGGAACGAGCAATGAGTGGGAACGAGCAATGAGTGGGAACGAGCAATGAGTGGGAACGAGCAATGAGTGGGAACGAGCAATGAGTGGGAACGAGCAATGAGTGGGAACGAGCAATGAGTGGGAACGAGCAATGAGTGGGAACGAGCAATGAGTGGGAACGAGCAATGAGTGGGAACGAGCAATGAGTGGGAACGAGCAATGAGTGGGAACGAGCAATGAGTGGGAACGAGCAATGAGTGGGAACGAGCAATGAGTGGGAACGAGCAATGAGTGGGAACGAGCAATGAGTGGGAACGAGCAATGAGTGGGAACGAGCAATGAGTGGGAACGAGCAATGAGTGGGAACGAGCAATGAGTGGGAACGAGCAATGAGTGGGAACGAGCAATGAGTGGGAACGAGCAATGAGTGGGAACGAGCAATGAGTGGGAACGAGCAATGAGTGGGAACGAGCAATGAGTGGGAACGAGCAATGAGTGGGAACGAGCAATGAGTGGGAACGAGCAATGAGTGGGAACGAGCAATGAGTGGGAACGAGCAATGAGTGGGAACGAGCAATGAGTGGGAACGAGCAATGAGTGGGAACGAGCAATGAGTGGGAACGAGCAATGAGTGGGAACGAGCAATGAGTGGGAACGAGCAATGAGTGGGAACGAGCAATGAGTGGGAACGAGCAATGAGTGGGAACGAGCAATGAGTGGGAACGAGCAATGAGTGGGAACGAGCAATGAGTGGGAACGAGCAATGAGTGGGAACGAGCAATGAGTGGGAACGAGCAATGAGTGGGAACGAGCAATGAGTGGGAACGAGCAATGAGTGGGAACGAGCAATGAGTGGGAACGAGCAATGAGTGGGAACGAGCAATGAGTGGGAACGAGCAATGAGTGGGAACGAGCAATGAGTGGGAACGAGCAATGAGTGGGAACGAGCAATGAGTGGGAACGAGCAATGAGTGGGAACGAGCAATGAGTGGGAACGAGCAATGAGTGGGAACGAGCAATGAGTGGGAACGAGCAATGAGTGGGAACGAGCAATGAGTGGGAACGAGCAATGAGTGGGAACGAGCAATGAGTGGGAACGAGCAATGAGTGGGAACGAGCAATGAGTGGGAACGAGCAATGAGTGGGAACGAGCAATGAGTGGGAACGAGCAATGAGTGGGAACGAGCAATGAGTGGGAACGAGCAATGAGTGGGAACGAGCAATGAGTGGGAACGAGCAATGAGTGGGAACGAGCAATGAGTGGGAACGAGCAATGAGTGGGAACGAGCAATGAGTGGGAACGAGCAATGAGTGGGAACGAGCAATGAGTGGGAACGAGCAATGAGTGGGAACGAGCAATGAGTGGGAACGAGCAATGAGTGGGAACGAGCAATGAGTGGGAACGAGCAATGAGTGGGAACGAGCAATGAGTGGGAACGAGCAATGAGTGGGAACGAGCAATGAGTGGGAACGAGCAATGAGTGGGAACGAGCAATGAGTGGGAACGAGCAATGAGCACCTTACGTGAGTGGGGTCGTGGTGCCGCCCGTGAGTCAGCTGCCGACACGCGCCATCATAGCAGGCGGGTGCCACGTCACAGTGGCAGAACCGGGCGGCAAAGTGCCGCAGATCGATGGTTCGGATGAGAGCGGGCGGCAGAGTCTTGAAGTCGAGCACATCGGCCATGGACACATAGCCCTGGGGGGGTTATGTAGAGGAGGTTGGTGGAGAGGAGAGACAGACTAGAACGAATGAGAAGGAGAAAAAATATTGTGAGATGATTTGAAATCGAGCACATGGGCCATTGACACATAGGGGGTGAGGGAGGTTTGGGGACGGGACGGGAGAGAGAGACAGGAAAGAATGGGGAGGAGAAACGTTCTTGTGAGATGTCTACAAGTCGAGCACATAGGACATGGATGGATACATATCCCTGGGTATGACTGGGAGCGAGGGACACAAGGGACATGGTATATCCTGCCTTCACCCGCCCTCCCATGCCCACACCCTCCCCCCTTCCTCTCTCTCACCATCCCTCCTCGCATCATGTCAGAGTAGTGCCCCCCACGCATCGTGCCTCGTCCTATCCAGGCTGGTGGGGGTGCATTCAAGCATAGCTTACCCCTAAATACACGCACCCCCCACCCCTCCCTTCCTCTCGCTCACCTTCCCCCCTCTCGCTCACCTTCCCTCCTCGCATCATGTCAGAGTAGTGACCCCACGCGTCATGCCGTGTCCTATCTGGCTTGGTGGGGTTGCGATTGCACCCAGCATAACCCCTCCCTCCTCTCCTAATCTCACCTTCCCTCCTCGCATCATGTCAGAGTAGTGCCCCCACGCGTCATGCCGCGTCCTATCTGGCTTGGTGGGGTTGCGGTCGCAGCGGCCGATGCCAGACGACTTGGCGAAGTGGGAGAGCTTGGGGGGATGATGAGCGTTCGGTTGAGGAGACCCGCAAGGCGAAGGCCCCACACCAGCTGGATGACCTACAATGGGCAGATAAACGGGGCACGGGGAGGAGGGAGCAAAGCGGTTGCGGCATGATCATGCCTTGTCCGGTCCGGCTTTTGAGGCGCCTATAAAGTCGATCATGCCTTGTCCCATCTGGCTTGGTGGGGTTTCTGTCACACCGGCCGATGCCAGACGACTTGGCAAAGTGGGAGAGCTTGGGGGGGATGATGAGCGTTCGGATGAACAGACCCGCTAGCCTGAGACCCCATACCAGTTGAATCACCTGAAATATAGGGGAGAAGGGGGGTGAAAGGGGAAGAAGGGGGCAGAGAGGGGGCAGCTGCCAATGACTTTTGAGACGTCTCAGAAGAAGGGGGCAGAGAGGGGGCAGCTGCCAATGCCAGATGACTTGGCGAGGTGTGAGAGCTTGGGTTGGGGGGAATGATGAGCGCTCGGTTGAACAGACCCGCTAGCCTGGGAGCCCACACCAGTTTCTGTCACACCGGCCAATGCCAGATGACTTGGCGAAGTGTGAGAGCTTGGGGGGAATGATGAGCGCTCGGTTATAGAAATTCGCTAGCCTGAGACCCCACACCGGTTGAATCAGCTGAATAAACGGGCAAAGGGAGGAAGGAGCAAAGGGAGGAAAGAGCAAAGCAAGTTGCAAGAGCTTGGGGGGAATGATGAGCGTTCGGTTATAGAAATTCGCTAGCCTGAGACCCCACACATGATGATTCCCAGACCTTATAATTCGCAAGCCCCACATTTCGCCCACCTGGTTTACCAGAATCCAAATTTCGCCCACGTTGTTACTAAATCCAGATTTCGCCCACCTGGTTACCAAAGCCCCCATGGCTGGCGAACCACATGAACTTCTCATCTGGTCGCAGTACCCACTCGTCTCCCCCTCTCCTCCCCCCATGCCGCGCCTCTCCTTCCCCTGGATCCCCCCCTTCCCCCTGACCTCCCCCTCCCCCTGGCACGTTCCCTGTAATTGAACCTTCCCCTGCTGTTGACTGCTGTGGATCCGCCCCTTCCCCTTCCCCGCCTTCCCCCCCATCACTTCCCCCGCTGCTGCTTTCTCCACCCCCACTCCCTCTCCCCTCTTCCCCGCTCGCCCCATCAACGCAGCAGCTGCAGCCGCCTCTGCTTCCCCCCCCCTTCCCCCCCTTTCCCCTTCCCCCCTGCTCCCCCCACTGCTTCCCCCATTGCCCGGCATCAGCACACGTAGTAATGACGCATCCCCTTCCCCTCTCAGAACACTCACACTTCCCCCTCTTCCCCCCCTTCCCCCCATCCCTTCCGCCACCCCCTGCATCCCCCCACGCTCTCTTCTTTCCCCCATTCCTCCGCCCCCCCCTCTCACTCCCTCCCCGCTCTGTCCTCGCACGAGAGGTGGGTGGAGGGATTGGCGGAGGGATGGGGGGAGGGATGGGCGGAGGGATGGGGGGAGCGAGACGCCCAGGTTGCGCCAGCAGAGGGGGAAGGCAGGGGAGGAGGGGGAGAGGCAGCCGTTTCTATGCAGCAGAAGGGTGACGAAGAGGAGGAGGAAGGAAAAGGCGATTTCGAGGAGAGTGGTGAGGCGGAGCCGACACATCGGCCAGGGGGCTGGGGATGGGGGGGGCGGGTGGGGAAGGGGCGGGACGGAAGAGAGGGGAGGGTGAGAGAAGGGGGTGAGAAGCAGCCGTTTCGGTGCAGCAGAAGGGTGACGAAGAGGAGGAGGAAGAGAAAAGCAATTACGAGTAGAGTGGAGAGGCGGAACCTACACATCGGCCAGGGGGCTGGGGGGAAAGGAGGGGGGGGGGGGGGAGGGGAAGAGGAAAGAGAAGGTGGTGGGGGAGAGGAGGGGAGAGGAGGAGAGAGGGAGACATTTCCGCGCAGCAGGAGGGATATGGAGAGGAGGAAGGAGGAGGCGATTTCAAGGAGGGATGAAGGATATTGGCGAGGGAGATTGGCGAGGGATATTGGCGAGGGATATTGGCGAGGGATATTGGCGAGGGACGCAGGGAACTACGGTCCTCACCTGAAGTGAAAGGCGAGCTGGTGGATGCTGCTTGCGACGCTGACGGGCTGCTGCCACGTGGCAGCCACGATCGCTGCCGCCCCACGCGGAGCTTCCTTCCCGACCCCCCGCTACTGCCGCCGCCGCCGGCGCTACCGGGACTAGGAGTTAGGCTCGCCTTTGCTGCGGCGGCTGTTGGGCAGCGACGGCTGACGGACTACTGGCAGGGGAGACGGAGAGGCTTCTGGACCGGCCGCCGACAGCAATGGCGACGCCAGAGCCGTCATTTGCGGCGGAAACTGCGGTGGCGCCGCCGGAGACGGAGATTGCAGGGAGGGCGGAAATGACGCCATCGGCGCGCAGTCGATCGGCGGACATCGATTCCGCGGCGGACATGAGGTCTGCTGCCACAGCTTCGGAAGCGGCGCGAGCGACCGTTGCGATGGATAGCGACGGCGGCTCGTCATCCTCCGCGCGTTGCGCGACGGATTTCGCGGCCGCACGTTTCGACTTGGGGTTCTTCTTCGGCATATGGACTTAAAATCCGATAAGTTTAACGAGTTGGGAACATATCATCTAGCTGGACGAGGACTTATAAGATCGCAATTAGCGCTTACTCATCAAGACGCACGACAGATTATTCTAGTCGAGGAGCATTTCTGCGAATCATCACGCTGGCAACTACTGCACGGTTGATGGTGTGTGCTGATTACTGAACTATGAAAGTTCGTTGCCGACAATACCACGAAATCACCTGATAATACTTAGTCCTCGATACCTGTACTTGGCGTTTTTCTTCGACTGCTGAACCTAATAACGACTTGCTAAAATGAGTGTGCGAAGTTCTGCGAAAAACGAATAGAGAATTAGCTACAGAAAGTATCCTTGTTGCGGCTTTGTACGCTGTATTGCGTGAAACTACAGGCGAAGATTGAACATTCATTGCCCGTTGCGTTCGAATCCCACCACACCTTTCGATCTTCAACCGTCCCTTGGAAAAGTGAGCTCACCGTACGATCACATCACCCCACTTCTCCTGTACTAAAGTTTCCCGTTTACTTTTCAGTATAGCTTCGTTTTTCAGTATACAAAAGCATTTTCATATTAAGTCCCAGAAACTGGCTTCACGCTTTTGAAAGAGGAAAAGGGAAAGAGGGAGAAGGAAAAGGGAAAGAAAGACACCAGAAACAACTCAAACGCAACACCCATAAAAAGCCCCATAAAAATACTCCATAAAGAAAAAACCCAACCAGGATCCCCTACCAGACGTCCCATCTCGCACCCCATTCCCCCTCGCCCCCCCCCCCCCCCCCCCCCCCCCCCCTCCCCCTCAAGTCACATCTGCACATCCACCATGTAGGGGGCCTCCACCCAAAGAGGCCCGCCCTCCACCTCGACATCGTCCCTCTCCCGATCCACCAAGTCCACATTCAACCCCCCCATGGAAGACGCCGCCCGAAGCAGGATGACACGAGCTTGCGCCCGTTGTAACGCCACTCCGATGAGCGCCTTCAGAGACCCCAAAAGGTAAGCCGAGAACGAAGTGTCATCCTCCCGACAAGCCCCCCGTGACACAGCTAGCCCCACGTGCGCGTCCCCCTGCTGTCGAAGCCACCGCCGGAAGCGACCGCCGAGACACCCCCACGTCTCCACTATCAAAGGGGTGAACTGCACGCCTCGGTTCCGTGCAAGAAGAGGCGCGTAATCCCCCGTTTTGCGACGCTCCCACTCCTTTGCCGCCACGCCTATAGACCGCCCGCACTGCCCTAGCAGAGATGGAGACAGTGATAGCGGGTCCGCGACACTAATCTCTAAAGCATGAGCCTCCCCAGCCATTGGTCGTCGCACCGCTACGTCAACCCGCTTCCCCGGCAGCACCGCACTATCCTCCATCGTCACCACCCCCCCTGACGCCTTAGCGATCTTTGCCACCGCAAACTTCACCTCATCATGCACCCGAGATGGACCGTGTTGGTGCTTGCATCTCAGCGCATGATGCGGGTCTGCTGGGTCATCATACGCTGTGCCACAAACACACTTCCCCGCCACTTGCAGCTGCTGGATTGGGAGACCAAGCCGTATAGCAGCAGCAATGCCCCACTCCGCTGCAGTGAATGTGAGATCTGAATGAGCCGGAACTGCCGAAACCCATGCACCAGCCCCCGGGCCCTGAAGGGATGTGAAACGGGCCAGGGTGGCATCGTCACGAGCCAAGCGGCGGAGTGCCTGGAGCTCCTCAACAGCCAACTGCCGCTGCCGCGCCTGGAAAAGCCGAAGAGGAGGGGCCGCCACACACAGGGGTAAGTCCGGCAGCTCCTGGCGTATAGTCGCGGGCAACTGCTCAATGGCCTTGGCAAACCACGGGTCAAGAAGCTCCGCCCCCGCCGAAGTGGTGAGGTACTCTGCGAACATCGCCTCCTCGCCCGCCACCCCCAAATGTGCAATATCCCGTGCGGCCTGCGCCCACCCACAAACATAGGAGAGCGGACTCAAAGAGGCCGCCGCCCGGATCCCAAACCCTCCGAGGCGCACAGGGAGATGCAGCTGCATGCGTGCGCGCCTAGACCTGCCGGGATCCTGCTCCCAAGTGCCAGGGGGGAAAAGCTGCTCAAAGCAATCCTCCAGACAGCTGTCCCACTCTCTAAAGGCCTCCACCACCTCCGGCCGCGGCGGCATAGTCCGGGCCAGGTACATCGGCCGTGCTGAAACTGCAATAGCGAGGAGATGCGAGGCCATCTGGGGGTGGTCGAGCAGGGGGAGCCACGGCAATGGCGCCTGCAACTCGCGAAGCCGCTTCCGTAATCGGGCCCCCTCCCAATCCTCCTCCCCAATAGGCACGCCCACCACAGTAAGACCCTCCTCCTCCCGCTGCATCCCCAAAGGCAATGCCCGCTCCATATCCCCACCTCCACGCTCCCAAAACCTGCACTTGTGCGCCTGCACTTCCAGCCCCACCCACTCCAACCTCTCTCGCAGCACCCCAAAAGCCTCCAGAATCCTAGCCGCTGGTCCCAGGATGTAGGTATCGTCTGCATAGCTCAAGAAAAGTAGGTCCCTGAACTCTCTAGTCACCGTCCCCAGCACCTGCTGCTGCGTGAAAGCGAAAAGAAAAGGGCCGAGCGGGTCCCCCTGTCGCGATCCTCGTGCCGACTCAAGACTCTGTACGAAAGGGCCCGCTCGGAGGTACAGGTCGCTAGGTGTCCCATAGAAGACACGCAAGAATGGGATCATTCCTGAGAAAGGCGACTCCTTCAGCCCCTCGAACATCGCGTGGCGATGAAACGAATTGAAGGCGTTCGCGACATCTATCTGCAGCGCACACCAGTCGGGGTGAGTGGCCAGCGCTGACCGGAAAGAATGAGTAAGAATCTCCACCCCGGCCCTGGTGCCCACTCCCAGCTGGTTACACGGCAGAAAATAAGAAGCCATCACAGGGCGAAGCGAGATGCAGAGAGCTCGAGCGAGGATACGCGGAAGCACCTCCCCGATCGCCACCGGCCGGACGTCACCGTTGGGTTTGGAAAGCCCGACTAGGTTGGATGCGGCGAGCCAGGGCCGAGCTCGCTCGGGGACCTGTCCCGCCACCCATTGGTTGAACACTTCCAGCAGGTGGGAGAGGCAGGAAGGTTCCGTGAGGAAAGTGTCGCGCAGATGCTCTGTGACCCATCCCGATGGCCCTGCAGCTGAGGCGCGAGCAGCTGTGTGGATAGCTCTAGCCAGAATGTCGGTCGTGAGTGGAGGCCGCTGAGGAGCGTCGACAGTAAACTCACGAACCCACGGTGGTACCTCGCCACTGCTAGCTGGGTGCTTCCCTCGCAGCGACTGCACCATAGCCTCAGTTGGTCGAGCCAACTCTCCTGCTGTGAGGCAAGACAAACCACGGCTCCACTCTCCCACTTTACACCGAGATCGGCACCGTGACAGGCGGATGGCCTCCGGGTCCTGGTCAGAGCACGTGTAGGCAAGTGGGCGAACTGCTGGCCGTGCCGCCGCCATGGCAGCGTCGAACAACTCCCGCCACCTCCCCTCCCAGAAGGCCCCCAGCCGCTCTATGATCAGCGCCTTCTGACCTATGCCTGGCTTGGGAGGCACGGCTAGGATGAGGCGCGGAAACGCCAGGAGTAGGAGGGTAGCAGCTTCATCTCCCGGTCGGCTCTTCAGCCGCTTCAAGATGCAACAGAGTGCGTCTAAGACCCCGGACCGGGCCCGCTGCGGGATTCGGCGCACTGTCCTCCCTCCAACCGCCTCCACACAGAAAAATGCCTCCCACTCCCATGACTTAACCCCTGCCCACGCCTCGTCCCCAAATTCCCGCGGCGTCGGTCGCTCCTGTGTGTCGGTCTCCACCAGAGACGGGATCGAGCCAAGTGCCTGCGCGCGTCTCTCCGCCTCAGCCGCCCGGCATACCCTCATGTGGTTCGCAGCGGCCCCTCTCGTGGCGAACGTGTGGAAACACGTGTCACACGGGAAACGGGGGCATGGGGAAGGCGGACTGGGTGGTTCTCCGTCCGCCTCTGACTCCTCCGCAGTCGCCATGGGGGTATCAAACTCCAAAAGTCGGCACCACTCCTCCAACTGCTGTTCCCGGTCGTCCATCGATCCCCCCCCTGCCTGCTGCGTACCCTGGGGTGCCCCGGGCACCCCCGGCTGCCCTCCTGCCTGCTGCACTCCCTGGGGTGCCCCGGGCGCCCTCGGCTCCCCTCCTGCCTGCTGCACTCCCTGGGGTGCCCCGGGCACCCTCGGCTCCCCTCCTGCCTGCTGCGCTCCCTGGGGTGCCCAGGGCACCCTCAGCTCCCCTCCTGCCTGCTGCACTCCCTGGGGTGCCCCGGGCACCCTCGGCTCCCCTCCTGCCTGCTGCACTCCCTGGGGTGCCCCGGGCACCCTCGGCTCCCCTCCTGCCTGCTGCACTCCCTGGGGTGCCCCGGGCACCCTCGGCTCCCCTCCTGCCTGCTGCACTCCCTGGGGTGCCCCGGGCACCCTCGGCTCCCCTCCTGCCTGCTGCACTCCCTGGGGTGCCCCGGGCACCCTCGGCTCCCCTCCTGCCTGCTGCACTCCCTGGGGTGCCCCGGGCACCCTCGGCTCCCCTCCTGCCTGCTGCACTCCCTGGGGTGCCCCGGGCACCCTCGGCTCCCCTCCTGCCTGCTGCACTCCCTGGGGTGCCCCGGGCACCCTCGGCTCCCCTCCTGCCTGCTGCACTCCCTGGGGTGCCCCGGGCACCCTCGGCTCCCCTCCTGCCTGCTGCACTCCCTGGGGTGCCCCGGGCACCCTCGGCTCCCCTCCTGCCTGCTGCACTCCCTGGGGTGCCCCGGGCACCCTCGGCTCCCCTCCTGCCTGCTGCGCTCCCTGGGGTGCTCCGGGCGCTCTATGGGGTCCCCCTGTCACCCCCGGCTGCCCCCCTGGCTGCTGCACTCCCCGGGGTGCCCTAGTCCTCTCCGCCCGACCACCGGTCTGCCACCCTCCCTGGGTTGCCTCTGTCGCCTCCGGCACCTCCCCGGCCTGCAGCACCCCCTGAGGCGCCCTTGTCGACCCCTGCTGACCCCCTGGCTGCTGCTCGCCCTGGGATGCTCCTTGCAACTTGGCTGCGTGTCGTCTCCCTCTTCGGCCCCGAGCTCGCGACCTTTTCGCTTGGCCTGCGCCGCCCGGGCTAGCGACCCCCTGCTGAACCCGCGCCTGTTGCTCTTGCAACCCACTGATCGGCTCTTCAAGTTGCATGCTTCTACGCTCTTGGGGCCGGTTCCTTTCTCGACACCCTTGCTGCTCCCCTTCTTGCGGCTGAGACTGATTCTCCGTTTGACACCCCTCCTGTACGCTTCCCTGCCGCTCTCCCCCCCCCTCCTCCTGTGCCTCCTCCATCTCCACCTCCAACACCTGCGGCCACTCAGCTTGCAGCCCAAGCTGTCTCTCGACCTGCTGCTCCGTTACCATTCCTATCTCTATCTCCATGTCCACTTCCGACTCCTGCTCCCCCCAGCCTGCGGGTCTTCCTTCCCCTCTGCCGGCAGCTCTTGCTGCCTCGTTGCCTGCGGCTCCTGCTGCCCTCCAGCCTGCAGCTCTTGCTGCCTTCCAGCCGGCAGCTCCTGTTGCCCCCCCATCTCCATCACCATCACCGCCTCCGAAGCCTGCTGCCCCTCGACCTGCCGGTCCTGATCCCACCCAGCCTGCGACTCCTGCTGCCCCCCAGCCGGCCCCTCTTGCTGCCTCCCAGCCCGCAGCTCCTGCCGCCTCCAGGTCGGCCCCTCTTGCTGCCCTCCAGCCTGCAGCTCTTGCTGCCTTCCAGCCGGCAGCTGCTGCTGCCCCCCCATCTCCATCTCCGCCTCCAAAGCCTGCTGCCCCTTTGTCTGCGGCTCCTGCTCCTTCCCAACCTGCGGGTCCCATTCAACCCCAGCCTCCAGCTCCTGCTGCCTCCCAGCCTGCAGCTCCTGCTGCCCCCCATCCTGCAGCTTTTGCTGCCTTCCAATAGGCAGCTCCCATTGCCTCCCCATCTCCATCTCCAACTCCAACGTCTGCTCCCCCTCAGCCTGCAGGTCCCGCTCCCCCCAGTCTGCGGGTCCTGCTCCCCCCCAGTCTGCGGGTCCTGCTCCCCCCCAACCTGCGGCTCCTGCTCCCCCCCAGCCTGCGGCTCCTGCTGCCCCCGGGCTTGCGGGCCTCGCCGCGCTCCTTCCCCTTGACCCCGCGGAACTCCTGATTTGCGCCTCCGTTCCTGTCTTCGGGCTAATCGGGGACCACATGTCGCTGAGTTGTCGCATTTAGTGAGTGCCGGGCGTGCTAAAGGGGTGTTAAGTTCTCGCCGACGCTTGTCATGCGACTCCTGTAGACGCTGGCGATGTGCCTCCCAAGCTGCCATCGCCGCGTCGGAGGTGTTGCCTTGCCTGTGCTCTCCATTGCCACTTTCGACCACTTCTCTAGTGGCCACGCCTAGGTCGGTATCGAGGCGTTGCCTCTTGGTCAGATTGTCGTGGAGGCACCTAGTGACTTTGTCGCACATGCCGCGGACGAGTGGTCCCTCCTGCTGCTCCGTAGGCTCTCTCCCCCTCTTGTGCCCGGCTATTGGGCAGGTCGCCTTTGAAGTCATCGTTGTCATTCCTTCCTCCGTGCTTCCGGTGGCCCATTTCGCCTTGCCGTCACGTCCTCCTCCCTCCCGGACCCCGGCATCCCCAGGGTCCGGGCTGTCTTCCATGGTTCCGCTGTGACGTCACGTGTCTCGATGTCGGGGCGTGGATCCCGCACCTGGGCAGCCGGTCTCAATGTGGGGGCGCTGATTTGCAGCGCCGGATCTGAGGCTCGTCCTAAACGGCGATTTCGCTGGCTGGCGCGCTGCAGAGCGTCCTAAGCGGCGATTTCGCTGGCTGGCGCGCTGCAGAGCGACCTAAGCGGCGATTTCGCTGGCTGGCGCGCTGCAGAGCGACCTAAGC